CGTCGTCGCGGTTGATATCGGAATCTTCGAGCAGACGGCTCTCTTCTTTGTACGGCCGATGAGCCAAGGCCAAAACGCGGAGACCAAGTTTGGCGAGCTCTTCCATGTTATCAAGAATCGTGCTGCGGTGGCTATCAGTCATGGGCACGGGTGTGGATGAGTCCTGATCCCAGATGACAGTGGTGCATGAATCGATGATACGCTCGACAGCGCCCTTGGTGAAAACCATGGAGCGTTCCTCTTGTGCAGTGACCTTGGTGAAGATGACAGACATCTTCTTGACAGTGGAGTCAAAGGGGAACTCTGCATTCTGGTGCCACACAGCGCCTTCGCCTTTAGTCCATCGGTCGCGATTCCAGTTAAACCTCGAGGCAAATACTTCGATGGCAATCTCGGTTGGTTCACCACGAGCGCGCCACTCTCCTTCGTCTGATTTATAGACATGAGACAAGTTCGCCATGGATGCCACGTCGAGGAAGTCCTCCAACTGGCGGTTCCCCGGGATGAGGTCCTCGGGTTTCGCCGCCGGTTCCCCTTCTTTTTCATCATCAAAGTGCGCTGGAGACACCGGAGTGAATGTTACATCACCAACGGTGGGATTGAAGGGTTCGTTGGATGTGCCAACGGAGTATGTGCCTTTCGAGGGAATCCACGCTTTTTTGACAACCATCTTGCCCTGAGTCAAGGTACCCGTCTTATCGGAGCAGATATCCGTCACTGCACCAAGGGCCTCGAGAGAGTCTAGCTTACGAACAATGACATTTCGTTCAACCATGCGCTTCGTACCCACAGCCATGGTGATGGTAAGAACGACCACCAAGCACGCAGGAATCATACTAAGACCGGTTCCGACCGCATATAAGATGACCTCGTTGTTGTCACTGAACAGATTGGCAGCCATGACAACGATCGCGAAGAGCACGGCGACTCCGAATAGCAGTATTGCCAGTTTGGACAGCTTCCTTTGCAGCGGAGTTCCAACATTGACACCAAGAAAACGACCGACAGCGTCAGTTCCAGTAAGAGTCCATGCCTGGACATACCACCGCTTCTTAGTCTCGCCGTTGGGGCCACGCTTCACTGGACGCTTCTTACTGTTGCTGGCCCGCAGCGCGGCAGCAATAGAACCAATTTCAGTGGACATACCGGTACCGACAACCACACCACGGGCACGGCCACGAGTGACCGTGCTGGAGCTATAGGCAATGTTCAGACGGTCGCCGGGGCCAGTGTCCTCCTTGAAAGTGGAGTCGTATTCTTTCTGGACGGGGAGTGACTCTCCCGTGAGGAGGGCTTCATCCGTCTCGAAGTTCACAGCTTCGACCAATCTGGTTGGATTTCTCTGTTAGCCAATATTCAAATTACTTTCCAGTATACACAGAGGACCTACCTGATATCTGCCGGAACTGTATCACCAGTTCGCAATTCAACCATATCACCAGGAACGATCTCCACGGAGGGCACCGAGAAGGTCTGACCGTCTCGGGAGACTGTACCGGTTGGCGAGCTCAGCGAATGCAACGATTCCATGGTCTTTTCGGCGGCATACTCCTGAAAGAAGCCGACGACGATGTTCAACACAATCACGGCGGAGATGAACCCGCCTTCAATCCATGACTTGATACCGAAACTGACCGCCATGGCCAGTATCAGGACCTACAACGACGAATTGGATCAGATTCTGGGAGCTCCTATACAACGAAGGGGGGATCATGACAAAGGAAAGTGGGTCCCTTAACTAGCATCATTGCGTTGGCGACCTGGCGGATGAGGATTTTAACAACGGAGACGCCTTCGCCTTCTTCCAGCTTGTTGGGACCATACTGGTCAAGACGTTGTTTCGCCTCCTCCGCGCTCAAACCCTCATCGAGTTTGGTGCCGAGTTCTCTGATCACAACATCGTAAGGAAGACTATGGGCCGGTTGACTCAAGGGAGAGTCTCCGGACCCAGAGCCAGTGTTCTTTTCGCCCGTCATGGGAGAGGAAGCTTTAATGTGCCCCTATACAGATGTATATACTGACGGAGGTCGGATCTTGGAACGATCGATACTGAGGGGGAAAGGGAATTCGATTCTCTACGGAAATGGGAGGAGACCGGGACTTTTTAAGTTCATTCCTAACGAGACTACAATGAATTGGCCAGGATGTTTGGGGGATCCGATTTTTAGCCTTTAGCTGAATTCAGGACGTGCCATGCCTAGACATGCAGGATGACAGTCATTGGAGTAGGGTCGGGGAGCGTCTTGGCGCCCAGACCAACGGATCCTGTATGGGAGGGTTGGCAATCAGAGGAATTTGGGAAAGATGACGAATTCGTCGAGGTGGATCATGGCACAAAAACGAAGCCTACCAGTTTTATTATCTGGCCCGGACACGTGCTCAGCCAGTCATCGCTTGCCACCCTTTTTTTTTCTTTCCGTTCCGCCTGCCAAGTCAAGGTCGATTCTTCGCTCACTGCACTTCGTATTTTCCTCTTCCTCCCCCCACTACATGAATGCAACGCTACCGGTGGGGAGCGCGCAAATTTCGTTGCTTGGCACTACTAATCAAATCATTAATGCACCTTCTCGACTCACGGAAAAAGAAATGTTCTGGAGCCGGTCGGTGTGTCCTGCATATTGCCAATTCACGTTGGCTTAGATCTATCAACTCCTTCGGAATAGCATCCATGCAATATAGGGTACCCACGCAGAACCTTTGACATGACACTGGCTGAACCTCGATTGTCGGGCGGAATTGAGTACCGATCGGAGGGCCTTTCAGAGCTTATTTCTCCACTCTGGAGTCTGGTCGCCGAGCAGTTTTCGTGGAGAAAATCCAGGCACACATGGCAATCCGTCGGAACACCAAGGGATTGTCAACACGTGAGTGGTTGATGCCACGAAATTGATTAAAAAATATGCAATTGGTCGGTATCAGTGATAGAACTCTGCAGATACGGAAACCCAAAATCTTCTCTCCGACGCAAGTTCTCTTCCACTCGATGCAGAAGTAGATGGAATAGAGAATGCTGCATCGAGCGTTGTCAATGGGACCACGAGTCAGTTTGCTATTAGTTCTGTTCAGAACTAACCGCATATACGGCGGATCTGGTGTTCGCTCGCGATTGCGTAAAACATGAGATGTGTTCAATATACTTACCCTCCGGATGCCCTATGATCGCCGATCCATTTCTCTACCGAGTTCTTCAAACTTGACGGATATTATCTAGAATTCTGATCGGCCCTCGCCTTCTAATTATAGTCAACACGGGCACACAAAGGCTCTGACAACCGGATACACGTAGTTGGATGCATCTTGCATGGGTACGTCAAACCCGCTCTTATATACCTCTGTAATTGCATCGAGCGTCTTACATTATGATGTCTCAAATCCAACAAGGATCGTGGAACTTACGTTACATAATGAGTTGTTATATTTCGTAATTCCCTCATTGGCACACGATAGGTGTTTTTCTGCCAAGGAAATCAACTCTGATTTCGCTTATCACCATCAAGCTTCTTGTTGTTTCACAGCTTATACTCACCCTACAGATAATCTTCTATGTACTTTAATCTGCTCCTTGGATTTGACCATAACAACCATACTATCCGAATGGCCTGACAAATCGCGAATCAGATGTAAGAAGCGGCATACTTCTATTAGTTGAATTGGCGTGAGATACATCGTCATAAGAGTTTTAGGAAATTCAGCTTGCAATTAAGGCAAGGTGTGTAGCACGGAGAAAATGGTTAAAAACCTATGAGTACTTTCAAGGCCATTCCTTATTCTAAGACATGGTCAGCATGTTACCTACTCGACCAAAACTGCTAATGGTGCTGAAGATGTTCTCTACACGGCTGAACAAAACCAGCACTCCTAATGAAACTATTTAATCAGGACAAAAAGCTCAATAAAACATTCCTGAGGAATAGATCTACAATTTAGGATAGTTATCAAGAAGTATACGCAAAATGCCGAGATATGATCTGCAAGAGAAAGTAATAGTAACAGAGCAACTACATGGACAATTCAAGTTGTATCCCAACAAACACTGGGGTACATACATTGTTTTGTGTAGTTCGCAATACATCGCATTAATGCCGCGCACTTTCTCAATCGTCACCATACGAAGACCTTCTCATATGGAAACTAGTGTTGGATTATTATGGGATATACATTTGGAATCTCGAAGGGAACTATTACAAATTGGAACGGCCCTCGCATGGTCTTTCTGAACCGTCGAATAAGAAGGCTAGATTGGGCTCTACGTAACATTATTTATAAGAGGTCTCTGAGAGCGACTAGTGTGATATGTAAATCTGAGGTCAAAGCCTACCATCCGTATAAGGTAAAGAAGTGCGAAATAAGCAATATAAATACTATACGGGGAAAGGAAATCGTACCACGGTTTGTGATAACTAAGTATATCGATATGATAGCTAGATATACTGGTGTATCTATTATACTGCTGTCCAATTATGGCTATAAATATCATTCAATAACCAATTACTAAAGTTAAAGCGTTAACTTATAGTATAGTGACCTTCAGCAATAATTCAATATACATCGGCCACTATTGTCTTAGCTTAGCTCTCCTCAGAGATCAATTTGGAGGAAGTATATGATATAGTATCATCCCTCATTCAAGCCACTGTGGAGCGGTGACTTGGTGTATATAAGCCTGACTATCACCTGTAACCGTGGTAATCCAATATTGCAACCACCATTTCAACATAAATCCTACTGACACATATCCTCCTATGAAGATGCGAAATGTCTTATATTTTTGTTTCCTTGCAGCCTTCTCTAGCTACATACTTCACAAGTATAGGTTCAAATGAATGGATAGCCTAATCAATCGGGAGCCGTACGGTACGGTACATACATTCTACTGCACACACCACTGAAGATGTGTATTTTTCCGGTATCAATGATTACCCGAAGTGTATGAATACCCGAATACCCGCCATTCATTCAAACCGGCGGGGATCAACGACCCAAATCGCCGATGAAACCCCATGGATTCTAGATCAAGCTCCCATAATGGTAGTGGTAGAGCCACGCGCTCCTCGCTGGCGTGTCTACCCTGTCGTTCGCGTCACTCAAAGTGCGATGGTAAACGGCCTTGTTGTACGCGCTGCGCTGAAACCGGGCAGGAGTGCACCTATGCACGATCCCGTCGCGGTGGGCTCGACCGCGCAGCCCTGGCTGATCGTCGCCGACGACTTGCGGCGGGAGAGAGAATATCTCCAGCTCCTGACTCGAGTGGCCAACGATATACAACGATTCAGCAGGTCCAGGAGCACCCCGCTCCATTGATGGTCGAAGACCTTCACAATGAGCCCAGCGAGAGGATCAGGATCGGCGATGTCATCTTAGGCATCTCGTTACCGGGCACCAGCATCGTTCATCTCGGTGGTATCAAGGAAGATCCCTTAATTAATGCATACTATGAGAAATTCCATGGATGTCACCCCTTTCTCTTACCCCAGAAACACCTCACAAGACTGTATGAAGATCCGCACAGACAGCCCAGCTTCACACCCCTTCTGGCTGTGATGCGCTTAATTGGCCATATCTACACCTCCCGCGAATGGTCAATGTCGTTGAGAGACCACATTGACGCTTGTTTTCTACAAGCATCACCATCTGATCCAGTTATGGTCCAATGTCGACTACTATTGTCTATGGCTTTATTCTGGCACGACTATAAGGACGCGGCCAAACTGGAGATGGACGCTGCCACTAGTCTTGCAGTTGATCTGAAGATGTTTCTGTCGGACTTTGCGGCGTCGCATGGGCGCGACGATCCCGTGCTGAGGGAATGCTGGAGGCGGACATGGTGGATGTTGTACATCATTGACGCTTATTACACCGGTACACTGGGTACCATGAACTTTCGAGTGGCGAATATTACCGCTACAGTGGAATTACCGTGTGAAGAGCTGGAATACGAGTCGGGGGTGAGTATTGACACCCATAGCTTCCTTGGATCCCCCTTTCTGAGGCTCTGGGAGAGTTGAGATAGCTCACCTAGTGCCAGAATATACCCGAGCCGCGCACGCTGCAAGAGTTCAACTGTCGCGAATTCTCCGCCGATCCTATTGATTTCTCATCTTTTGCATATCTCATCGGAGCTGTACAATGTGCAGGATCGGCGATATCCGTAGCACCAAAGATCGCAACTAAAGAAGACTCGGCGCACGTCGTTCAAGCTGCCGACTGTAGTCTGGATGGATGGCGATTGTTATTACCGAAAGATCGCAAGCAGGTCATGGATAAGGATGGAAAGATCGACGAGCTAATGTTTCAAGCTCACTTGATCATTGATGTGTAAATTTTTCCCCTCCAAATTCGTCCTGAATCACCCAAAATGTATCCTCTTAGTCTTAACACATTTGGCAGGTCGACTATCGGATTACACCGACCCTTCTCAGCCCTAAAGTTCAATGCCGTGGAGAATGTATCAAGCTGTGCCCGAGAGCCACCGCTCGACACACCAATCCCAGATTTAATTAACGTACACACCGTGCGCGTCATACGAGCCATAGAGTCCCAGATCCGGCTTCTGGCGCTCCCAGTTCCTGAATTTCACCATACGCCATTTACCACCTGCATGGTGAGTGAGGGAACGCTAGCGCTACTTTCAGCCTGCACTACTCTACTGAAAGGTACCCACTTGTCAACGGCAAGAGATCAGATCCGGATGACATTGGGATGTCTCAAGGTGTTGGGCGAGGTGTGGCCGAGAACCGCAAGGAATGTGCGGGAGATACAGACGATCGCTCAAACGGTGCTCGGAGTTGGGTCGGGGGTGAGTAATAGTAGTGAGACGCCTAGCTCCAGCACTGGCCCGTCTAGCGGTGGAGGAGAGGGGAGTCTTGATCTAGCCAGCTACGTACCGAGCAACGACACAACTAATAGCTCTTCCCTTGGCTCTATTGAGGATCTTTGTGGCTGGTACAGTCTAGGCGATCTGAGTGACATTTCGTGGGGATTGGGCAATGGATCATAAGATCTTGACCTGGAAGCTAGTTCGCGCCAATCTTTTCATATAAATTAATGCAGTATTTTCAATATTATCGTGACCGACAGCTTTGTTGGTTGCCTGATGACAGAGCTTTGCACAGCTCTGTAAATTAGGCGCGTGATCCCAGCCAGTCACCATTATATTGAGGCCCCCATTCTAGAAAGATATTCACCATCGGCAGCATTGATATATTTGTAATTCATATGCGACTCAGGTAGGGATTCCAGCTTCTTTGATGTCCAGTCGATGTGAATCTGGTCGGGACTTGGGGTGGGGTGAATCCCCCCAACTGCAAGTGGTAGCAGAACTTGTTGAAATTATAAATATAGTGTTGAGCTTCATATTCAAGAGGTCGCTCTTTTTAATAAAGTAGGTAATGCATGATGGAGAGGATATAAATAATGCAAACATGTGGAAGTAGAAATCATGCACTTCTGATTGACTGCTCAGAGGACGATTTGATGGCAGTCCATGGTCTAATCACAATTAAATTCGTTGGTATTGTATGATATAAGGACACATTAAACCGTATATAATTTACTCCAGTTCATATCGTCTATCTCGCTGGGTTTCAGCTGATAACTCTGCCTTTTGGTAGATGAACGGCGTATTCCTTGCAGTAGACAGTTCAGCGACTTGTGCGCCGCCCTGCTGCGCATCATACGCATGCCCATCGGACCGACCCACGTTGGGTAGATATATATCTTGCGAGTTCTCTGGAATCGGAACAGACCCACCCTGTCGAGCCTTTCGTCGCTGGAACCAGAGGAACAGCGCAAGGATTATCACAGCAATAACGCCGGCAGCGACGCCGACCCCGATTCCTGCCTTCGCGCCCGAGGAGAGTTTAGACGAACTGTCTGAGCTTGCAGAAGATTGCGATGATGTCGACGTTGCCGAGGTATCTTGGGTTGCTGTTGCGGAAGCCGTAGCTGGCAGGTCACTGAAATCGGTCGACTTCCACCGGATTTCAATACCATAGGCGTTGAAGTAATCCGGAAAGATCATTGAATCCGAGGTGCTTGATGGAGAACCGTCTTTACCGGACCATGTGTAGTTGTACGTCGTCATGACATCTGATTTGGGCCCCCAAACACACACTTCTGTTCCTAGTGTACTCTGGTATGGGGTCACGGTGGACGGTCGGACGGTGTAGGTGTTCGAGCCTACACTGAGGGGAGGATTCAGTGTTAGCCTATTTTCGATATTGAAAAAGAACTCCAAAAGATTTACATCGGACAGCATGTTGCAACGCTTTCCGTGCTCGTTCCCCAATCAACTAAGCCGGTTGTTGCAACGCCATATCCACTTGGACATATTCCCGGAGAGAAGTAGCTGGAAGTAGCCCATCCAGACGGAAGACATCCAGATGTGTCAGTCGGGCCCAGGTTCATCCATATTGTACCGGAGGTGCTGTACCACCACAGCTCATTAAAACACGAGTTGGGTGGTTTGAATGTGGTTGTCAACGGGATAGGGGCATCTTGTGTGGTAGACATAGCAGCCACTTGTGCCTCTGAAAACACTGGATAAGCTGTTTGCACGAAGGTAAGATTAATTGTTATTGCCACTTCATTTTGAACGGGGATTTCTCCTTAAGCACATCAGCACAAAAATGCACAGACAAGCTACTAAGTCATTCATCATGCGTTAGTGTCCCCCAGCCACCCAACAACACTTTGGTTTGCGACTAATATGCAGAGCCTCGCGCGATGAGACCCCACAAGCTGTGGACAACCCCTGGCGGCGATTTGATTCCCCATACAAATTCTTATAAAACCTCCTACTCGTGAGAATCTCATCTATAACGTTAGTGGCCGGTACCAATTCTCATAGAACAAGACATTAAAAAAACCCTGATCTAACATTATGAATTACCAAGTAAGTCAACGCACGTGATTATTAGTGATTTATATCCTGACAAATAAGCTTTATCCTTCCCAAAAATAGTTAATGATCGACCAACAGGGTCAGAATTTGTGGGGCTGTCGGAACTGCCTCGGAAAATAATATCATGTGTTTTCTTTAACCTGAGGCAGTCAGAGCGTATAGACGTGACATTTCTGAAATTTTTTTAAACTGAGTATAGCTTGAAATCTAGATGCACTGCTTATAAAAATTATCACAAAAATATGAGAAATCTACACTATTAATATTAAAAGACAGAGCTCTCTATTCCGGGGTCGTGTGATACCGGCTCTCTGCCTCAGGGTGACCCGTCGCACTAAATCCTGGTACCCTTGGTGATCGCAATATGGAATACAGGGGAAAAACATAAATAGGTGTTTGCACTATTTATGCATAATATGCCTAATAAGGTCGTGCAATTTCATGTCATTTCACTAAAGTCCATTTCAGATATATTTGAAATTTCAAGTTTCGTTATTTCAATTTCATTTCAAGGGGACTTGATCTAGCTGGCACCTACATACCGAGCAACAACATAACTAATAGCTCTTCCCTTGACCCAATTAAGGATATTTGTAGTTGGTACAGCCTAGGAAAGCTGAGCAACGTTTCGTGAGACATGTGAGATGGGCAATAGATCATAAAGTTGCGGTTCTGTGACACCTTCGTGACTAGTAGACCCATGACAAGTACCATCACCATAGTGTTTCGGTCAGGAAACTATGGACTCCATATTGAGCATAATAAGGTTCCAGAACCTGCAACAGGTAGTCGGTCCAATCATTTTGCCACTTCCAAACATAGAGGGCTTTTGAGAATTCCCAGTATTTCGGATACCAGCCACTAAACTCCCAGTCTACAATCCCACTGATATGCCCATTGTTGACTATTATGTTTTTGAAGGCGTAGGTCCCCATGGGTAAAGACAATTTGATGTCTATTCTGAGACAGCATACCAACCAAGAAGCTCTTAATATGACGTTTTGGCACCTTTGATTGATACGCCTCGATAAGTGTATTGTCAAGGGCTTCGTCAGAATCAAACGGGCCTTGCATGTGTTAGCATCAGTGACAGTTCCAGTGTAGACTATAAACCTTTGTTATGATGGCTCTCGACATAGTCCATAAATATCTAAGTATCAAACAGACTACCATAATCATCAATATCTCGAGATATTGGGTGGCCCACAGTCCACAGGTTGAGTGGTAGTCTGCTTCTCTTCTGTGCCAAGCATAATGATAAAGTGAAGCTATACTCCGTACATCTTAAACGGCGACGAGAATCTGCACAACAAGACCGGGGGATAAGATATGGCCCAAGGGTGGGTCATGGAGAGGCAGATGGGGACAATCCCATGGGGGGGAGAGGAACGGGGGTGGACGGCAATGTTTGCCACGTGGCCGTCTATAGATCGACTGCGGGGCGGTTGACCCTACTAATTATGATGCTACAGTTGTTCGATAGCCGAGCCTATCTTTGTTGTTGAGGGTCCCGAGCTGCGTCCTGCAGTGACTAGGGACAGTCTGATACTACGATCTTGACTTTTTAATTGTAGTCATCCGAGAAGAATTCCAGATTTGAAGATACTCAAGTATAATCACAACTTACTGAAATCATGTCAACAAAGACCAGGATAGAAAAGTAGCTCGTCATAGTACGGGATTGAGCAGCCCGGGAATTATATAGGACAATAATAAACTAATATGAAACGGACACCAGACTCAACCACTGGAATGACTTACGTCCCCGAAACCTTGACGTTGCAAATCGCAATTCGACGTGTCGTTCATGTACCAAGCAATGCCAATCAAAAAGACGAAATAGGTGTCTGTTGCTGTTCTAGGCACCTCTGCATTATCGATCGACTTTCTCCGATCAATTGCCTATTGTCGATATTAACCCAGCGTGACCTGGGTATAGAGACCGATAGGAAGTGGGAGGTCTCTAGGCGATTCGAAAGGGTGTTTGTCAGCGCTTCTGGAACGGTGGCCCACATCATTTAAGCCTCGCCAAGATGCATCTTCAATGGCTTGGGCGAGGGAAAATCTGTGGTTATCGTGCTTGAGTCTCCAAAAGTACGGTATGTACCAAGCAGCAACCAAGTGAGGCTGGCTGCATTCAGATGTATGGTATGATGGTATTAGCAAGTCTACGCATTCGCAGGATTTTATATATTGGAATTTTCCTTTACCACCCTTAGTAAGCCTTGTCACGAATCACTCCGCTGTTAGGTGTGAAGTAGTGATTCTTTCTCATCGTGGTGTATTGAATCCGAGGATGAGAGGAGGAGTAAAGACAGCGCGAGAGGAACATTTATAGAGTACGTATAGTAGTGCCAAGCGGCAAATACAGGATTATAGCGGTATGGCACTAGATTGCTGGGATACCACCTATAATGGGGTTTAATGACTTCAGTGCAATTAATTAGCGGAGAAAGGTTCTTTCCCAAAGCCAATGGGATGCTTCAGGCAAAAGACTAATAAACGAAAATATGATGGCATTCATGGATCAGGCCCGAAAGAGGCGAGAAGCTGTGGTTTTGCCCCACTCCCGACAACTTCCTAAAACGGAAGTTGAGGTGGAAAGTTGAGGGCTAAAGACACACTGACATCTTGGCCACTAAGCTACTTGGAGCGGAAAAGTTCGTCTATAGTGTTAGTGGAGAGATGTGCGATTCAATTGCAGCTTCCGGCTAGAAGCTATTGGCCACCTTGTGGGCATGTTCCGAACCGGTGCCTCCTAATAGGCAAGGCTTTTCAACGCCATCCAGAGCGCGGATCGTGGTGTTTTAACGATGCATCGGTAGTTAAAAATTTATTGAGGATTCCATGAATCGATTAGTAAAAGAAATGCAGAACGTGGTATAAAACAGGTTCCCCCCAGTACAGACAGTGCCTTTGTCAGTTTCCAAAGCCAACACCAGCCAGCTATGGCACCCATTGCAGATACACCACTCAGTGGATCTGATCCAAATATGGAGAAGTCTGCTGAAGAGACAGGCTCTCCAAGTCTGGGGGCACCACGGTCTCCATCACAACTAGAGCAGCAATCAGACTTAGCAGATCTCGAACGACTTGGTCGAGAGCGTCCTGCATGTTTCTCTAGTATTTGGTCGGAACTGACTTTTGCATTCTCCATTGTCATGTCCCAGATTCTTGCGGTATGAAGCTTTTCGCACGCGTGCTGGTCAAATATGTCAGAAGAGCTAACTCATGCATCGATAGGAATATTACATATCTGGCTCAAATGTTCTCGTTCCTACGCTGGTCAAGGAATTGCACATCCCAGAAGCTTCGGTAGTATGGCCATCAACCGCACTGTCTCTCGTGGTTACATCAACACTTCTCATATTCGGTCGACTTGGAGATATGTACGGGGGTTATGTGGTCTACCTTGCAGGGGCAGGCTGGCTGGCAGCGTCATCAATCCTAGCCGGCTTCTCTCAAACCTGGCTAATGCTAATCATCTGCCGAGCTCTGCAAGGATTTGCTCTTGCCGCGTTCCTTCCGTCTGGGATCATGATCTTGGGCAGCACATATCGACCCGGTCCACGGAAGAATCTCATTTTCAGCGTTTACGGCGCATGCGCGGCGCTGGGATTCTTCGCCGGTATTTTCTTTTCCGGCTTGTGCAGTCAGTTCCTTAGCTGGAGATGGTACTTTTTCATTGGAGCAATTCTTTCCGCAGTCACTTTTATCTCTTCGTATTTCTCGGTTCCCAGCGATTTTGCGGAAAGGAAAAAAGCAAACGTTAAGATGGACTGGGCTGGATGCTGTCTTTCCGTACCAGGAGCGGTCCTACTCGTATTTTCAATTGCGGAAAGTTCCTACGCACCACAAGGATGGAAGACGCCATACATCCCAGTTTGCTTCTCATTGGGAGTGATTTTTCTGGGACTTATGGTCTACGTCGAAGGATGGGTGGTCAAGGACCCTCTCCTTCCGGGAGATCTGTTTGCAGTCAAATATCTGACACCGCTGGTCATTGCACTGCTTTGTCTTTACGGGAGTCTGGGCATATACTTTCTATACGCAGTTCTATAGTAAGTGGACTCTGAGTGCGATTTGCTCTGTCGCTTTCCAGACTTGTACTAACCTTCTCTACAGCATGTCCGATGTAATGGGTGCAGGCCCGCTACAAATCGTGGCGTGGACGGTCCCCATGGCGGTCGGAGGTCTCATCCTTGCGACAGCAGGAGGATTTATTATGCACAAAGTCTCGGGAACGCTCCTTATGGTTATCTCTTGTATTGGATACGCCGGCGCGGGGCTGTTCTTTGCCGTGATTCCCGAAGGTGGGATATACTGGGGTTTCGTCTTCCCCGCCATGATTTGTGGCACAGTGGGGATCGATATCAGCTTCAACATTTCCAACATATTTATCACCACTCATATGCCCAAAGCCAAGCAGGGATTGGCAGGGGCGTTGATCAATTGCACTCTACACTTTGGGATTGCCATTTTTCTTGGGTTTGCTGATATTGTCAAGTCAGAAACAGAACACCTTGGCCAGTTTAAGAGTTTCAAGGCTGTTTTCTGGTATGAGACAGCGCTGGCACTAGTCGGTGGACTGATTGTTGTGTTCTTCGTGCGGATTCATCATGCAAAGAGTGATTTGACGGTGGAAGAGAGAGAGGCATTGACCGCCGAAAGTCGGAATACATAGTGTGGGTCATCTTTAACTGGGGCATATGACCCTGGATACGTTTTGTACATAGAATACTGTAATACTTCGATATCATGATAGGACGAATATGAATCTGCCTAATTGTTGAGGCTGACAACCAGAGCTAAAAACTGGCGCATGTGAGTGGTTGCCTGAAAAATCGGGGGATGAGCGAATAAGGTTGGGCGGAGGCGGTGAGGCGAGATGCTTTTCCGCCTCCGAGATTAGATCCCCGCAAAACTTCAGCCAACTGTCAACGACGTCAGTCATCCTTGACACCCCTCGGAGCCCGTCAAAATGAAGATTCTCTATATCGGAGTGAGTCTGTGGAGGTCCGTACTGGAGTGCCGTATCTATCTAACCTTCTTCCCGCTTGATAGGTCCTACAGAATGCCCAGCAGCCGGCGGTGGAGCTGTGTGCGGAGCGCGAGCTCAGCAGCTACTCGCGCTTCACTAGGGGTAGCATCAGCGAGTTTATGACCATGTTCAGCAAGACGGTCGCCGAAAGAACAAAGCAAGGCCAGAGACAAGATATCCAGGAGCAAGGCAAGTGTTTACCTTTGCCTACTGGCCACCCGACAACAACCCCCTGACCGCCCCTCTTGTGCTTAGATTTCACATTCCACGTGTATGCGCGGACCCAAGGCATCGCCGGTGTCATCATTAGTGACAACGAATACCCCTCTCTTGCCGCGCATCAGATCCTCTCCAAGGTCCTCGATGAGTTTCTCACCCTCAACCCCAACGCAGGCACCTCCACCCAGCCTGTCTCCTTCCCCTCCCTGAAGACATACATCTCGGCGTACCAGGACCCACACCAAGTGGACAGTATCATGAAGATTCAGAAGGAGCTGGACGAGACCAAGATTGTTCTCCACAAGACTATCGAGAGCGTCTTGGAGCGTGGAGAGAAGATTGACGACCTGGTTAATAAGGTAGACGATACCTCTACGGTGTATTTGACATGTGGGTCCGGAAAAGGAGCTAACTGGGCTTTAGAGTGAGGGTTTGTCCTCGCAATCGAAGATGTTCTACACCTCTGCCAAAAAGCAGAATAGCTGGTAAGGCAGATTACCTCTATTTGCAGACGAACGCTGACATTCGGTAGTTGCATTCTTATGTAAGAGAGATCCCATGGGAGCGGGTGAGACACTTTTCAATATCACTGTAAACCGTCCTGGCAGAGTCTCTCAATCCCTTGACTGCTTGATTTCAATCTGTTCGAAGCGTTTTCTTTTTTTTATTGCAGCTATAGTTGGCATTCGCTTTTAGTTCTGATACAGTAAGCTATTGGCTTGAAATTTGGTGCGCTGGCGGTGGATTAACCATATGTGAAAGGTAAATGGAGCATTGTGAAGATAAATCTCACCATATTCAAACCCCACTTACACTTAGAAGAACATGAAATTATCGTTGATCCGGCTCTGGTGGTTTTACCTTGGTATAGACCTATTGTCTAGTATTCAGGCACCACTTTCTTAAGGATAACCTTGTTTTCTTGTCGATGCGGTGCCTGAAACGAGCCACGCTGACAAGTACGTGTGCGTTGTCCAGCCGCCAGGAACAGGGCGTACACCGATCTTTTATCAGCTTATCACCTGTACAAGTGGACCCCTATTGCATATAGTCCGCTCCACTTTGGATGGAATTTACAAATCGTTACAAAACAAATTGACAAAGAGGCTGAGTACTGTGATAAGGGTGAAACACTCAGATCTTGCCCCAGGTGTGTTGCACTCTCGCTAACGTGGCTATAAAAGGTAAACGATGCTGCTGTCTTGGCTGCACGACATTCCGCGAAGCTCCGAGTAGCGAAATGATAGCTTCCGAGTTATTACCGAGACGGGCTTATCGCTCGGCGACAAAATGGCCTCGTTATTCCTTCGAGACGATCAGAAAATCCCCCCTCGCACTATCGTACGCCGTAGATCAATGCGGAGATTAGGGCACATTAGGGCAGGGCAGCCCCCTTAGGGCAACTCCACCCGGTCCAGCAGCGTCGCGTCCGCCAATTCGCTCTTCTCGTATCGTCTTCTAGAAGGCGATCCACCTCTGATCCCAGTCGGTAAAGAAGCTTGAATTTCCATTACTCTCACCTTTCGGCATGGTGGTACCGCTCAATACCCCGACTGTAACCGGGTTCCCGGCCCGGTCGTGTCTGATTGGTCGCGTGCGCCGAATTTCTCATGCTTCGTTGTAAATATTGTGGGCTTGACAGTTGGGCGTCATTGGGATTGATCTCCTTCTATTACTTGTACAATTGTTGTTCATATAGCCCCTCCTTCATTTATCCCTTCCTTTTATCTAGCCCCAGGTTCCTTCCTTTTGTCCATCATTATCCCAGTATACCCCAGCGTTTGAGCGAGAATAGGTGAGCTCCCCGGAAGCCCTCCACACATAACTATATCTAATGAACCAGCAAAGACTCTTGTGTTACCCATTCTTTTGATTATTTTTCTTTTTTCCTCTGTTAAGTCATTAGACTTATACGGTTACACGCCTGAAACGACGCGCCCTGAAGACAACCCTCGTTACCCCAGTAAATAATATATGAATCGACTGTCCACTTGAACCCGAGAGCACGTTACCGCAAGCAACATGGAACAAGACTTCCCAATCCACCAAGCATTCCCCTTCAGGATGCAGAGGAACCGCTTAGCGGAACTCCTCACAGCAGATGTAATAGCTGCTGCAGGCTCAGCATCACTGATCACTCCGGCCGTCATGATTCTTGACCGGTACGTTTGCCCTATATCGTTGATAAACGCAACCATTCAGGGAGATACCCAACAGCGTTGCTGACAGTGCCCTAGACTTGTCGTGGAGAAGTCATCACACAATCAGCCCCTGTTGCCTGCGTTCCGCCGACACCTGTGGCTCTCCATCACTCAGCCAGCGACCTTCCTTACATCCCGCCCGAGCCTTCTAGTTTGGGGTCTCTACACCGCAACATTCGCCGCAGCAAACGCTACAGAAACTGTCCTGGACCGAGTTTACCCTGATGTCGACCACGCCATTTCGGGAATGGCGACGTTCCTCTCCACATTCGTCGTCAACTCGTCCGTGGGCATCTGGAAGGATGTTAAATTCGCTCAGCTCTTCGGTCACCCCCCAGCTGCAAAGCCTACCAACCCCATCCCCAATCCCACAGCCGTCTCCAAGGGCAGTTTCCTCCGCCGTTCCATCCGTACCATGCCACTAGCAACCTACTCGGCCTTCCTTCTACGTGACGGCCTCACCATCTTCGGCTCCTTCAATCTCCCCGCTGTGGTATCCAGTTCAGTCCCCGACTGGATCGCCTCCCGCGAATACGCCAAGATCCTGTTCGCTCAACTCGCCATCCCGGCCTCCATCCAGCTTGTCAGCACACCCATCCACCTCCTCGGCCTAGACCTCTACAACCGACCGATGCAGCTCCCCGCCCGCGACCGAATCGCGCGGGTCAGCAGAGACTGGATCGGCGCGTCCTTGACACGTATGTGCCGGATTATTCCGGCATTTGGCATCGGTGGATTCGCCAATACTGAAGGACGGGCATTCATGCACCAACAACTCCAGCTATGCGGGGAGGAGTATGAAACCGAGGGCTGAGTTAAATCCCTATCTTATCGCGAAGGCGAAAAAAAGAAAAACAAGAAATAACTCATGCTGCGATGGGATTGGCCCACCGGTTGATGACGACCCACTCGGGAGTGGCAGTAAATGACCGGATCGGGTTCAACTGGTCCCTTACCCGGGCCCTAACCCTAAGTTTATATATAAGCATGCCGTACCCACCTCACTGACCGGGCCGGTTCCCATGCGGTGAGGGGGAGAACGGACAACGCGGGTTCATGACGAGAGAATGAATTCCTTTTGTTCTGGGAATACTACTTGAGATGGCGGGATTTACCCGGTCCCCATGCTTAGACCGATGTGTGCCGGTGGTGGCTCCGATTTTACCCCACTGGATGAGTGTCCCCGCCCCGCTGGAACTGTTGAGACTTATGAGAGCGCCTGTTTGTACAGAGATATAGCCGTTTTGTATATAGAGCGAGATACCAGCTTTGTTAGCTATGAAGAGCTTTTTAAGTACAGTCTTATTCATTTGTTCCATTTGAAAAATAACTTCTACCTACATCGCCTGGCTGTCCGTTCACACCGTGGTGATGGCCTTTGTCATGCACCTCGGAACCCAGCAATTAGAAAATAATAGAGATATAATAGAGATAACTTACATGACAGGTGCAGAAAACTCCATAACACACACCCGTCCATCTGGATACGCAAGGGCAAGCGTATTCCCTTTCGCAACGGAAGAGGAAAACAGACGATAATCGAACGGAAGCCATAAGACCTTTTCGGATGCAAAACAAACCCAGCCACCCTCTACCGATAGCAGAGAACTTGATTCCACGATCTGGTCGTCCAGTGAGGATTCAACTGGGATAGAATGGTCCCCCAGGGTGCGTAGCTGCTGACCGGTTTCGGTATCCCAGAGCTTGATGGTGTTATCGTAGGAGCCGGAGGCAATTATTCGGCTATCCGGTGACAGGGCTACGGACCGAACTGGACTAGAATGGCCTTCTATGGTGCGTAGCTCCTGGCCTGTTTGAGTGTTCCAGAGTTTAATGGTATTGTCATAGGAGCCGGAGGCAACGGTCTGGCTGTCGTGGAAGAAGATCACTGATCGAACTATTCCAGAATGACCTTCCAGGGTGCGTAATTTCTGACCCGTTGTAGGGTTCCACAACTTGATAGTCTTGTCATAGGAGCTGGAGGCGACCATATCGCCATCCGGTGAGAATGCCACTGCGCCAACAAGGCTAGAATGACCCTCCAGGGTGTGCAGCTCCTGACCCTTGTTAGTATCCCAGAGCTTGATAGTACTGTCATAGGAGCCGGAGGCAATTATTTGACCATTCGGTGAAAAAGCCACTGATTGAACCCAGTCGCGATGGCCCTCCAAGGTGCGTAGCTGTTTACCGGTTTTGGTGTCCCAGATCCTAACAGAATTATCGTCGGAACCAGAGGCAAGTATCTGGGTATCCGGGGAGAAAGCTACGGACACAACTGAGACAGAATGACCGACTAGAGTACGTAGCTGCTGGCCAGTCTTGATATCCCAGAGCTTGATCGTACAATCATAGGAGCCAGAGGCAAGCATTTGACCATCCGATGAAAAGACTACCGACGCAACCGAGTCTGAATGGCCTTCCAGGATGCGCAGCGGTTGACCAGTATTGGGACCCCACAGCTTAATAGTATTATCCTTGCTGCCAGATGCGATGATCTGGCCATCTGGTGAAAAGACTAGTGACACGATTGAGTTAGAATAGTCCCAGTGCTTGATAGTGTTGTCCTTCATCTGGCCATCCGGTGCGAAGTCCCCCAATTGAACCCGGTCGGGATGGCCCTGTAGCTCCGCGCTCAATGAACTTTCAACGTGTGGTATAATATACACCCATCTTTGGCTTTCCTGAAATGTTTTGTGAATGATGCTCTGTGTTGGCAGGAATGCCAGCCCAGAGCAGTATAGCTGGAGCGGAAAATCGTTGTAGATGTGATAGTTTTTCAGTACGAAAGACTTTGCATCATCCAAGAATAACGAAAGCTCGGAGCATGTGTCGCTCTATATGCTTCAATTAGTCATTAGTCATTACCTATATTGGATTAAATAGACCTACTTGTGTCGTTGACCGTAGTGTGTTTATCATACTCACCACTTCCGATATCGAACCCATCAAGCTCATCGCCTCCAGCCAGTGAAGAAAGTGTCTCTTTAGAAATGTATGTATTTCGTTTTCATATACCTGATCATCACCCTGGTTATAATGATACATCCAGTAACGGCAGGAATATTGTAACTCTGCTGGGAGACAAGTGGTAATACTTTGAGCGTCAACATCTGCACCTTGTGTCCCATAGCTTGGTAGACCACAGATATTGTGTTTGAGTCCGGATTCCATGATGCGAAGGCAACGTAATGCTATCTTCAGGTGCGACTCCTTTTCGCTGACATGGAAAATACTCGTTGTGTTAAGAAGAAATTCCCGGAATGATGAGTGCAGAATGCGGACCGGAGTGTCGCCGTCACTTGGTACTCTAACAACAGAGTGAAATGCTGCTAAACGAGCGCGAATTCTTCTTTCTGGACTATCAACAAGTCGTGCGATGGCCTTAACAGAAAGCGGAGCTGCCAGAAGAATAATAACTCCAAGTACATCCTGTAGCTGTTTTGCAAAGTCGCTTGTCTCGGTCTCCTCGCGTAGTTTGTTTAATATTGGTAGATATATTCTTTCCATCTGGGAGCCAGATGTAGATGCGGAATCCTTGAGAACTGCATCAAGACGGTCTTCCGGTACCTGGTATCTCTCGCCGATAAAACGACACATGGTGGCGGCGAAGATAAAGAGAGGGACGGATCTAGACACTAAAGTCTCCGTGATATCTTCTCCCGGCCAGCCAGGGGACAACGAATGCTCGTGCTGTATTTTTCCCAGCCGATCTTGGAGAAATAGCCGTATATCACGTTCAATAACTAGAGTAGGAAGCTCATGAAGCACCAAGTTCTGATGTTCCAGATGTTGGAAGCCAAGCCGGATGGGAAATTCGGGTCTACTCGTGACCAAGACCTGCAGACGTAGAGACCTAGATTTCTGCACCTGTGGCAAGAGGTCCAAAAGAATCTTTATGTCCTCTTCTTGCTCACACTCATCTAACGCGTCGATCACAATCACCGTGGATGTAGGTTCATCTAGTGTCAGATTCACTAGTGGCTGAAGGAGAAGCTTGTCAAACTGCTGGCCAAGGGTTTTTGAGGCAATATCTGGATCGCTCTGAATCGCCGCCACGATACCTGGTACTAACTGACGCTGACTGGTAATTAGTTGCTTTGTGAGTGTTGATATAAGCCTTTTAGCATTACCACGATCCGCCTCTCCTTTTTTAAAAAAGAAGCTTGCTCCCAGTAGCCCCATTTCCCTCAGAGACTGTGCAACTGTCCGGGCAATAGTAGACTTCCCAGTGCCTGCCATACCGTTTAACCAGAATATATATTTACCATTCGGCGACCCGGCCCAATCTATAATCTGGCGACGAAGCTCAATCCGGGTCTGAGGGAGGCATTTGTCTTCATGTTGATTATCATAGGAGTCATAGCTGGCTCCTTCTGCAATAGGGAGGCTGAAATTCTGAATAAGCGATTGCACAGACTCGATTATTCTGTCACACTGGCTTAAAAGAAGTTCCGCTTGTTCATTATGGCGCAAGTGTTGATCCATCTGAACCCATTGATGCAGATATTGCTCTTTTTCTTTGATAGATGATTGGAGCTCAGCGAGGCGTTGTTTGGTTATTCCGGCGACAGTGTCCTGTATCCACCGTCCCATACTGGGCTGTTGAGCAATTAATACTTCTGCTGTATATTGGAGGATTACTTTGTAAACGCCAATAATTGCGTGTCCTACTTCGGCTCTTTTCCAAGCCTCATCACTATAGATTTCTTTTTCAACATAGGCACACCGGGCAAGAACATCTGCCAGAAACTCTGATGAATCAAATAGGGCATCACGCAGGTCGAATCGGTTTTTGGTCATCTAGATAATTCGGCTTCCCTATTAATCGATTTGCAGCCTAGATAGTTTCCACTTCACGAAGGCTTACCGTCAAACCAAGCGAGATAACAGCCCAAGCACTTGCTGCATAACAACTAGGATCATAAGCGACAATGGCACTAACAATGTCTTTGAAGGATAATGCTGCATCGATAATGTTGCGTGACAGCTTTCGAAGATCAATATCCTCGCCTGTTGACCTCCGGATCTTGATACTCCCATTTTGGTATTCTTCATATTGTTTTTTGGTCCCCTGAATGACCTTTTCAATAATGGCCTCTGTTGGGGAATGCCCATTCTGGTTGTCTCCTAGTTGGTTCGGACTGAATTTCAACGTGGACAAAAACTGCTGTTCTTTCGGGTCTAGCTGATCATATGCAGATTGCCATAGATCTTGAGGACAGGGAGCATCCTGTGCCTGGTTTATTTTATGCTGGCCGGTTGCGGGTGATGCTGGAGACAAAGATGTGGGGTCATCGTGAGTAATCCCTGCTTTGCTAGGTTGGGTCGTTTTGGGCCTGTGGAGTAGACGGGACTTGACATTTGTTCCCCACGCTTTTAGCTCCTGACGCATCCTGATAGTAATTTATATAGTGTTCCTATTGCAATCGTCTTGGAGACAAGGTTATGGAAGGTGCGCGAAGCGTGCGGGAGGTTTTGCTCCGACATTCGAGTGCGTTGGCGCGGCTGAGGGGCCAGGACATGTATGGTTAGATAGTCATTGGATTTTGACCAACCACAGGCATAGCACAAAAGTGCAACACTTACAAATGATGCTAGTCTTTAGAGGGTTAGACATACCCAAGTATAGCCGAGAAAATCAGGGCGGGGGGGAGGTGAGGCTGTCATCATGCAGCTGAGTCAGATAGGGTTTAGTTAGGGCTTAGCCTCATCAATACGGAGTAGGAGTACTAGAAAAGTAAAAATTAGTTTGTTATCTATGCAATAATTAGTATCTGTCTTTCTATCTAGGTACTCTGATTTAGTTAATAAATGCTCTACTCTAAATAGTATATTTTATTAACTATTTATGGATATCTATAAGTTACGATCACATCATTAACTGACATGACCGTCGTTGAAGAGTAACTAACACCTACGTTACGTTTATGGTTATTCCCTAGATTGTATGCTCTAATATATACAACAGGTCGCAAAAATGATCGGGTAGAAAGGAAACTTGGTCGGGATCATAAGCTGCACGTATATCAACCCCCAGTGATGACACTGTGGAGCCTTGAACCCCAACCTGAGACAACCACTATGTATCGAAGAAACTGGTTGTCTTTTTAAGAAATTGTATGGCTGAAATAGTACTGGCCAGATGATTCATATTGGTATATTATTCTTAAGGTTGCCCGCATTCTGAATGAATCCAAATAGTAATAAGCAATTTAGTTTCGTACTCAAAAGGGAATCATTCACTGGCGGTGGCTATGAACCCTCTCCAATAGGCCCAGGATGCTCACACTTCGCAATCGCATATTATATCTATACCACGCTTGTTTTAACAAGTACCCGACACCAATTGGAAACCATGTGGTATTGGCTTCATTACTGGGTCGCTGGTATCGGAGCCAAGGCATGGGCATCTTCATAAATGGTTCTAAGCTTCTTAAAGTCTGTCACTGTGTCTTCTTATAGGAATATTGTTTCTGGTCGTATGCTGGACACACATGGGATAACTACAGAGGAACTGAAAGAGACAGGACCTCTTAAACCAAGAAACGATTCAACATCTCAGCGTCGTATTGGATGCACCTTAATTGTATATTCTGAGGATCCTTGTATTAGGGTAAGTCGCTTTTCCTGGCCGCTAGCCATAACAAGAGACCTAGTTTTGATCACATACGCAGAAGAGCGTAGGGCAATTGACTGAATTGTAGCTTCCGTTTTAAAATGGTAAGCATGTAATGGCGGGAAGCTATATAGATGTGGCCAGGACATTCTAAATCGTAGATTCAGAATTATGTGATCTTTTAGTCCTATGGAATATAAGGTTCTGGCTATATCTCTTCAAAAGAAGGCGGTAGAGTCTGATAAGTCCGTAATGGAGGAAATTGTGGATGGTTTTAAATAACTTTGAATTGAAAATAATAAGCGTATGAATTTTGTGATAGCTACAGCCATGGGCTTTAATATAAATCATTCTTGACTAACATTGGACTCGTGTACTCAAGATCTCATCAGAAGGCTTTTGAGTCTAAGTGCCACTAAACGGCTCTCAAATAGAACTGCTGATTCTCACTGTCCTCCTCCTTCCTTGGGTAGATGATGATGGGGTTTTCATTGTCGCTGAACCCCCAGGCGACATCAATCACATGACCGGGGAAGGCAAGACTGGCAATGCTATTTTGAAACAAAATTAGGAGCCTAAGCACCTCGGATTATAGGAAAATGAACTTACAAGAACGCTCCACTGCCATCCCTAACGGGCACAAGCTTCCAACGAATTCGTCTGTCGACGGGAGGAAGGACTTCCGCAGTGAGTTGTTGGTTCCTGGCTAAAATCATTGACATTATCAACAACCACTATTGAAGTATAATATTGGGGTATTTAGTCATACCAGCCGTCAGATAGGTGCCATGTTTGCGACTGATAAAAAAGAACTCGTCACCGCCAAGATGGGCAAAAAGAAACTGTTGATCATAGCGTTCCCTGCCCGTATCAACGGGATCACTGTATTCGGAATCAGTTTCTGCTGATGTTGACTGTCAAGGGGTACGCGGTGATATACTAGAGCTGGAGTTTGACATCATCTGGATCGCTCTCATCGACATCAAGTCGTTTCTCGGTAACGTGACGTGGGCAAGGGTGTATGTGCCGGGTCCGGTGAAGTCACTCATGATGGATGATAGCTTTTGGATAATGTGTCAGGTGGGAGTTGTATTTAGTTGGATTGTAAACTGAGAGTTCTGAGTTGAGGAGTTTTTTTTCTGAAGGTGACTTTCGTAGAACGGATACCGATACTTTATAGCTTAGTTTTGAAGAATGATCACGTCTTCTGGCTAGAGTGAATCCACTCTGTATCGCTAGAGTAAACTTATTCGATCGACGATGCTGGAAGATACGGTGTGCATAGCTCCCCCAGAGTCCACATCGTGAGTATGCAGATCTCTCATGGTATACATACTGTTACTGATCTTCATCGCATTTCGTTGGCTTAGTTACTTATTCAGTGGGTCCGGAAATACCGATCTTTGCCTTCGCTTATCGACTTTGACAACGCAAGCCACAGTAACCCCACGCATGCACATCTCAGCTACGCCCTCCATGATTTTCAGTACAGGAATTGCATCATTATACACCACAGCCCCTCATTTACAAGGGATTTTAATCACTCCCATATTAAAATGCTTCCTCGTCTCAGCTAAGTGGCCCTTCACCAGACAACCTTGAAGACGTATGTGCATCTCCTAGTTTTGTTACTATTACTCTGGCGAAACAAGACTGGAGTTACGCCTGTGTCTGGTGTAAAAATGTGTAAATTATGATAATATCTCGCTCTTATGCTGAACCACGGTTTAAAGCTAACCAGCTGCTGCATTGGCGAAGCCTTCCCACTCAGCATCAATTGATAGTTTATACTAAAGACTATTGGGCCTAGATCTCGTAATCATCTTGCAATTGCCGCGATCGACCTACACAATGCCCACCAATGACATCTAGCCAGCCCATGGGTTGATGTGGAGAAATTTGCACAAGACGCCCGCACCCTGACTGACAAGAAGCTGTCGAAGCTAGGAATAGAAGTTCCGTTTTCAAGCGAGTAGCTCCTAATATTCTTGCCGCTATTGACATTATTGTTGGGCCTTATCACGCTCTGGAGCACTACCACTCTCTTTGGTCAATATGTTATAGTACATTCACGGTCATGCATCTTCTTCCTGGCCATTTTCTATCCGCCCACCTTCAAACAAACTAGCCTTGACTATCATTGCCTCTTGCTTTTCCCTTTTTGGGGCGTATCTATCATCGACCAGTTAGATCAGCACCCTGCCCGATATACTTGGGCAGCATAGCCTCGCGCTCAGGTTCTGGCTCATCTGAAGTGAGGCCTTTCTTCTTTACCTTTAATTGCTTCCTATTTGGGGTCTCTCATGGTTGGCTGTTGGCTTGACTCCGTAAGGCCAATTCACCCCCTCTTCTCTCTTTGGTTTTCATTCTTCGCAAGTGCCTGATCAACACCTTTACTATTGGGTAAATGGCATATTACTTTCTACTATTCCCTTCAGCTTTGCATCCTTTGACCCCTCGCCTGAAATTCTCGGAGGTTTGAAAGGGCATTCGGCCGAAACCCCACAACCGGCCCACAAGTAAATGGTAAAACTATGGTTACCCGTACTAAGTAGTACTAGATATCGACTCGATAGCTATGTGCACATACTCTCATCCGTGACCTTACGTCTCGTAACTGTTGAAACTGGATGTTGGTAAAAGGAAACTGAAGAAAAAGGAAGAATAGAATCTTGTGCCAGTAGAACCCTTTTACAAGCAGTCCCGATATAGGGAATCCATTATCTGCCGGATATAAGCCGTAAGATCAATTAATTCAATTACTATACAAAATTCCTCATAAGTAGATTTTTCTAACTGATTGTAGGATTCCGAAGTACATAAAATTTCACTTGCTCAGCTATCTTTCAGCGCTATTAGTTTTAACATCTGACTGTAAAACTAGATACCTCAGGCGACAATTACCCCACCGTCTGTGAGGTGCCGACCTGAATGGCTGCGTAACGCTCTATATAGGTTCTGATCGAGTAGGGGATTTGGATCATTAAGTATTTTGTTCTGTTTTAATTCCAATATATTTTAGCTTAATAATTGATCTCTCCAGTACTATACATCTTGTAGCCCGTAGCCCACAATTATCTTCAACTATCTTTAACTAGAACCAATCCAATGAATATATATTTCTCTCTGCCCACCCCAACCCACAATTATGTTTTCCTTACCACGCTGTAAATCATAACAAGTTACTTATGAAGTTAAGAACTCTCCTAACTATAGTATACACAGGGAAGTCAATGAACATATTTATGAATTGTACAGTCTGTAAGGCTCTGGTAGTTCCAACTAGTGGATAAACATTACTTGCAAGGATTAGGGTATACCTCGCTATAAAAGCTTCTGACCATCTGATCAATTAATTGCTTTGAAGAATTTTTACCGTGTATTCCGTAAAGTACTGTGTATATGCATTCTTTGTAAATAGTCCCATCCACGAGTCAGTCAATTCACAAACCAAACGGTGGGTCCGCACGATGATTGTGGGTCTGACTCAAAGTTGGGATTTAAGAGAACCGTTAATATATCAGGGGCCCAAGTTCCTGGCCACGGCCATGGTGAAACCAAAGCCTAACTGCAATTGTCCGTTCCCAACTATTTTTGGATTAACACTAACCAGACATACTTTCGTTTGCTCCGGGGTATTGCCGAACAGCTTGTTTGTGAGGCCACAACTGGATGTCGAAACATCATTACCAATTGAATAAGCACTAGAGAGAGCGAACTAATACATACGAGGTTAGTTCTTCTCTTTTACTGTATGAATGTTCCAGATTGATGCGTTCATTCCAAGGCCAACGAACCCCTGGACATGGCTTTTCATTTCCGATCTGCATGTCTTCAAAACCCTGAATTTTGAGATCGGAATACCTACCAGCTAGTTTTAGACTATACGTAGGAGACCAACACGGTTGTTTCGACACCACCTTTTAAATGAAACCAGGCGAATCAAATTATATAGATCTACTATTGTGGCTTGCTTTCAAATGTTAAGTTCGACTCAGACCCTGCTCGAAATGGTAGGCATGACCCATTTTGTGGGCTACCTTACTCGCAGAGTGGACAGGATTATGGGAGTAGTTATATGTATCAGGTTTATGCCTTTGGCATCAGACGATTAATTATAAGCCCTGGGAAATCCTAAGGGTACTTCTTTTTCTAGTATCACGTTGTTGGCATTTGACAGTACCGCATGCCAATACCTAACTTTATCCTGAAGATGCGTCGAGCTGCGCTTCTCTCGTTCGCGTTGCAGTCACTAGCCTTAGGCACGAATGCTGCTTTTAGTACCGAATCCGATGCATCCGTATCACGGCTGGATGCGCGAAACTTTGGAGACGCATCATTTGACTACATTGTTGTCGGTGGTGGTACTTGCGGAAATGTCATCGCCACTCGGCTGGCGCAAAAATCACTAAGGGTTGCTTTGGTAGAGGCAGGTGGATTGTATGAATTGGAATCAGTAGCTGCGGTCCCTGCTGCGGACGTTCTTCCCGTTGGATCGGATCCCAACACAAAAGCCCTTCATGACTGGGGATTTGTGGCGGAGAAGGTCCCCGGGGCTAATGGGAGATCCATACATTATGCGAGGGGGAAATGCTTGGGTGGTTCGTATGTTTTAAGCTTAAGCTAAAGCTCGTCGAACTTTACTGATGAATGCGTACAGATCCGCTATGAACTTTATGATTTACCAGCGGTCAGTCCCCGTTGACATGAGAATGTTTGACTGAGCTAATGCAGTATCAGACCGACGCGTGAATCAATGGAACAATGGGCAACAACTGTCAATGACAGCAGCTACACCTTCGACCAGGTTCTACCTTATTACAAGGAAAGTGTACACTTCACACTCCCAAACACGAAGACGCGGTTCGCGAACGCAACGACCGGTTTCGATGCAGCCGCGTATGATTCCCAAGGTGGTCCTCTAGAAGTATCATACGCAAATTATGCAATGCCGTTCTCAACCTGGATGAGCCGCGGAATGAAGGCGATCGGGATCAATGAGACCCAAGACTTCAATCTTGGCTCGTTAATGGGTGCCCAGTATTGCGCTTCGACCATTAGCCCGAAGGACGAGCTCCGGAGCAGCTCTCAGTCCTCATTCCTGGCATCCATCAAAGCCCCTTCCCTAACCACGTATTCGAATACCCTGGCTAAAAAGGTGCTCTTTGACAGGAACAAAACGGCAACTGGAGTTCGGGTCAAGGGTCCGCTGGGTAATACCTTTACCTTGAGCGCAAAGAAAGAAGTGATTATTTCCGCAGGCGCTTTCCAGTCCCCGCAGCTGTTGATGGTCTCTGGAATTGGACCAAAAGATATTCTAGAGCAGCACAATATAGAGGTACTTGCTAATCGACCAGGTGTTGGACAGAACATGTGGGATCATCCATTCTTTGCACCTTCATACCGGGTTAACGTGGATACTTTTACTAAGATCGCGACGAACCTGCTAAACCTCGTCAAAAACTTTCTAAACTCGTCCATCATGAAGAGCGGACCGCTTACGAACCCTGTTGCGGATTATTTGGCATGGGAGAAGATCCCTGATAGTCTGCGGTCCAAGTTCACAAGTCAGACCCTGAAAGACTTGGCCACTTTTACAAGTGATTGGCCAGAAGCTGAGGTAGGTCGGTCTATTGATACGTCTACACTACTAACCTTCACTAATATTATTGAATTCAGTATATCTCCGGCGCAGGCTACATGGGCGCCGTCTCCAACCTCTTAACAGATCAACCCAAAGACGGATACCAATACGCTTCTATACTGGGTGTCCTCATCACCCCTACATCACGAGGAAACGTGACACTGAAATCGGCCGATATCTCCGACCTACCGATTATCAATCCCAACTGGCTCGATACAAAGTCCGACCAGGAAGTAGCAGTGGCAATGTTCAAGCGTATCCGCCAGGCATTCCAGAGCGAAGCTATGGCACCCGCTGTCATAGGAGAAGAGTATTATCCCGGGCAACGCGTCCAAACCAATGACCAGATTCTGGAATATATAAAGAACAATGTGATGACGCTCTGGCACGCCGCTTGTACTTGCAAGATGGGTACTTCGGATGATGAGATGGCGGTGGTTGATAGTCAGGCTCGGGTGTATGGCGTTGAGGGGGTTCGTGTTGTGGATGCTAGTGCTTTTCCGTTTCTTCCTCCGGGACACCCTCAGTCGACAGTGTGCAAGTTTTCATCATATTGATCATATGGGATGGACAATGGCTAATTGTTTACAGACATGTTGGCGGAGAAGATATCGGATGCCATTGTTAATGGATCGAATTGATTTTTGCGGTTATGGGTGTGAGATGGGCTTATCAGTTCCCTGATTATAATTAATTTTGTTCATCACCTGTAGTTATACAGCACTTGATCTGGTTATGCACTTGCCTGAAAAGCTGATAAGAGCTAGGTATGTGTCACATTCTCGAGACATTATTAATCCTCTGGAGAACGAACAAGCAGTTCATGACAAAGATACCTTTAAGGAATGAATTAGAACTCTTCGTGGGTGGATGTGGATATGCGGGCTTTGTAATTAATTGCAGTTGGGTTTATAGAACATAAAATGAATGTGATTTCATGAAGAAGCCCGGGAATATGTGAAGTTTACTAATACGGCTACAAATATGGTGCAATGCCCGACGAAGTTTAAGCCGGTGATTCGTTATAATGTCAATATTGTTGAGTGGAGGCTTTGGAGGCTCAGGGCTGGAGTGGTAGGTTTAGAGATCAGTCAGTGTACGTTGTAGCATTTTTCGCGTTGGAAAAAATTATTCCCTTTGCGAGATACCGGTAGATTTGCTTATAATCCATAGACTAGAATATGTGGATGTAGTCATAGAAATTTTAATCAATTAATTGATTAATAATCCTGAAAGCTGCCTTTTGTTCAATTCTACTTCAGCGATATATTTCGCATCAATCGACGTTGTATTCTGACTCACGTTGCACTACCGACATAGATGTGCATAATATAGCAACAGCCTTGGGTATCCACATTTGCTAGAAATTTTCTAGTACGTTTACCTAGCTCTCCGCAGTCCATGCTGTGCACCATAGCCTCTAATCCACCGCAAAGTGGACCTAGCGAAGGATATATTTAGGAGGGAAAAAGAGCGTGCCTATTTCCCATTCTTGGTATTCCAAGCGACTCTACTTTAGGAGGCCAAGGTACAATGCCGAGGAAAAAAACCAAGGCTCCAAGAATTCCCGCCCGTTGGCGCGTCTCTTACGGAATCCTGACATGGTTCCTGGGTGGCAGTGCTAAATAGTGGCCAGCTAACTCTGGCGATCTACTAAGCGAAAAGTTGACGGGTCGAGCCGAGGCATATCTCGCAGAAACACACGATCGAGTATGAATCAGTTTGTCGTGTCGATCAAACAAATGAAACTCGTCTGATCGTCAGGCGTGAATTTTCTGCCGCTAACGCCAAAGTTCAAACTTCATTCTGGCTGCCTAATGGACTGTATCGAATGAAATAGACGAGTTGATGGACAAGCTTTGTTAGACTCGGAAACTGCGGAACCGTCCACGGAGTCCGCGTGGCCCGTCGTCCGGTACCTTTTTCTTTTGGTGGATCTGGAACGTTGCCTTTTGGAAGCATTGGTACCTCGGTGAAGGTGAACCGTTGGGTGTTTCCGAGGGGGTGATAGGGTAATCGGTAGAAGATGCCCTAATGCAGAAAAAAAAAATATATGAGAGAGAGAAAAAACGAGAAGAAAAGGAAAGAAGAAAAGCGGGAAAATGGAGCTAGTATCAGTTCAAAGACTTATCAATGGCTATAAATACTTCTAAACCAAGAAAAGAACAATACCTCTCCAATCAGATTCAAGATAATCGCTCCACTCGGACTCGGAAGTCGCAGAGACCAACCAATGGAGATGAAAAGCGACCCTCCCCGTGCATCGAAAGAGTTGGAATTGGGAAGCATGCATAAGTCGGTGATACCAATCATTTGCCCATTACTTAAAGTCGCGGATCGGCTGATGAACGTCGAGCTTTTAGCTTTACTTTAACCTCTGTCCGAATCCGCATCCCGTCGCGAAATCTCATCGGCCCATCACTGTACATCCCGAACAACGAGATTATGTGTTGACAGCACTATTTACCCATTCACCTCCATAAAGGACGCCTTTACTCCGTGACACGCTCTCAACTTTCTTTATCCGACGCATCCGAACCACCATGGGTATCCCTACCGCGGGTGTTATCGTTATCGTCATTGTCGCCTGTCTAGCCGCCGTGTCGCTGGGCGCCGCGATGTGGAAACAGGTTTATCCCACCGACCATTCAGCGCATCGATACAATTTCTCTCGCGACCAGGAGCTATATATGCGATCGGTCCGGCTGAAAAACGTGGGGGGTCTTCGACAAGAGTCGCGCACGAAGGAGCCCACGCCAAGGGATCTCGAATCAGCTATTTGTACGTCGCTTGGCTTTCCTATGTAGAAATTTTCGATTGCGAGCGCCTGAGCTAATGCGTGTTGGCCATAATCTAGATACGGAAGATGGCTCGTCGCGGTTTTGAGTCACGTTGATGATCACCGTTTGTCCACTTTCATGGTGGAGTGTATTATGTGATTATGATTATCGCTTCTGCTGCAGCGTTGAATGGCGTTGGTTCACTTGGATATATCCCGGGCTTGAAGGTCTTGAAGATCTTTTGTTTGTTTATTTTTATTTTTATTTTTTTTTTTTTTGTTGTTCGTTTTTTCGTTGTATGAATGTGGGTCTCTTCATTGAGAAAGTGCCATTCGCTCCGCAGGATGATGCAGAACACACTGCGCTGGTGCAATATATACTTGGCTGTCCCATTCATTGCGATATGGTCATAAGGAGTGGGGGGTCACAGGTGTTGCCAGAGGATCTGTCTCGGTGAGTGCATGGGTCTTGGAGGAACAGCTCTTCCATGCAATTTGATCGCTCTCTGTAGATATACCAAGAAACAATAAAAGTTATGTGCTAGAGGTGACAATAGCCCGTTTCAGTGATATGGTAAGCAAGTCTCCACGAGGAAGTGTAAGCCCCCTGGGCGAGAACTGACACTTATTTCCGGGTTAATATCAGTGACACTGCATGAAGGCACACAAAAAGTTACTATGTCTATACGCACTGTTCATATCACATGTAGCTCATAAAGATAGTGTTGCCTTATGAAAACAGGATAGACCTTGACTTTGGTCCTTTCTAGCATATCTCTAGGATACTTTTTGTACGGAGTGGAACCTTATACTAGATATCCCCTGTGTAGTTGACATGTATCTTTAGCCTTCATCTTTTGATCTAGGAGAGCAGTTCATTACACCGTAGTAGTTACCACCCTTCCCTAATTCTAGATTTCCCCAGATTGGCATGTGCAGGGGAACTCCAACCTAAAAGGTTGCTCGTCTCATCGTCTGAAATAGCTCCATTCTTATCACGCTCCTGTATCAACAACTTTCTCAGTAATTCCTGTATTCTTCTGCAGTACTTTCAGATCCAGAGCATTCCTTTGCAATACTTCGTTCATCAGATCTGTTTACATTTCCTGTAGTTTAGATAGGTACTATATATATTGTTCATACCCGTCACACCCTACTAATCTGCTATGTCCTGAGTCGGTATACAGTGGCTTGCACAATTGGTTTACCCCAGACTGAGGTGTAATGCGCCTAATCTCGGGATCGGGTAAAATGCCTGCTTCTACTGCCACTCCGGACTCCTTTCTCACCTGTATTATCAGGTCAAACAATTCTGAAATGAAGCACAATAAGGAGTTCATCCCACTTGAATCAAACCCTCGAAAACTTTTCTCAACTGGCCCATAATCTGGGAACTACCCAATCGCTTCTATATGTACTCTCTTAGTAGTATATTCAAATCTGCAATAATTATTTAAATAAACAGTATCTCTATTAGAATCCACGCTGGTCGCGTTGGGGTTCAAAATCTGGGACCTGTTCGGGTTCTCGGGGTTCGGGTCGGGTCCGGCGGGGAACCCGTGCCACTTTACCCCATACGTGAGAGAAAGTTATCCTTCCCTATTATATTACATGCCAGAAGTTACTTATCATATGTCTTAACGGTGACCCTGTGGAAGCCGGGGTTTGGCAAGACTCTGAGGAAATATTTTGTATATTAATAACACATACAAATACCCTAGCGAATGTGAGACTAATTCAGCACCCAAAAGCCTCCGCGACCTCGTAACCCCACTAAGCCATCATTACCTTTCTGCAGATTAACCTCTTTGACATTGGAATAATGATAGGTATGCAAATTGCTCTCCAATAAGCCTTCTATTTCTTTCAAGCTCTAATATCAAACCGTCGATTTCTAGGACCATCTTTCAACCTAAAGCTGAAAATGAGTACTGGCTTTGATCTCTGCGAACAGATTACTTTGGCCGTTCGTGGCCGGTGTGAGACCTGGAATTTCATTCGCAATTTCACTTCCCACTGGGTGACCCCGCTAGTGGAGGCTGATGGATACAGCGAATTGGCCCTCTCAGCAGCTGAGGAGCGGCTCGGGATTTCATTGCCCGCAGTATTGAAGGAGACATATGCCCTTTTCGGTTGCCGTTCAGATCTCACTCGCAATCAAGAATAGTTGCTGGAACCAGTGGCTCTTTACATTGGCCATAATGCCTTAATATTTCGGCAAGAGAACCAAGGTGCTGCCCTCTGCGGAATTCTGCTAGCAGACCTACAGCATGCGGATCGTCCTGTATATCACTGCCGGTATTTAGTAAATGATGTAATGGAGGAATAGGAACTCTGGCTAGGGCGATTCTCTCTTGCGTGTCTTGATCTTATCCAGTGGGAATCATCATATGACTCAAGGATGCCGACTGAATGGCGGGATAGCGATGATAACGACCTTGCATTGGTTCAACAACTCTACTTAGAGCTCCCCTTTTTGGAGGGAAGTGACAGTTATACCCCTTTTGGTGTGCGTTGGTTTACTGGGACTGACCTGCTTCTTTGCTACACTGGCTTTGATCTCAGGGTCCGAGTACGTACCCGAGAAGCACTATGTTCCATTCGCGAGAACCTCCCTGGAGAATGGTTGAATGAATGAAGGAACCACTTCAGCCGGCCTCCTAGATACCCAGAGATCCGCTTTTAGTGAATATGTCCAGATTGAATTATTTTCATCTAGAATATGCCGAAGAACCATTCGGTTACGTAACGGAGATAAAGTGTTCTTTCAAGCAATTAAGTCCATATCCAGCCAATTATTCTTTTACACCAAGTCCCGAGTCTTCCGATCCCGCATGCTGTTTAGTGATTCAAATATCTGGAGAAAGGCATAGTGCCCCTTTTTTTTTTTTTTTTTTTTTTTGAAAAATACCTTCACAATGAAGGCTTTAAGAATGCTTTTAGAGGAGATACTATAGTTGGGAGATTACATTGTGTGACATTCCCTGCAATTAGTAAATCTCATCGAGGATATTTACCTAAACATGGCGTGAAGAACAAATGCCATATTCTACAAGAGTTTGCTCAATGATGGTGATAGAACTTTTAATAACATGGATGAGGAAGGAGTCAAAGTGATTCTGGTGATGTTGATGATCAATAAAGACTCAAAGGGTGCGTCGAAGACTGTTGGGAAAAAAAATTGTTTATTCCACTTGATCAGTTATGAAATTAATGTCGTGAACTGAAGATGATGATACACACCTAGATACTTAAGAGAAATCCTAGTCAAAGTAAGATTTCTACAAGATAACCTTAGACACATAAGGATTCTCGTTAGTCGTCTACTCTGTATATGATATGATCTAAGGAGCCTCTTGGGCCTGTGCCACAATGGTAGCTTGGTGGTCAACCCTTCTAGAAAAATTCAAATTTCCTTACATCGATGAAAGATTAAAACTACCTTTTAAAATATAACGTCCCTTTGCGTCCCTCTGCGTCCCTCTGATAGATGGAGGTGATCACAAATGCCTCAACTCTATTTTACTCTTAAACACACTGAAGCTAGTTAATAGCTTGAATAGTAGTTATACAGTTCGCCATACTTTATATACTCACTTCCTACGGCGTAGCTAATACCTTACTATCTACTAGTCAGAACGCGAGAGGGGATTAATAATACTGTTTTCGGAAAAAGAATATTTATTATCCAAGTGACGAAACGGAGCAGAGTGGGACTAAATAATTGACAGAGTCACTCTCTTTCTGGTTGATGACTGTTTCGTCACCTTCGCCTGGGTATGATCTGTAAAGGAGTCTGTAGGAGATGAGTACTTCTTTTTTCGTAGGTTTGTAATGAGTTGTGGATAAGTCACAGTAGAGCCACTTCCAGATGGTAGGCCACAAGGCATGGAGGCTATTGGCTGTCTTTCACGCTGTTCTTCAGTTACATTTTGATGATCAGAATGACCCTGATCAGAAGTGTTCGTGAGTCGATAGAGTTCATCCAGGATCGCTTGGTCCAAGAACTTCTCGAACTTAGTGAAAAACCCTCGCTGGAACGGATAGAAGGTTTCTTTATAAGGACCGTTGAATGTCCCAATCCTTGCATCAGGGCTGTTCACGTAGAGGATATAGTCCAGCGCACAGCAAAGCCACGAGTGCCCGTTATTCCTAAAGTACTCTGGTTGATGTTCTTCGCCACCAGCAAACTTTGTCCTATACATGTCCCTTTTGATATCTGTTACGAGGATTCCCCCCAGTCCCCATTTTGGTATCGTTTCGCATCAGCCTCCCTCTCGATGAGGGCTTTGAATGCTTCTTCATATCTGCAACCATCATTAGTTGAAAGGAAAGCACTAAGTCATGCGGGCCGCGGGCGGGAGGAAGCGAACCGAGTCATGATGGAGTTTCGCTGGTTCCAAAAACCAAGTTTCGAAATATCTGGGACGTCCCAGGATTCTGACCCCCTAAGCCACCCCATGAGTATGCCGAGCGATGTAACCACTAGCATAAAGTCAGCCAGGGATTGACCTGAAATTTTAGCATAGGGGCAGAAGAAGAAGGAAGATCACCTCTGCGGCTGCGAAACGGGGTGAGCCCCAGACGACAGAACTCGTGGAATTCTGACATAAAGAAGTGTGGGCAGTTTTATCGGATTCTCCTCCTTTATCTTTGTTATCTGACTCTGAAGTCGCAGCAAACCAACGAAACGTTTGGGCAACCTGGGGGAGGGTCATTTCAGTTTAGACATAGCAAAGGATGGATACTTTAGTTTGACACTTACCGCAGTCGCACTGTTTCCCATAACCTGCTCTTGACTCGGGTACTTCTCACGCGTACCACGGGCGTTTCTAATCTTCGAGCTGGTTACATGCGTAGCAATAATGTTCCCCTTGCCGCTAAGGTCCAGCTGCCCCAGGGCCTGTTTCTCCCCCTCGCTAACGAACTGCCTGGCGTCGCCGCTATCGATTTTCTTGAACATGACCTCCATTGCTGCATCTGTCTCTTGCGATAGCATGTCATCGCCCGCCTGTTTCCTTAGTTCTACCAGATCACCCTTCCCTTTATTATTAGACTTCTTTTCCACGACGGAAACATTTTTTATATCGTCGACGTTGGGAAGCGATCAATCTGGTCGGAATTTCAGATATGCATCGTAGTCTTTTTCCAAACCCACGTTTCATAGTGGCCAAGAGGAGATTTTGCAAGCTAGAGCCTGCAAAGCAGGTTGGTAGTCTTCTAGGTCAATTTGGGCAGGGAATCGAGCATTTATTCAGCTAATGATATATGGCATATTGATGTATTTGAGAGAGGGATGCCAATCCAATTCAACCACATGAATTTCCTCTCTTTTCACTTGCGTCCTCTCCCCTACGCCGTTGAGATATTCCACTGAATCTCCGTAGTCAATAGCCTTATGATCATAATCATACTAGTCCTTCGTCAGATCACTCTCGAAACGAAGTGGGTGTGTCGGCGCCTTTCGCCTCTCATTCCCATTATATCCATCTATGAGTTTCATGCCTTCTCCTAGCTTCATTCCTGTACAGTTATATGTATACTATAGGTAGTGATATCACCACAGCCACAGCCCTGTGAGAGCCACAGATTGAAAAAGAAAAAAAAAAAAAAAGTCCTAGGAAAAGCTCATATCCGGCTTAAACTTCAGATGCTCCAACCCACGACAATCCAGTTCAATCATCCTAGCTTCTACTAAATTTTACACTGTGTTTATACATCCTGGTAGGTCCCGGGTGGGAAATATAAATTTGCAAACCCCGCATTAGGGAATTCCTCTCTCAACAACACTAAGCTATGCACCACTGATCCTAAGAAAATAGATATAGCAATGTAGCATATTGATTCTAATGAAATATTTTACATGACAATTATTAGTGTTGTTGTTAGTATTAGCAAACATTAATAATAGAATGTGTTTTGCTGCCCCTCAAGCTTGGCAGAGATGCAGATGCTAATCGATAAAGACGGCACGATAGACCACCTCCTTACTTACACTAGACCAGCATCATTTTTTAACCGAACGCTAATCCCTGCTGGTCAATTGATTAGTTCCCGACTTGTTCTCGCCACAAACGCGAGCGATGGCGTGCTTCCACGATCAAAAATTAAAGTAATTCCCCAGGATTCCGAACCACAACCAACTGCAGAGATATGCAGAAAAACGAGGAACGTGCTCAACACATGTAACCAGCATTCGACAAATCTCATATACACCATGTCTTATCCGATTGAAAAGGCAAACCCCACTGTCAATTCTCCACCAGAGACGTCGGATATGGAAAGATGCAAGTCAAAAGAAAGCTCAGAACGGCCTGCACAGCCTACCCTAGAACGACAAAAATGGTATCAATGGTTTGCGCCGACAGACACCCCAGCCGAGCGTCGTCTGATACTCAAGTTGGACGGCTTGATTATCGTCTTCCTCTTTTTGGCCCATTGGGCGAAGGTCCTGGATTCGTCGGCGACGAGTACTGCCTATGTGAGTGGGATGAAAGAGGATCTGAAGCTGTATGGGAATCAACTTAATTATCTCAACACAGTGTATATGTAAGTTCTCTATTAGGTGGCATGTAGATGGAAGTTTCTAATTTGTCATACAGGGTTGGATTCATCACGATGCAGATCCCTCTGACATTGGCGGTTAGTTGCATATTGGCAATGAGTGGGAATGAAAAAAATACTAATGCGGCAGTTTAGATGACCCGCTGCCCAGTGAACTATTTCCTCCCAGCTGCAGATTTGTTCTGGGGTGTTTTTACGCTGGCTCAATACAAGGCCAGCAGCGTGACCCAGCTCTATGCCCTTCGGTTTTTCGTTGGCGCTCTTGGTGGCTTTTTTTTCCCTGCTGTCCAATGGTATCTGGGCAGTTGGTATAAAAGGTCTGAACTTGCACGTCGTGGCGCAATCTTTTTCATCGCTAGCCAGGTAGGCAGTATGAGCTCGGGGTATATCCAAGCCGGTGCCTATGCACGACTGGATGGTCGGTATGGGATCGAAGGATGGAGATGGCTATATATTATCTGTAAGCCGTATTGCTCTCCACTGTATCGCAGATGTACCCTCTAACGGATCAATAGGCTTTGCCTGTACTATCCCGATTGCCTTTCTTGGTTTATGTCTACTTCCCAGTACCCCAGATCGATGCAACTCTCGCTATCTCACCCAGGATGAGATTCGCCTAGCACAAGAACGCATGGCTGCCGAACACCGCGAGCCTCGTCAACCATTTACTATCCCCAGAATTGTCACCATCTTAAAAGGGTGGCGTATTTGGGTTCTCGTCGGGTTCGCCTTCTTCTTCTCCCAAGCTGACGGGGTCTCCTCAAATAGTGGTTTGTCGCTCTGGCTTAAAGAAGAAAATTATTCCGTCGAATCCATCAACACTATTACCACTGTGTCGCCAGCCGTCACTATTGTCGCCTCGATCGTGTGCGGCGTGATATCCGATATCTACGACGCCAAGGTCTCGTTGATCGCTATCACTGCGCTGCTGAATATCTTCGCCTGTCTGGTACTTGCGATATGGAATGTTCCGGTAGGGCTGAAATTCTTCGCATTCTTCCTGTCTGGCACAGCAGATGGTATTGCCGCCATTATATATGCCTGGGCGAACGAGATTTGTGCACGCAGTGCAGAGGAGCGGGCCTTGGTTATTAGTGCCATGAATACTATCGGGAATACGTTTGGCGCTTGGATTCCGCTTTTGTAAGTGATTCTAGAATTGTGTCGGTAGGTGGATACTTATGCTAACTTTGATTGGCAGTGTATGGAAGACGGTGGATGCACCCAGGTATTTGATTGGATATAATTGGAATCTGGCGCTGGATGTCTGCATGTTGATCATGCTATTTGTGCTACGGTACTTCTGGGTCAGGGAGCAACGAAGGGATAGGGCATGAAGCTCATATGAACATGCTCTGCCACTATATGATGATATATGAACGACTTGGTCTGTAAAATCTATGTTTTTAGCCCGTGATAACTCTAAACTCTACGACGGTAAGACAATCCAAGATATTATTATATTCCTCGCGATATAATCGCATCATGGTTTCCGAAATGCTTCATAAACCGTCCACGAATCACCCGGTGCTCGCGTTCTCCGATAGCAATCGGCCACAGAACTCTAGCAGCACCATCTTCAAAGCCGATCGGGCAGCCGTCTGCCCGCTGACACTCCGGTGCAGCACTCATATAACCCGGGTCAACGGTATTCATAGCGACATGCCGCTTCCACGCCGATTCACTCTCGGTCTCCGTGATCATATTCAGCGCCGCCTTGGACATATTCGTGTGAACATGGTGACCAGCTTTGCTAGCAGACTTCGTCCTGCTCTCCAGGATCCCCTCCCGGGACGACACATTCACGATGTATCCCAAAGGCCGCAACGACTTCTCCGTAGCCCCCATTCGGGGCAATAGCTCCCGACATAGAATCAGCGGGACAAACGCATTCACAGCCTGCGCACTAATGACATCCTCATATGGGATCTGGTCCAGATGCTGAGTCCACGATGACTTTGAGTCATCCTCCACCATTCCATCCGGACCCAGACCCTTCTGCACCATTCCCTGACCTTCCATAGACTCTGACTCGGCGGCACCCGCAATCTGCAACCGGACGCGATCCTCAATGCCACCCCAAGCACTGCTGCCCACTCCACCCCGAAGCTTGGGCACATACCGCTCCCCATAATCCGCCATCACTTCATGTCCCCCAACCTCCCCTTCCAACTGCTCCTCCCTCACAATAGCCCTCGTTTCAGAACGCACAGGATCCGTCAAAGTCTGCGCTGCATTATTAATCAGAATATCCAGCGCCCTGTCCGCAGTCCTACCCGCATCCCCATTCCTCTCCCCCTCCCAACCATCCAGTAACCGCTTCACAACCTCCACAAGCCGGAACGCATCTCTAGCCGTGCGGAAATCCGCCCCCACAACCCTCAACCGCGACGAAAAGTCCCCGAAATCGACCTCCTTCATATACCGCACCACCGCGTCCCGCGGATATCGCGATGACACGATCACACTGGCTCCACAGCGGAGCAGCCGTAGCGCAGTTTCATAACCGAGGTTGATTCTTCCGCCCGTTACCAGGGCCGTTTTACCTCTTAACTTGAGATTCGGGGGTTCTGAAATCGCCGACGAGGCTAGGTTGAATGACCCGCATGGTCGACACAGTGACGGGTATATATTGTGCGCTTCGTCAGTTCGGATTTCAAAATGGCACATGTAGCAAGTTCGCTTTTGTCTGCGGGACTTGTAACTAGCCTTGGAGTCAAGCCGGCTGTCTTTATGAGCTGTGTGGAGGTGATTCACAACACGGAGACCCCCTTCAAACGCCAGTTGGGTTTTCACAGATGAGATCACGTCCGGGAATGGACTTGTGCTGTTAAGCATGGAGATGGAGGGGTATTTCTGGAGGTATTCGAGTACGCGGAGCGCGGATTGGAAGTCCTTTGTTCTGGGGATTATCCCTGTTCCTTTTTCGGTGTCTTCGCTTGTCCAGGTTCTGATGCAGCTCATTTGGTTTACGGAGGCTTTGATTCCGCTGATGACGCCCTGGCATTGGAGTCTGCGGATTGGGGCTGGGATGGTGGTGTCTGGGATTAGATGTTTGGAGATTTCGTCGAGGAGATCACAGGGCTGGGTTGGGAGGTGCATGGCTAGTGGACTGGGGAGGTGGTTCTCCTGGCAGAGGATTTGGTCGCGGCGTAGACATGCTGCCATTATGGATGGAGGCTGGGTTTGGATGAATTCAATGTAGTCTTTCTCTTCTTCTGTTTGGGGCATTTTGTAGGAAGTAGGATATATAGGAATGATTTTTATAAAGTATCGTGGGGGAGGGGGCGTAGACTGTATAATTTATATACTAGGGCTATGAGGCTGAAACAAGTAAAAATCGATGTGTGGGGGGGAGGAGTGGATCGTTACTAATGAGTCACTCGATTTTTTGGCCCCATTACTAGGGTTCGTATCAACTCTACTAGTGTAGTATGTATCCATGGCCATATATATATATCCCCACCATCCCATACCTCAAGCAGTCCAAATATCGCGTACCCAATACACTCAAAAAAATCAAAAAGAAAAAGGATCACCACTTCTCCAAACACCAAAAAAAAAAAAAAAAAAAATGCTAACAAATACCTCCCTCAACAAAATAATCACTTCCTTCTCCACCCTCCCCAGAGAAGTAGCCCACCAAATCCTCAACGACATCCGGATCTGGGACATCCTGCGGCTCATCTGTTACAACGATGCACACATCAACACCGACATCCTCACCCACCCAACCCTGGGCCGACTCTTGCACTACGATCCAGAAATCCTAGATGAAGTCCGCAAAACAGCAGATTTATACCGCACAGTCTGCACGGCCCACAACCTCACCGCAGCGCCACTATCATCTCCCCTGGCGTTAAACACCCAGACCTTCAAATCAGACTTTAAAGCAATCACAAATTACATGCACCACCGCCTCATCGAGGAATTATATCTAGAGTCCTGGAAACGGGACGTCCTTGCTCATTACACCCCATTGCCAGCTGTATGGGACTCATCTACTATCCAGGGGTTAGAAGCTCGTTGGAACGCGATTCAAGACGCGCAGTTGAAACTAAACACGCGGAAAGCAAGTCAGCTTCGTAAAGCAGCTGATTTGCTGGAGACTAATCCCGACATTGTGAAGAAAATGATCGATCCTAGTCAGGCGCTGCGGAAGAATATTCCACATATTGTCCAGCGGATTAGGGGGACTGAGAAGCGGGTTAAATGGCAATCTTTGCTTCGGGGGGGTAGGTTGAAAGGCATGTCATGGTTTGCGTATGGGCATTTCCCGGTTGTCCCGTTTGATCGGGCTTTGGGGGTTGTTTTGCGGGGTTTGGAGGGGATGGGGGTTAAATATGAATTAGGGGAGGAAGAGGAGGAGGTTGATTCTGGGAGGTTGATGAGGGAAACTGAGAGCTTGGGGGAGGTGGGTAGCTTGGTGAGAGTTGTGGTTGAGGGGTTGAAGTTTGTGTATGATGGTGAGGATGGGGGTCGGTTGCCTAGGATAGCTAGGGAGGAGGGTGGGGATTCTTTCTATTTTATTCCGAGGGGTCCTCTGGATGCGTTCCTTTATACCGGGGATGGCCTGGCGAGGATGTATGAGGCTCATGATGAGAGGGAGATTGCCTGGTTGGAGGCTTTTGTGGCGGTGTATCGGTATTTTAGACCCGGGGGTGAGATGTCTGGTTAGTCTGGGAGATCTGGGTTTGTTTTGAATAGTACCTAAAGAAGATATCATCATCATTAATTGGATATTTAACTGAACGATATGTTAGAATTACATCTGAGTTGATGTAGTGGAAGAAAGAGAAAGAAACGATCAAAGATATCAGTACGCTGTGATAGCAATCATATTAAGCAAGATGCTCAGTTGTGCTAGTATTCCTTGAGCTATACATATGAAAATGAGGGTTGAATATTTGAACGGTCTGCGCTTCTAATATATGCTTAGTACAAGATTCCTTGTTATTTCTTGCGCCTTTATTCATCAGATTCTGGGCCGGTCGTTTGCTCTTAGCAAGATTTATATTCAGGCCGTGTTGGGAATTTTCCCCCATTGTGGCTCGCTCTCGTGCAACGGTTGCGAAGCAACAATAGAAAGTAAGCAAGGCAGGGCCAAGTAGCTAACCCGTCTTTACCAAACTTGCTAGACCGGAGCTTAACCATCTTTGCCTCAATCAAGGAATTGGAAAGTGCAGACATAATCATTATGGGTGACACACCTTCTGTTCTTTCTGTATGTTAAATTCATTTTTCGTTTGTTTAATAGTCATCATTGAGCAGGGTTTCCGGTGCCTTGCGGTCCGTCTACTGACGCCTTTTAATTGGATTGCCTGTAAAATTTCCATAATCTCGTAGCGGCTGGGCGGCACCGTTATTATGAACGTCACTAGCAGTAGTGCATCAGAAATGACTGTGCATCCTGTCTGCAGACGGTAAGCGCGTAGGTGTTAATGAAGGGATGGTGGGGAATGTTCTCCACTAGGCAAACAAACAAGGCAGGGCCTTGCATAGACACGTGATCGTATCGGCCAATGACAACCTAGTGGAAGAGCCTCAAGGTAGCTCCGTGCGCATCTCCCCTCTCTCTATTACTTCGATACGTGGGCTTTGATTAGCGGACGGTGGGAATCTCTGACTCATTGAGGCTCATATAGGCGACCAACATGAACATTGGCCGCTGATTTGTCCATTCCTCAGGCAACTAGATAGTCCAGGCAAGGGCCTTCTGCCTGCTACCGTTACATACACAATGACTGAGTCATTGTACAACAATGGTAGTGGTGTGTGTGCCAGAGTTGCTGGGATGCGCTTTGTAGCTCATAATCTGCTTAAATGGCAGGCCTCCTGCCCTTTCGCCATGTTTAGCTTGCTAGAGAGAACGACTATCCGCTACCTCTCAAGTCTCAACTGATTTGCTCTGGAAATATCCTGAGCCAGATGTATATACTGTACGACTCCGATCAAGAATCTAACAATAGCGACAGCGATAGCGAAATGTCGTCATGTACTGAAGAGGAAGCTACATGCGAGAGAGGCGCGCCGACGACTTCAGGTCAGTTTGTTTTTAAGTTTTAACTGTTCAACAGTAGTAGAAGAGCTAGACTAATACTCTATAAGACCCGGAGTCTCAGCCTGTGAACTATGCCCCTACCGGTTCCATCTGTGAGGTTCATAACCTCTACGAGTCTAAGCCGGACAAAAGGGGTCGCACATCGTGGACAAAGGAGTACCCTGACGACCTCAGTGTCCCGGCCGAGGATACTGAATCTGGTCAGTACGCACTCCTGGTGCGAAATGTTAAGTGCTACGACGGCCGCAAACCCCTACAGATCCACTCCATCGTTGTTCAGAGTACATTGCTGAAAGAATTCCTGGCCAAGGTCTTCAAGAACTACCCCGGCCTGACAATGACACTAAAGCGGGTTGAGTTCAAACCGCCCTTCATGCCGTTTGTCCACCGGTGGGAAGAGTTCTCAAACGCCCGGGAGGAAGTCAAAGACCCCAAGACCAAGTCTGTGGTTGACCTGCTCTATAGCATTCTAGAGGAAGAGCTTCGTGAGACTATTACCCGCAGGAAGGACCTGATCCTCAATGGCGTGGTCACACACGATTTACTCTGGACGATTTTTGAACCGGGAGTCCATGTTTACTGTATTTATGGTGACCATGAACGTGTCTTCCAGTCGGTGTCGGCCTCCACCAATTGTGAAGGAGTATTTGTTGTGTCCGCCAAGTACGTTGACTATGATGGAACCGGCTTTGGATATAGGAAGAACAGCCGATACATCCCGCCTTTCCAAGGAACACTGCCAATCAATGCCCTACCCGTTTTCCCTCTACATTTTCACCCGAATGCAGGCACTGTACGGGACAATCTGATTTCCCGGGGAAGATTGTGGGAGGAACACAGCGGTTATCACTACAAGCAATACGAAGGGCCTGGATTCACCAAATTCATGGGTCAGGAGATGCAGCTCAACGTGAAGAGCCGGGTAATTATCGATGGCGAGGCCTTCAATACTTTCAACCCCAACGACTCAACTAGAGTTGATGGCTGCATAAAAACTCTCAACGATGAGCAACGGCTTCTCGCAACTCCTACGTTACGTGGGTACTCGCTCAAGGATAAAAAGTGGCTTGAATTGTATCTTGAAGGGGTAAGGGATATTGTCTGGGACTCACGGGCTTTCGACTCACTGGTCCTTCCGGCGGAGCAGCAGCGGCTGAAAGGCCTGATTCTGGCCATCGCAAAAGCTCAGTCGAAGCAGATGGACACCTTTGACGATGTAGTGCAGGGCAAGGGTCGGGGCGTGATCATACAGCTGAGTGGCCCTCCGGGCGTAGGAAAGACGCTCACGGCTGAGAGTGTGGCAGAGGTCATGCGGGTTCCTCTATATGTCCTGAGTGCGGGAGACCTAGGCACATCCGCTGGGAATGTCGAAAAGGCATTGAAAGATATCCTTCGCATGGTCCCGAAGTGGGGTGCAGTTCTTCTGCTGGACGAGGCGGATGTGTTCATGGAGACGCGCAATTCTACGGATCTGGAGCGAAACGAGTTAGTTTCGATCTTCTTGCGACTTTTGGAATATTATGAGGTAAGTAGCCTGATTAATACCAACGTACGGCAAAGTCAAGCTGATTGATTGGATAGGGTATTTTGTTCCTCACGACCAACCGTGCAGAAAGCATCGATCCAGCTTTCGAGTCGCGTATTCATGTGTCGGTTCGGTACCCTGACCTCGATGCCAAGTCACGACGTCAAATCTGGGCACAATTCCTGGGCGGAAATGGAGGATTCTCGTCGGAACAGCTGGACTATCTTGCCCAGGTGAAGCTAAATGGCCGACAAATCAAGAATGTATTGAAGACGGCGCATCTTCTTGCGCGCGAGCAGGATCATGAGATTGGATATGATCATATTCGGACGGTTTTGGATTTGCGGGTTCCAAGTAATGCGAGCCCGATGGATGAGACTGATTAATATAGCTCATCCTTGGGTGCAATTCAGAGATGTTAATGACGCAAGGAATCCTCTGTTGTAATGATATTTTCGATACACGCATATTGTGAGCATTTCTACGTTTTGACCTATTTCTTATGTTTTACAAGTCCTCATGAGAAATAATGCTTGGCATGTGTCACTGTCACTTGGTTTGTGAACAGCAGGGTTTGTGTGAGTCTTTCGGTTGTAGTTGGAGTTTTATCCACCTCAAAGCGGTTTACCTGGATTTCGGTCGAGCCATATAGTGTTGACGATTGTGTCCTTTTGCTTGAGCCATGGACTACGCCGTAGTGCCATGGAAAGGAGTAGTCCTGAGGCTATTACGCAACTCATATCGTGCTCATCATGATGAATACGTCTCTACCATTATTACCCCCACTATAGACACAGAAAGCTCATTTCGCTACATTAGGTGCACACCGTGCTCAGATTATACTCACGTTAGACTACTAAAACACATCAAAAAGTATAACTAACGGTTTCTCAGAGACCCCGGAACTTGTACGAGCCAGGATAATGACCAGGCCTAATCCAACATCCCAGGGGCATCCCCTGGATCTATATCAAAGCGACGATGTGGTTGTCGAGGTCTATACAGACCTTCAAACAGTTATCGGCTTCATCAGGGAGTACTTGGAGTCCTTTTTGAGTGGCGGCGAACAATACGTGGCAATCACGCAGGTGTCCGACGCTGACCTTCTCGAGTTCAATAAATGGCGAGCATGTACTCGCCCTCGTATGTTCCTAGTCCGCGCATTCCGCCAATACAATACTCTCGTCATGAAGTTTAAATCGCCGCTATGCGACCAACTCAGCGCAGCCATGTACCAAAGGTTCTATATTCGTAAATATCAACAGCATCACGGGCTCACTTCGGATATACTCTCTCATGTCGGCCCAACGATATACACTATGCACAACGGACTACAGTCGAAACAGAACAGGCCTATATCCCAGGTACAAGCAGAGGTCCCGATAGCTACCCGTCCCTCGTCATGGAATTCGGGGATACGACTTCTCTTGATGCGCTTCGAGTGGATGCGCGTTTATGGCTGGGAAATACCTCCGGACTCACCCGGTTTGCCTTGGTAGTAGCCTTCTCTACTAATGAGATTGTACTTGAATGCTGGGAAAATAGAGATGGCGTTGCAGAATGTACACATGAGGTCAGTGTGAATTATCAAAGTGGAAGAGTTCGACATGCGCCCCTGATGATACCGCTAGCGCAGATTTTAGATGAGATGCCTGACCTTCCGGGTATAACTGAGGATGCGACTATTGCATTTTCGGATGATGACCTTGTTAGCCTTATGCGGGAGACTATTTATGGTGAGACGTCGTGAATGGGCATTGTTCACTTTTCTTGTTGTGCGGGAGTCTTTTTAGTTCTGTGTGCAGACGTCTGGATGTTGATGGATCGAAAGACTAAACTTAGCTGATGAGATACTTGCTTTCTTTTTCACTCTTGTCTGGTCTTTTTTCTTTCTATCTAGTCTTTCCTTGACTGGGAAGCTTTAGGTCATCATGTTCGAGCGCCTTTATTGAGATGCAAGATAAGCGCCAAAAGAGCGACACACACTATCTAAGATATATTAATATACCATGTCAAAAGCACGAAGGTTCGTGATGGTCCGAGTATGGATTACTACCGAAGAAGCTACAGACGTGATGAGGACTTGGGGTGTAGAAAGCCCGGTATGGAGTATCTGGGTCAGATACCTCAGCGTAAATACAGTAGACCTCCGGAGCATAAGGCAGAATATCACAACGGCGGCAAAGGTCTCTGGCTGCTAGTCGATCTTATGGGCACCATACCCTCATCATTCAAGGTGGGGGTATTCACTAAACTCATCAAACCTTTCAGGTATTACTATGACTGAACATATTCTATCGGGCCCTTCTAGTATTATGATGGATGACTAGGTCCAGCGTCTTGTATCAGCATTAACGTATCCAATTACCTAATCTCGATCCTTGAGGTATTAATGTACGCAAAAGGATGAGGTGTGTTTGTACAGGCGCAATAAACAGTGTATAAGAAAAGTCTCAGAATGAAGTAGTGCTTGAGTGGATATATCTCTGGGTGCGTAAGCAAAAGCTCAGCATCGAGTCTCCGGAAGCCTCTTCGTCAAGAAGGACTACTTTTCTTTGGTCTAGCACCTCCTGGCTCTGTCCACGAATCTGATACTCAATAACGTTTTCCTTCTGATCCTCCCGCACCTCTAGAGAGGAAATCTCCAACCGCATTGGCGCCTGGGGATCAGATGCAGAAGCCAGCATATCAAACTCCAGATTCAGCGTCTGCTTTGCAAAGGTGACGAGCCGACGAGAATCCCACGGTCCTTCCCGGTGCGGCCATTCCTCGAGAAGTTTCAGCGCTCGCAGGCGTAGGCTGAAATCGTGACATTTCCAGCAGACAAAGAAAAGGGAAGCGTTGACGCCCATTTCTAAAAGCAGGCTCGGTCGTGAGAGAGAGCCATTTTCATCTTGGAAGCTATTCGCGATCTGTTCACAGAGATCCAAGATTTGCCGAAAACCGTCCACGTGACTAATTAAAAGAGAACGGTCATCCTGAACAAGAACTGACTCAAGTACAAGGTCATAGTTCAAATGATGTAATCGGATGATGTTAAGTCCTCGCAAATCCTTTCGGTCCTGGATGCGCAGGGTATGAATTTCTGAGTAATCGAGCCTCATCTTATATTGGTTAAACTGGCGTTTTATATCTCTTTTAATCTCGAACAAAGCAACAAGTCGATCCGCTACATGATCATTGGTTGTAAGCTGCTTCTCCTCTATCATTAAGACGATCAAACCACGCACCACGTCATCTAGAGCATTGCGGGCCTCATATAGCGTGCTAAACCCATTTTCAAATCGTGGTATTTGATCATCTGTAGCAGAGCGCTTTGGATTTAGGCCAAAGAAGTAACTCTGATCGCGGAGGCGCGTCAGTGCTATCTGGAGTGGCTTCGCTATAGTGGCACTTTTCGTAGAGACCATCTCAGGACCCTCGCAGCTGTGAGCCTCGTCAATAATTGCAAGACCTTGTTTCAGATGTCGCATTGCCGGATCATATTGACCGCGCATCAAATCAAATGCTACGAACAGATAGCAGCAGGTAAGGACGACCTCACGAAATTTCGGATCTTGCGAATGGCGCCGCCTATTCAAGATTGCCAGGGAACGGCCATACTGTCCCAGAGCGAACCGATGGCGACTACACGCTAGGTCCTCTCGAACAAGTGGGACGCCTTGTACTTCAATGTCCTCATGAAGCACACTGACTGCCACGAGGGCGTGGGTCACAGCTGGCTCTTCGTGGCTCATGGGTAGAACGAGATCGGTCCATAAGCTGGTGTTGAAGAAACCAGTCAAGTTCGGGATGGTCAAGTGCTGGAAGAAAGCGAATCCCCTTTTCTCTTCGGGGCCGACGCCGGGGAGACTCTGGGAGACTCGGTATAGAGTAAGTGAAGAAATTATTCCCCGATCCTCTTTCCTGAGGTTAGATAAACGAGCGAAGTCATATCCTTCACACTCCCATCCAGAGTCCTTGCACCTCTTACAACCACCAGGTGTCTCATCGCACTTGACACGTCGGGCCCTATTGGTTGATGTTAGCAGGTGGAATACGGAGTGGAGCGTACATATAATAACGAACCGACAGGTGCGACAGCCTGTTGTGGACCGCTTCTGGCAGGACTTCTTGCTCCGAGTCATCCGGGCGAGTAGTGAGAATAGTATATTGAAAAGTGGGTTTTCAGACCATGCCAAAAACCTTATATACTCATATACTCCAAGCCGACATATAGTATAGGCCAGTCATGGTGGGTTGTTAGCTGCGCCAGGGTCAGAAATTAGTACAACTTTGAACTGATTCAAGGGTGGGGAGGCTCAGCCTTCCTCCGCACTAAGTATACACGTGATTTCTATAATGTCTGAGAGGCCCTGAAAGGCTGTTATTTATATATGTTGATTTTAACTCAACCTAAACTTAGATGTGGATTTACAAAACTTGAAAGTATTCTTTACGGATCATCAACCACTGTAATAGAAAAATATTTTCAGTCTTTCAAAAAAAAAAAAACCCCCCAACTAATCATAATGTCGAGAAATTGAGCTCCCTAATGCTGATCTACAGCAGATAATTTACTACGGAGTAGCTCCGACGGCCTGAAGAGTTCTTGCCCCAGATTTGCCGATGTTTGTCCTGTTTGTCTTCTGTGGGCAGTGCCGAAGGTCTAACACGTCACACCGGGCGCGTTGGGCGCCCAATCGTTTAGTAAGTTATAGAAGACTTGGCAACGTACGCCGGATTATCAAGATGTAGTGGTTAAGTCATGGGGGAAAAGGTCTAGATTAGCATCAAGCATGTTTCAGGTTATTCATATCCTTTCCATGTTCTTCCTCCCTCGCATACTGATAGATCACCATGGACTTTTCAATCCCAGCAGCATATCACGACAAGGTGGTACCAGCCCAGGTGACGGATGATGGAACAGATGGAGAGATACTTGCTGTTTTTCAAAAGTTTCAACCGGTGAAATCTCAGAAAAAGTGTCACGGCTTATCGACATGCAGGTGTCGATGATATGCCCAAGTGATGCCAGAGAAATGCCCTTGACCGGATCCGTATTCTTAGGCCGGGTGGACTGTTCGCATATTAGACAATCTGCCTAGCCCCCCCAAACAACGCTCTGTGCTATGTTTCAGATTGCCTCCTGCCACTAGCGCTTCTGGACCGCAGCATGGATGGACCATACCTCGGTTAACATGGAGCGGACCTAACTTGCTCTGCCTGCCTATATGAGCACGGCGGAGCATGGATGGATGTTGGAAACATAGGTATGCGACACCTTGATCGAATCTGCTGGAATGAACTGGAAGGCGGCTCGATATCCCTTTGCCCGACAACCGAACCAACAGAACAAAAGTGGTATGGCCAAGGCCATTAGGGGAACTACCGCTTCAGTGTGGCTGATCATTTACTTCCACGGGAGTCATTAGTCGGTGGGTGGTCCAGATCTTGCCTTGTCACCTGCTCGCGCATTTCCAGTCATGTTGTCTTGTATGGCGGCCTGTCCAATCCTCAACCAGCTCCATGAGCTGCCGTTTCCTGCAACCATGTGAAATGCCTGGGCTGTCTGTGCATGGCTATCGGACGTGATAAAGCTGAACGATAGTCTGTTGAAAGATGCTGGAATTAGCATCGATCCGGGCCTCGGCTTGTTGGTTGGTGGTCTCAGCTCGGATGGCTCTGCTGCCGCCGTCATCCGGAGCATATCTCACGCAGCCTTGGCTGAGGTCGAGGACCTTTCTGGACCCATTCCCCTCTTGAACGCTATCACCCCACGCTCTTGGGGATGCCTTTCTTAGCGCAGGAAGCCACGCTTCTAACTCAATATCGGGATATGTTCAAATTCCTGAGATCAGCCCGTCGAAAACAAGGCTGAGAGTGATGCAATGCGGCGATATCTGAAGGATCAACTTGCTGTTCTCTCTCCCTGGTTCCCACTGATCATTCAGAACTTAACCGATTCCCAGATTACCCAAAGTAATCCACCAAAAGCTTTCCATATATGGCGGGGAATTGGACCAGTTCCGTGATGATTCCATTATCTACGTAAAGTGGCTCTTGAAGGTAGTCGGAGTGCAAGTCAGAGCTTCCGTGCTCGATGGTGAAGGACACGGCTTGGGTATCACCACGCTGGCCAGCTTGCTACAGCCGGAAGCTCAAAGAGGCGGCCCGCTATGTGTAGTTTGACATAAGAGGCCACCAGCCCACAGAATACGAATGTCTCGCTTTTGGTATCCGGTATAGCCACAAAAGAAACAAGACTGCTCCTCAGTCCTTAAGAAAGATCCAGCATATCTTGGCAATTAATAGTCGAATAGCGATTATGCATCAGCACCAGAAGAACATGTCGCATAGAAGTGTGATATGTTATAGTTAAGGTTGGTCTTTTATTTATTGCATAGACAGCAATTTTCAATACCCTTGCATGGTTCTTTTTGACAAGAGCACAAGTGCTCCCACAGGTTGGGTAGGGCGTTGATCATATCTACATATATCGGTAAGTAAGCACAGTGGAAACACAAATCTCACAATCAACAATCAATGCCTGGGGTATGGAGGGGAATATTAGCCCATGGTAGCTCTATGATCAAATGTAAGCCCGTCACTCTGTGCCCACCACAGCAACAATAACATCCTGAAATAGCTCATAGGAGTGGTAAAGATATGTAATGTTGAGATAAATCCAGTTGCGTAGCCTGCTACTGTTGGGCGACGTCTAATCTGGTGAAGAAATGTCGGTCCCTGCAAACCCCTGCATACTGCTCAAGAAAGGATTTGGAATGATTCGGGTATATATTGAAAATTCGACCGAGGCAGTTGATTGAGCGTGACATTCATGTAACCCTAAGGTTGAGACGGGTTCGTTGTCACGGGAGCGAAGGTATGAGCGTACCCATGGTTTGATTGCCATAGTCTGTGCCCTACTAATGTTACTTTTCTATTCCGTAGTGCCATGTGGTGTAACGCCTTTTGACCACTAAGGTCTTGGAAGTTCTTATTTTGACGCATTAAGCAGCCTTGGCGGGCTTGGACACGATTAGGGCCCAAGGAGATATTCCGCCTATCAATGGTGCATGGATCAGCATCTTCTTTGATCTTTAACTGAATTAGGGTTGATGAGACTCATGGTACGGCACAGACAGTGTCGTATTCTGGGAGTCAGAATGTTGCAGCGAGTCGAAGATCATCGTTACGTGGATCTGGAACTGATTCCAGTCCCAGACTCATGTTTTCCCCCATGTTCCTTTGTTTGTCCATCGGTATCGCACAATGTTCCCCTGCAAGAACTTCCCTCGTTCCCCGTCCCACTTGAAAGGCTTAAGCAACAGAGGCAAAGCTTCAAAGAGACTTTGTTTACCCCAGAATCACAATTGCGGGGAAGGTTGATTCCCCCATGATCAGAAATACGAGACTCTACTCATAGACACAACCCGTTCCCGTCGAATCACAACCACGCCTCTTATTTGGTGGCGTCCGCCACGCCGTGCAACTTGTGATTCTCTATCCTCTGACAAGGTAATGATCTCCCAATCACTGACCTAATTCTGGCTCTTTAATCCCTCCTCTCCAATCATGCCCGTCAGCCGACATGCGCGCAGTGTTACATTTGTAAATTCACCAGTGACTCTCTGACAGCCGCCCAAAGCTCCATTCACTGTAGCCAGTCGGCATATTTATTTAAACAGAGACTCCTGTCGCTGGGTACTTCCTTCACATGTTTTCTGCTTGACCCGACCTTGACTCCTGCGTCGCTGACCGGGTGTCAACAGCAACTGTCACCATGAAGAAAATCTACAACGTCTACTTTCTCTGTGGCTTTGCCACTCTAGGTGAACAATCCATGTCTGGCTTAGGAGCCACGGACTGATTCTTTTCGCAGGTGGTGGTTTGTTTGGTTTTGATATCTCATCCATGAGTGGTAAGTAATCCTGTCGCCCTGTGATTCAGAAAGGAAGCTCACTCTCTTTAGGTGTCCTGGGTACGGCGGCATATACAAACTATTTCCAAGTGGGTAGTGGTCAATACAAGCAGGTAAGCGATTGTTTCGCTGGTTTTCAACTTTCGTTCTGCATATTAATTATTACCAGGGTAGTATCACCTGTGCGATGCCTTTTGGCTCTCTCGTCGGTGCGCTGTGCTCTAGCTTTATTGCCGATCGCTTCTCGCGAGTTAGGGCCATCCAGTTCTCTTCGATTCTATGGATCATTGGCTCGATGTAGGTGAAACCCGACGCTCAGTGGAATATAGATGAATTGCGCTAATCTTCATTAGTTTTATGTGTGCTTCGAACGGAATCGCTCTTTTAGTCGTTGGTCGTGTCATCGCTGGTGGTTGCGTCGGTATCGCGTCTGCAATGGTCCCGGTTTATCAGGCCGAAATCGCACCAAAGGAAATTCGAGGACGAGTTATATCACTGCAGCAATGGGCTATTACATGGGGTATCTTGATTCAGTATTTCATTGTGGGTGTCGCGTGCTTCTCATGACTGTCATTGCCATATTGACAACCCTTCAGCAATATGGAGCGAGCAACATCGACGGCGGCCCGAATAATCCCACGCAGAGCACCGCTGCTTTTCGCATTCCTTGGGGAATCCAAATTGTACCCGGTGTTATCCTCTTCTTTGGCATGTTCCTCTTCCCCAAGTCTCCTCGTTGGCTCGCCAGCAAGGACCGTTGGGAGGAAGCCCTCAATGTGCTTTCGAAGCTGCACGGTAAAGGAGATGTCAACCACCCCAAGGTCCTTGCAGAATACAAAGAAATCCAAGACGCTCTGGCTCTAGAGCGGGAGCAATCGGCGACTGGCTTTCAGGAGCTCGTCAAGCCTCGCATCTTCAAGCGTGTCATCTTGGGTATGAGCTTGCAGATGTGGTCGCAGCTGTGCGGAATGAACGTGATGATGTACTACATCGGTATGTTTAACATATCCTAATACAAAAGAAACAGCCAATGCTAGCTGAGGCAAGCTGAAATCCTGCTAACAACTACATAGTCTATATCATGCAGAGCACAGGCACCGGATCGCCTTTGTTGACCGCGTCAATTCAATACATTCTCAACACAGCCTTGACCTTACCTGCCATTATATACCTCGACAGATTTGGCCGACGGCCCGCGATTCTAATTGGCTTCTTCCTCCAGGCTATTTTCCTTTACATAGAAGGTGGATTGCAGGGAGGGTTTGGGGCGCCCAACCCTCATACCGACCCCAAGCTCGATGCTATTTCGTGGACGGTCGCTGACCACCCCGCCGTGGGAAAGGCGATTATCGCATTGTCCTATCTGTTCGTGTGTTCTTTCGCGACGACCATCGGCCCGACTTCGTGGACCTATCCAGCCGAAATTTATCCCGCGAAAGTCCGCGCCAAAGCAGTCTCGCTCGCTACCGCCTCGAACTGGGTTTGGAACTGCCTGCTGGCCCTCTTCGTTCCACCACTGCTCTGGTCGATCAACTGGAAGATGTACATGATTGTATGTTCTATTTGCACCCTTCACTGAATATTGACATTCACTAACCCACTTCTGTATGACAGTTCGCTGCCTTCAACACCGCAGCCTTCATCCACATGTTCCTAACCGCCCCCGAAACCAAAGGTTATACGCTGGAGGAAATGGACGATGTCTTTGACAGCGGACTCCCAGCCTGGCGCAAGCTCGAGAAGCGGAGCCGTATGGAGGAGCTCGAGAAAGAGATCATAGAAGGGAATCTCAAGATTACCCCTGCACACGATGCTACTGGTGTGTCTGCTACGCAGGTCACCCCTGAGAAGCAAGTGTAATGATGAACTAAGTACTCTGCTTATGTCATGGGGAGAGATTAAATTGTTTGTCCTACCTTGTCTTAGACTGAGGTTCATATACCGAAGACTGAGATGGACTAGGAGCTGTTTGTTGGGTTCTTATCGTGATTGTGGTAATGTTTAGTTAGCTTGGCTTTGTGATACAAATTACAAGTAGCAATGCCCTTACACTATTGAGTCAGGTGTGATTTCCTTATAAACATGGCATGTTTCGTAGATTGGATACTCTGATCCCGGCTGTAGTTGGTTAGGGTTCTGTAGCTTTCGCTATGTCGTCGCTCGGTTGTCTCGAAGGAATGAAGGCTCATTCGACTTACCGAAGATTGCCGTCGACATAGACAAGTTAAACACAGTGGAAGTAGCAACATTATCTTGATATGCAGTTAGTGCGTTTTAAGGATCTGTTGAAAACATAAAGTTAAAAGTGAACGCATGCATTGTAGACATTGAATCAATAAACAAGATTATATAAATGATAACAGACGACAGAAACCTAAATACGGCGTTGAACATAGAAACGTAAAAGCAGAAAAAAGACAAGAAGAAAGCGAGCGAAAAAAAAAAAAGAAAAGAAAAGAAAAGAAAAAAAATCTAACAGTTCAATTTCCAATCATCAGAAATCCCTCAATCATCTCACTCAAACGTTTCGCAAATTCCCCCTTCATCATACTGAAATGATTTGCCCCTGTCATGCTATCCAGGGTTATATCCTCCTCTGGCAGAAGAGTTTCCCAGCCACAAGGGCCAAAGTCAGTTCTTGTCGCCGTGAGGAACTTCAATCCCTCTGGGTCATCTGGTCTACGCTCGAACTTCGGTTCGCAGTGTTGGTCGATAGCATCGCAGGCCCAGATGATTTGTGTACGGGGCACATCATCGGACATGAATGGTGTTGCGTGGTATGTATGCAAACTGTTGACGCAAGCCTCGAAATGGGAGATCAGCCAGGGTGGTGGATCCCTTTTGACTCCGTTCACGTCGCCGAGTAGTCCGATTGTATCACAGTATTCGTAGTATCGACGTGGGAGATGGTCAAGACCCTGGGGGACTGGGCAGTCGATTAGAATCAACTCGCTCACTTGCTCACCTTGTGCGGCGAGTCGTTGCGCGATATGGTAGGAGAATATACCACCCACGGACCATCCACCCAGCGCGTACGGTCCATGAGGCTGGCGCCGCCGGATCTCGGTTATGTACATCTGTGTGACCTCGTCGATTCCGCAGGTGTAGGACTCTGGGGTTTTCATGAATGGACAGTTGATACCCACGACAGCTATGGATGGGTGTATACGCGGAAGCCCTGCGTAGGAGGAACATGATCCCGAGCCATCAGGGAGCATGAATAGAGTCTTGACAGTCGAGGGCAGAGCTGGGTTGCCCTGCAGGAGAAGCGACGTTGCGGAGACCTTGGGTGAAGACGTATTGCTTATCTCCGGCGTGGTTTCTGTTGTGTTGGCATTGATTAGTTCGTACGAGCTCGTGCCTAGTGATGATCTGTCCTCGTCGCTACCGCTCTTGTCTTGGTCTACCTCTGCTTGCGCTTCGGCAAACATGGAGTCCAGGACAGCGTCGCGGCCGCTCACAGTCACTGTTCCGGTTTCAGGTGCTCCTTGTTTCCAGAATGCCTCTAGCTCCTTGATGGTCGGGTGATCCAGGAATATCGATGACTCGTAATGCAGGCCAAGTTCCTCGCGGAATCGGCTGGCGCAAAGCAAGGCGAGAAGCGAGTCCACGCCGAGATCGTCGAATGCTGCTTCGGGTGACAGTTCGGAGATCGGAACACCACTCTCCTCGGATATTATCTTGAGTGCCGCTTGCCAGTTATCTGAGCCGGTGGCTGTACTGACAATCTGGGCTGATGAATCCGCTGCTGAGCTTGGTGCAGCGCTATTGCCAGCATTGAGAGTTCCCCCAGTGGGAGCACCGGCCTTTGAGTCGTCTCGCATATGGACGATATAATCCATGAGTCTTCGCGGGACTCCTTGTGCTTTTACACCCTTGTACACGGCGACCACTTCTTTACCTTCAAAGACAACCATGTCTCCGCCATACAGGCCATCGGCGTCGGGCCCACTCATCCGAACATGGGATCTGTAGGTATTTTTGATAGACAGCGGCTTGTAGAAGTGCAGGGACTTCCACCCGTGGTTGACGAACACCTCTTTGCTGAGATCCGCTTGGTCGTTAGCATTCATAACGAAGAGAGCTGGTTGTCCAAGATTATCGATCAGGTACGGGTTAACATGGTACACCCCGTCTGCTCGCGGATCGTTGAATTTGACAGTCGCCACAGCTTCCAACCGGGCACTGTCCAGGAGGACCGAAGAAACACCCATATACTCGGGGTCGTAAGAGGCGAGTGATGATACCAAGTTGTATCCGGTCTTACCGGTGAACTTTTGCACCCGGTCGTCGGTATTGACTCTTGCAGCCATGTCCTCCATTTCCTTCAGAATGCTCTCGGCACGCTGCTGGACCTCCGTCTGGGCGGACTTCGCATCCGGGTATGTGATGCTAGCGATTGCATGTCTAACTAGCTTCTTTCCTTCTGGAGTGACACTCCAAAACTCCACAGATCCCTTGAAGGTCCCGCAGTCAAGTACGACATGACATTGCAAAAGTTGGGGCCCTTTCCCCTTACTCTTGGTGGCGAACGGTCGTTGTACATCCATATGTTGCAAATCCACCAGGGCCCCAGAAAGCTTGTTCTGCTGCTTACGGAGGTATTCGCCAATCACGAGTGCCATTTCAGCATACACGGATGGAGTGACAAGAGGCAGATTATTGACGCGATGGCCACGCACGAACGGGTCCACATCGTCGCGGAGGACATCAACCTCACCCACAACGGTGATTTTGCTCCCGTCCTTCTTCTCTTCCACGAGTTTATGAACGCACGTAGTCGATAGCCCAGGTGCCCCGTTGAGGAACTGCGCATCTCCTTTGTACAAGGACCAGTCGTTGACATACTGCATCCAGTATTCCTTCAGGTCCCAGTTATATGATGGGAGGCGGAGGACAGAAAGGGCTTGGACGAAGTCACGGTGGTATTCTGACCATCTGATGTCTACACCGGACTCGTACAAGGCAGAGAGACTGGTGGTGAGTACCTTCCAGGTGTCCTTGTTGCGCTGCAGAGTTGGAACGCTTTTGAGTGTGGAGTCGAGATTGTTCCTCAGTAATCCAGACACAACGGGATGACTACCTATCTCGACCCACATCGCGCTGCTGATGACCCCATCCACCTTTGCGTTATCTAGTGCAGCGGTAAAGTTGACAGTTTCTCTACAGTGGCGAGCCAGATATTCCGGTCCGAATGGTTCCTTCGACTTGAGCACTTCTCCAAGCAGAGGCGAAATTAAGGGGATCTTTGGCTCGTGGAATTTAACTCCCCACGCAGCGGCTTTGAACTTCTGAAGAACGGGCTGCATCTGGGAGGAATGGAAGGCAAATGGAACACGGAGTCTGGTCTTCTTGAGGTTTTTAGAAGATAACACATCGAGTATCCGGTCAATCTGCTCGTTTGTACCACTCAAGACTGTCTCTCTTGGTGTGTTGATGCACGCAATATCGTATTCCAGACCGTCACACAGCGACCTCACTTCCTCCACGCTGGTGCCGATAGCAAGCATGGCATGGGTGTTCGCGGAAATGTCCTCCTGCAACAGTTGCGCCCGTCTCCCAGCCAAGAAGATCGTATCTGCTTCGGAAAGTACACCAGCGATATTCAGTGCTGCATATTCACCAAGACTATGGCCGACCACGGCACAGGGCTCAACTCCCCAAGATCGCCACAGACGCGCCATGGCTATCTGGATACATACTGTTCCAACCTGGACGACCAGAGGAGGAAGCTCGGAAATATCCGCATTTCCCACATCCAGCAACGGCAAAAAGGAAGGGAAACCGAGGGTTCCTACGATACCGTCAAATCGCTCGATGTCGCTGCGGAAGGTGCCGAAATGCAGTAGGCGTTCGCCCATGCCACTGTACTGCGATCCCTGGCCAGTGAAGGCGAATGCGACACGCTGCGTGGTTGTGGTTCGGTTCTGGACTGTGGGAGAACCGAGCTTGTTCTCCAGCAAAGCCTGAATCTCGGGCAGGTCTGAGCCACTTACCATGATCCTAAATGGGTGATGAATGCGTCGAGCGGTGGTAGTGTAAGATAGATTAGTGAGTGCAGGCTTTGTAGTGGTTATGTATGAGAGTAGAGACTTGATGTTGGCTACCAACGCAGTACTCGACTTGGCACTGACAGCTACGACATGGGTGGAACGAGGATCAGTCTCCGTGCTTTTCGGCTGAAGGACTGGTGCATCTTCGATCAACACAGAGCTATTGCCACCGGCGGCGGAGAAGTTGTTAATCATGATTCGGCGAACACCTCCTTTCGGTCTTTCCCAGGGAATCGGCTTCTTAGCGATGTGCACATTGCGCTCCGTGAGATCCGTCGGGAAGCCACTGTTGATCTTGGTAGAGTCAATATCTTGTGATTCGAGGAGCATAAATTCCATCTCACCTTCGTCTTGATCCCGCAATGAGGGGGGATTTCGTTCCGTTCCAACATCATAAGCGACTTGATCATAGCAATAGGCCCAGAGACAGACTCCCCATGGCCAACATTAGCCTTCGCAGAGCCCAAGAACAACCTCTCGGCATCAGAACGTTGCCTTTCAGTCTCGGGTGCAAAGATGGACAGAACAGATTTCATCTCCCTGGCATCGCCTACACAAACACATAACTTAGTACAGTTGCATCGAGCACCAGCAAATAGGAAAGCCGGAGTACTCACCAGCCTGAGTCCCAGTACCATGCATCTCCACATATCCCACGCTATAAGGGTCAACACCAGCCGAAGTGAGGACCTTCTCGAAGATTGCCTTCTGCGCGCCAATGTGCGGTCGAGTAATACTCTCCGCCTCAGCGGAGTGGTTAGTATATGCACCAAGAATCAGAGCGATGATCGGATCATTGTCCGCCTTAGCATCTTCCAACCGTTTAATGACCATTGTGCATACGCCCTCTCCGCGACAATATCCATCTGCATCGTCGTCGAACGTCTTGCAATTCCCTGTTCGAGAGAGGAAATGTCCACGGTCAAGACCGGCGGTAATATCTGACGAAAGTCAGTATCTGGCGCTGTGATAATATAGAGCATTTTGCATACCGGGGTTGGTAAGAACGTTTGTGCCGCCGCAAATGGCTGTGTCGATGTCGCCTTTGAGAAGCGAGTTGCAGGCAAGATGGAGGGCAGCTAGCCCTGAGGAGCAAGCTGTGTCAACACTGTAGCTTGGGCCGCTGAATTTGTAGAAGAAGTTTTGGCGTCCTGGGATGAAGGCTCGGCAGGATCCAGGAATGTAACTAGTAGGTGTTGTGTTAGCAGCGAAGCTCCAATATCTGCGACACAAATAGGGCGAAAAAAAGAGGAAAGAAAACGACAAAAGAAAAACAAGGAACAAGAAGTAGAGAAAAAGCATAGGGAGAACAGACGTCGGGCTAGCACAACGTAAATAAAGTGGAAGCGTACTAGGTATCAACATTTTGTGAGCTATTCGTCTCACCCCAGTCGTTGCTTGTCGTACCATAGAAAACCCCAATGCGATCGGATTGACTAGATGGTGTTGAGTCGGGCACGAATCCGGCGAACTCCATTGCCTCGTACGCGGTCATAAGAGCGAGACGTTGCGCAGGGTCAACCTGTGGTGCTTCTCTAGGACTTAGAGCAAAGAACTTGGCATCAAAGAGGCCAGGTTCCTTCAGCCAGCATCCATACGGCGTGCCCATAGTATTCTTCTTTTTGAGACTCGGATCCACATGGGTCTTGACATCCCAGCGATTACTAGGTGTTATGCTAGCCACGTCGCGGCCTTCATGAAGGAGTTCCCAGAACTCCTCGTTATTGTTAGCATCAGGAAACCGGCCAGAGTATCCGATAATAGCTAGTTTAGAGTGTCCTAGATGTCCAGTGGTAGACGTTCTATCATCTCGCACGGCAATACTGGAGTTCATGCAGGGGTCCACAGTTATATCCGGGACACCGTACTTTCGGAGTGCAGTAGCAAAACTTTGCCCAACTAGTGTTGCGATGGGAAGGATTGTGCAGCCTTGTGCGGATGAATCTGATAGTAGGGCCTCGCCTAGTGAGGAGACAATCCGGTCCAATCGAAGTGGTTCCCGGAGAATTTCTACCAAGGCATGACCAATCAATGCTCCGTATGTATCGGCCTCAATTCTTTGTCCAGTGATGGAGGACAACACGCTGAATTGACACTCGTATGATGTAAATTGGGTCGTAAGAGCTTTTCGGTTGATGCTATTTATATCCTTCTGTCCATAGAGGTGAGAAGCGTGGTATGGGGCGTATATAGGAATAGTCAAAGACCGACTCTTTGGGAAGCAGCCTGAGTCAAGAAGGTCATTAAGTGCGCTCGGTGGGCCACTCAGAGTAACTCCTGCATTGGCATATGTGCTGATGTATGGAGCTGACGTTGCAGGAAGGCCCTATTGTTTGTATCAGTACAAGATTCAGGTATGTCAGGGTTAGCCTATGTACCCTCTTCTCACTATACCTCTTCAAGGTCGAAACAGCTGTGTCACCCTCTAAGCCGGGGATCAGGACACTCCATGCCACGGGTGGCCCAGTCTGCGGCTCAAGTCTGTCACGCACATCGGCAACAAATAAACCCGTGCGAAACGCGATCAATACAGTGTGTGTTGCCAGGGGGAGGAGGTCCGTGATGCTTTCGCAGCACCCCACAGCCGCTGCACTGAGAAGGCCAGTACAGAGTCCAACGAGAGAGGTCTGATGAGCCGAGGGATACTTTTGGCCAGGCGATGTGTATTGCCTATTACGCTCACGAGTCAGTCCAGCATTTCTGTACTATTCAGAGTTAGAGTAAGCCTACCTGATAAAGCATGCCAGTTGATAGGCACACGCTAAAGCTTTCTCAAGGGCAGGATGCGGACCAGTTGATCGCTGGACTCTGGCGAGAAGCTCCTCGAATGTCGTAAAACGGATGAATCGTTGGCGCGACGAAAACGGAAGCAGGCCGATCTCCTCTCGAAGAACTGATGTAACTCTTTCGAAAAAAGAGATCAACAGAGGATTGTCTTTAATAGTGGTCAGGGCTCGGAGACCCGCGACCGAGTCACAGGTCAAGTCTCCGAAGACAATAATCTGTTTGCGCTCCTCGACTACCATGGTGCTAACAAATAGACTAGATCTTGACAGTCGAGCTCTTGGCCTTGAGGGCTACCAAGATCCTTTACCTGCACCAGGTACTACTGGGGTTATGTACATTTATATGTCTAACATAAAATCTTTGTGACCGGCTGAGAACAGGTCAGCATGTCTGTCACCAATAGCCCTGTCGCCCAGAAGATGGCCAGTCTAACTTTCTTGGAAGCCCGAAACAACTTTGCCTAGAGGGTCAGCCTCAGCGTTTCAGTCATGATGACTGTAAGGTTGGCTTGATACGGGCATCGCATCTTATCCGTGCATCTGCTTACAGACATCAGGGCATCTCACCCTATCTTGCTGTGAGTCCGAGGTAGCACAAGAGGTAGGATACCGAAGGTGGATCCATTTTGGAGCTCATAAGATGAACTAGTGGCAGCTGCCACCGTTTTCGGATACCTCGGGATGTAAGCAAGGCTTCGCGGTCCTCGGGCTATGGCTAAGGATGCCTATCCTTGGGCCTATGAGTTCAGGCGTTTTCGGTGGTAGGATCGCATCAGCCATAGTATTCCGCATTCGCTGATGGTTACAGCTTACCCGTAGCTAGAATGATTCTGCTCTGCTCGGTGAACTCATATGTCATCTCGACATTATCTACTTTATATATATGTGGAGGTAAAATAAACGCCTTGCTATCATTCAAAACACTAAGCAGGTCAGAAGCCGATATCCCACGGCTGCCTGCATTCCAGGATGACTGCTCGCGCTATCTTCTCTACCTTGTGATGAAGTGTTGCAAAAAGCCGAATTTTAGCAAAATTGACCTCCTCCGTTCTCATATCAACAATCGCAGGTGCCTTTACCCAGCTGACCAGGGGAGGCTGTATTGAGTTTTACACTATTTTAGACGTCTTGAATCATGAAATCATAATTCACTGCACATCCAAGCACTACAACAGGACAATGCAAATAGCTTTCTGGCGCAACCCTTAAGACCGTGACGAATAGCATTTGACAATGATAATTCTGGTGGTCAAATGACGATATCCAACATTACGATTGACGTCTGTCGAACGCAAAACCTACAATCTATCCAATGTCTCCCCGACCTAACTATACGAACCCCGGCTCTTATAACCATAAAACAGATTATAGCCCATGTATCCGTATTGCTTTCCGGCGTGATCCACCTGAGTACTGAAGCAATTGACTAATACTTAGGTCGGTCTCTGGCACAGGTCATCCGCATGGCAAGATTAGTTCAGTCAAGTACAGGGATGCCGCCGCTTGTGGGCTGGGCATGGATCTTCTGGATGCAGGCACCATCAGGTTGAGAGCTGGAACGTGACACTTGAGGCTGAGAGATGTTCACAAAGCCTTTGGGGATTACACCACTCTCTTTCATCCGTTGGATGTCGTCTGACCCTGTAAAGTGGAATGGAATTGTTGAGGGGTTTCTCAGATAGTGGTAGGTATGCTTTGGACACAGGTGCTTCATGCGCACTATGATTCAGTAGGCTCCCCTGTCCTTATGCAATACTATATTCCAGCGGCTCTTAGGGCGCTTTTACCGCTTACGCAGATCGTGTGGTAATGCTTTGCCTAATCCTTACCTACTCCACTAGTAAATTCATATTGGGAGGGCCGATTTGCGCTGAGCAAAAGACCGAGATGGCAAATGCATCACACGGTCTGGAATTCATGAGTACTACTATTACCAACACATATATACTAGTCGGGCCCGTATCTCGCACCTGAACTAGTGACTTGATCCGTCTGTGGTGCGGTCTCGGTGACCGACGGCATAGTGACACTTCCCATTCCCACCTTTTGCTCACACAGGTCCCCTATGGGTTCCCAATCTATAAGGTATAGATTTGCCACAGTATCGAAAGTGATATAGGCTTTATTTTTATGACTCAATACCTCCTCGAATTAATTCTCCGTACGTGTGATGGGCCTTAGCTACAGACCCTTTCAGAAGGCCTTCCGCAGAAATACTGCAATTAGAGTCAACTACATTTCAAGCAGGGCATATGTAAAGTCAGCCAATGCATTCTCAAGGGGTAGGAGTCTATTTATCAGAAAGAAATAATTCAGGCATTACTTGGACTCGGAACAAATAACTTAGCAGCCCGAGCGGAATGGACCCATAGCCCCTCGACCACTTTCATATAGCCTCTTCATCCTGTCTCACACAGTAACTTGGTATCCTGAACATCGGATACGAGACTTTTTAGCGCACCACCTGAGACCAATGTGTTGTATTCCAAATAGTTTCCGTAGGCTATCTCATATTTTCCAAGCTAAGAAGATGGGGATAATAAGTACAGAAATGACGTACTACTTTGAGAAGGCCAAAGTCTCTTCACCCTCCAATTAAGAGATATTAATGGACCTAGCTAATACAATCTGATACTACGTGGCGCTAATATGCTTGGTGGTCAGAGTACATAGTCGCTAGGTGAAATTAGACATCTCAGGTGTTCTTCTAATCACACTTTATGTTGTACTTTAGAGAAGGCTCCGATAAGGCTTCTCAGTCAATAACGAGTCAAGAAAGACCCATCTAAGGCCACTTTGTAGGTAGCCCACAACACCTGCTAGCCTCTTACTTGCGCACCACGGGGTAACCAGAGTGCATGAAACGGTCTGCCTTGGCTTCTAGTGCTTTAAGAGCCATCGTGGACGTCTAGGCGAGTTTTTAATCCATCTGCATTGTCCAATGTCCAAATGGTTATGTCTACCAGTCAAAGGACACCGTGGATATATCTTACATGTGCGGCTGACCCTGTGGGCCACAATGTCTGATCACCTCGCCCAGTGGCCTGTTCGTTCAGCGAAATTTCTTCTTTCCTCAGCTCAGGATGGCTATTCTTAGTAGTGTTACAGTGTTGCAGTAGTGGGATGCTAGGGTAGTGCTGCTACCTACTGTCTCTAGCGATAACCGTTAATATCGATTTGTGTTGCCTAATTTCTAAACCATGTCAAGTTGAGGCCTACTTAGCAGCTTGCATTATGACGAGGTGTCCCGACACTTGCGATATTAGGGCTCGTATCACGTACCCTGCGAGCCATGAACTCTGATAAGACACTCCTCTAATTCAGATCGATGTCAAAGCTCGCCACGCCCAGCCACGCCCCATCTGGACTTGCTAGAAATCCGTAACATATAACAAGGTAAGACAGATCCTGTCAGCCTGTTGCTCCAAATCGAGCTTGGGAGGATGTGGGTGGCCTCCAGCCAATTGATCTTCGGGTCATGAAGATTTGAGGGCCCAGTGAACTAGGTACAGCCATGTCTGTATTGCCCACCATGCCGGGTGAGATCTATTGTGATACCTTGTCGTCTTACTGATGGTTCATACCAGCTTCGGGAAATGTTCCCTAAGCGGGCGCCCTCGCAACACGAGCTTTCCAAAGTTTATCCCTGCTTGCTGCCTAGCCCTGTAGCAGAGTGAATAGGAAGTCCGTATGTTGAGGATGGGGATGGAAGCTTCTATGGGCCTAATGTTCAGTGCGTATATAGGTGTACTGGCAAGGGGTTGTCTCGTGTGCACCAGGTGCCACCTCCTCGCTACTTTTTGGGTGCATCTATGAACAGAGCATCACAGTGAGATATGAGTATGTGGCCCTTCACATTTGCACGTATACAGGTATTGACTACTTCCTTCTGACATATTATACAGCGTCTCAGAATGGAGATGTCCAGCAAAGGACCAATCAATCGGCAACATGCAGATAAACCACAGGCCCCTAGAAGACTTCGGTCTACTTGCGACCGTTGTACAATGCTCAAAGTTCGGTGCGACAAGAAGAAGCCGCGTTGTGAACGATGTGAATCAGTACAGCAACATTGTGTCTATGGTCCGTATCGGTGGAAAGGGCGCTCGACAGCAAACCAAGCTCCACTCCCGAGTTCTTATATTCGAACCGGAAGACAAGTCGCTTTCAAAGCAGTAGAAAGCTTTCACCAATCCGCAGCTCGAGATTTACAAGTCACCCAACATCCGATGCCTGAGGGGCCTGTGAGCTCATTGTCGGACTTTTCTGCATTCCCAGGGCTGGAACGCGTCTGCTTTGACTATCACGGTGAGCTCAGCAATATGTACCTTGGGATGGGTGATTATGACAGGAACGAAGTATCGGCTAAGCCAGCTCTACTGGATCACTTCGGCCCGATAACAAACAGCCTACCAGGCCAAGTGGAGATCAAGTCTTTCGCTTCCCTTGGAGCAAGTGAATCGCATCCCGTACTGGACGCGAGTGTGTCAGAGTCCTACTTTTCATCTCCAGATTCCTGGACATCAAGAAATATATGCCCATGTGGCAGTCTAGCATTCAATATTTTGCAAGAGATGTACCGCGCTGGAGACACATGTCGATTGGAGAGGGGCTCTGGGCTGCCATCAAACGACCACATTCTGAAGATTAATCGCACAGCAGCTCAAAGCCTTGAGCAGCTTCTATCTCGAGACTGTACCGACTGCCGTGAGGACAATAACATGCCTTTCTTGATTGTAACCACAATGTCAAAAGTTCTATCATGGTACCGAGCAGTGTTCGATCGCATCAATCAGCACTCACCCACCAAGAGCTCTGTTAACCTCATGGAACCTCACCCGACTACACCAATATATTTCGGCGACTTCGAACTTGATAGTGTTGCTGAGCAGCGTATCACAGCTCAGGTCCTGCTCTGTGAGCTTGGGTATGTCAGCAAACTTCTGACCATGATACGGGAGAGTGCACTTGGAAGATCGCATAATGAGCGAGAACCGATAAGCACTCTCCTCGGGGCTGTTTCTCACTTTCTATCGTCAACGCTGAATGATCTAACAAGCAAGGTGGATGAACTTTGTACCTCTAGACAGTCCTTTACCGTTTGCTAGGAAAGCAATGGTGTATAATTTGCGGGGCAGTGTTCAGATATTTGGCTGTCTAGTACCGCGTGTATATCCTTCATGCCCTTACTGTGTCTGTTTCCGAGATACTAGGTAGGCAACGACCTGACGTCTAGACTGGCATCATAAGCGCTTAACTGGCTCAATTGTAATGGATTAGCCTAGCTTAAGCCGTTTGTTTCCAAAGAAAAACTCCACGTTCCTTTGGTCCCGATATTTACCATGGGACTACCTCCACTGTACATCTAGTGTATGTGACTCTAGAGAACAGCAATTGGACGCGAAGTTAACCCAAGAAGCCCTTTACCAGACAGGTCTGACAGGCTGTATTTATTGTTTATTACTTACGGTTCGCCAACGACCCAATCGGCGTACGGTAGAAAGGATTATTACAATCGGGTTTACCATTAAAACTACAACAGTGAACCGACTGCCCATTCTATTTATAGGCACTATGCAATTGGAAAGCCGACTGGGTTAATGTCGGCTTTATCCATTACTCTACGGTATATATCATCTATAGATAAAAGCTCAAGATATGTCTTAAGGGATAGAAAGACCGTAAACCTCAGAACGGCAACACAAACACTGCGTGATTAACGCGCTTTCAGACCTTCATTATTTCCCCATGGATACTCTATATTGTGGATATCATGGGAATGGATTGCGCTAGGGTCGCGACGAGCCAGTTGCTTTGTGAATAATGACAATATTCTCCGGTGGCTTTACCAGCCATGGCTTTGTTGCCAATCATGCGCGTACAATGCAATTATACCACGGCAAAACTAGACTTGAGCTCGCACGCCGAAGTCAATCCCGTACACTGTTCCGCAATATCAAATCTGTATCTTCCACTGGCGAAAACCTCGCCCTCTCGCTTATATGCGCTTTTTACACTGCTTATCATTACTATCTCCGATTTTGTTGTCCTGAAGTCTCAGCTAACACATGGACACTGGGTGAATCGCCGCGAGTTCCCGGTCCTTACTGTACTGATCGAGGGCTTGTGATAACCTTCATGGTCTCATATTCTCAAACAGTCTGGAAGAAAGCCGAACCTGCCACCGAACTTGCTATCCGAGGAAGGGTCACCCTAGTTGTGAATTACAATCTTTGCCCTTACGTTACCAATGTCAGCTTATCTAGTCTAGTTTGCCCTCCTTGTCTATAATTATAGAAAAACTGTTACCTAATTAGCTAGATTCGAGAAAGCCTCCATCGTATTAGAACCCATTCTTTTGAGCGGGTCGCTTGAGATGGCCGAATCTGCCATCAGCCTTTGAGCTAGTTTCGTCCATGCTTCTCTTAATGGTTTATTTCTAGCGCATATATGCATTGCTACGCTGACTGCTACTCACTTCGCAATGTAAGAAATCATATTGCCAGTTCTCCGCGGGGCATTTCCAATAACCGCTTGCGCCGTTCGGCAGACAAGTTCAGCGCTCGGACTATTCTTCAATCAAAGCAAACGTCGTCAACACCGAGGGGATCAACTAGACCTATTATCATACACCGGTAAAGATCTGAGGATGGCCTGGAACCTGCCGCCGAAACGCTTCTTTATACCACAGATACATATTTTGAGGAGTCGGACACAGTTAGTGCCAGCGGTTGCTCACTAACGGTTATACAGGAATACGAGACGAACATATACGAGATATCTCGCCTAACAGAGCCTAAACCACCTACATCGTGGCGTCCTTAATGGAAAGCCCCTCCACATATATCGGATCCAGCTAACGAAATCGGCCGAACAAGTTTCAAGAACCCAACGCAAAGGCAATGGGGTTCAAGGTGATCATAATCGGAGCTGGCTTAGCGGGCTCTCTGCTTGCGAACGGTTTGCTAAACAACACGATCGAGTTCAGCATATACGAACGCGACAAGCCGGAGTTACGGCGGACAGGCTACCTCATCCGGCTAGGTGAAGACGCAAATAAGGGCTTTCAAGCCTGCCTATCCAAGTCGCAGGTAGCCACTATCCATGGCAGGTTCTCTCAGACCGATGTCTCTCTCTCTACCGCGCCCGCGATCTATTCCTACCGGTTCCGGTCTCTCCTGGACCTCAGCCGTTTGCCGGGTTACGCCAAAGGTGCTTCGATTAATCGCCTGGTCCTACGGGATGAGCTGGTGAAGCCGATCAAGGAAGCCGGTCGGATCCATTTCGGGAAGGTTTTCAGTCACTACGAGGTTATCCATGAGGATGGCAGCGAGCAGGTGATAGTCTACTTCACTGATGGCACTTGCGACCGGTGCGACCTACTGATCGGGGCTGATGGGAGTGCCTCCAAAGTGCGTTAAATTCCTTGAGTTCCCTCGAAGTTCACTCGATACTCGATACTTACTCGAAAACAGATCAACAAGCAGGTTGGGGCTCGAAATCTAGTCGAAATAACAAGCCACTGGTCGTTTCATGTCAAAGGGAGACTACCCCTTGCTCGCGTTCAGAAATTACCGCGGAAGCTCTTGGAAGCTCCAGTCGCGGTTTTTCATCAGGGTGCTCTTTTATACTATGCCCGTATGTCTTTCCTTTGCTTGCACATTACATGTCTCACTGTATGGTCATAGTCTATATTCCGTCTTCCGGCCGGCCGCTGGAAGGTAAACGGGATATCGTCAATGGGAAGTATGATGAGTCGGTGGCATCCTTCTACTGGGGGATAAACATTCCACGGCATCACATCCCGTATGAAAACCTCTCCGACATACCCGATCTCCGTAAGCTTTGTGAGGACTATGTCAAAGACTGGGCTCCAGAATGGTAACTTGTGAAGACTATCAACAGTGTCAACCGGCTAACTTGCTGTAGTCGCACTATGGTGGATAGTGGATCGACGGATAATGATGCCGATGACATGTATGCAGCTAGATTGCGCGCAAGCACTCGCCTACCGACCAACTGGCGCTCACTTGCTCAAGCCCGATCCAACGAAGAGGGTCACCCTCGGGTGTGGTTGCTCGGTGATGCCATGCATGCCATGCTACCAAACAGGTAGGGCAGCGTCACTCACGTGGTTCTTGTAAAACACGGGTATAAGCTAACGTTATGAAAGAGGTCAAGGAGGGAACCAGGCGCTCCTCGACTGTGCCGAGATCCTGCCTGAACTCATCCACCTCAATCTCCAAGCCATGAACGGAAAGGCTCTGTCGTCAGAGGATATCAGTGAGTCATGCAGTCGCTACGAGAAGAAGATGTTTCCCCGTGTCTTTGACTGGGTAGAAAGGAGTGGAGGCACTGTTGCTGATCCCGTAGGTTCTACTAAAAAGGGTTATCATTAATAGCACACCTACGCTGACATCCTTGCCTAGCCATTCCCTCTTGACGGAATGCTTGGATATCTAGTTTCGATTTTTGCAACCGTTGCAATCCCAGTTGCGATTCTCGTTAGTCGAATTGGGCAATTCTTCACAAAGTTGTTCTGGCCCGAGGAAGCATTCCGAGCTTGAGGTGGTATGCTTGCTGCTTTTAGATTCCCAGTATTTTGGATTGATATGGAGGTTGTTGCTATACAATTCCTTCTCTCAAGTTTTGTATTTATTGTTATCAGTACTACAATCTTGCTTTTTGTTTTATTTTATTCATTTTATTTTAATCATTTTATTTTTATTTTTGTTTTTGTTTTTATTTTTTTTATACTTTTTTATGCTTTCTCCTCCGTGTTGTTCTGCGTTCTGATGAATGGCGTCATTCTGAATTTATATATATTCGATGATTCTATTCCCTGAACCACAACATCTTATAATTCTGCTCTCAATTTGCACTGAGACTCAATCTAGTTAATGCTGGCATCTTAAAAAATGTTTGTTTTAATCCATAAATTTGCGAGCCCAAGTAAAAGAGTCATAACTATAAATTTAATCCATACCCAACCTCCCACCAAAACCAAAAACCAACAATAATGCACATAAGTCCAGATGACTAACTATGCAATACTATTATGCAACCCATCCCACCCACCAAGTTACCTAATGATAGCTCCACTAACTACTTAATATCTCCATTAATATAAAAAAAGTATATGAACTCGCCACAGGTCACAAATTACGTCAGTTAAGTTAGTAATACGAGGTGAAAAACAAGAATTGTAACAAAACAGGATACACCTTGTACGTATACATTTTTTTCTCCGAGAAATATATCTCTGTGATGGGTTTGACGCGATGCAATATGCTTACTCTGTTGACTGTGATGTTCTGTCCTTTAGGGGAGTTCTGGATTTGTGGATTGGAGAGTAAGGAGAGTAAGTCGGTATTGGTTATGTCTACTTGAGCTTGGATACGGGATGACTGTCTATAGAACCATTATAGAGGACGGGTATTCTAGTGGATATATGGATGATTAAAAAAAGGAGAGTAGAGAGTGTGTCTAGTAAATCAACCGAAGCGCTGCCTGGCCATGACCATAACGAGCATCCGATAGTAACTAATTGATCAGAGATACAGATACTTGGGTGATATAGACCGACCGATCGGTCGGTCAAAACGGTCGCAAAAAAAAGGAAAAGAAGAAAAGAAGCCCCCGGCGGGGCTCACCCGCAACCTTAAGATTAGAAGTTCTTACGTGAAATGCATACTGTGTAGTATTTCCACAGACGGACAATCGTCATCGGGGCAGTTGACAAGAGATTGAGTTCCGCGCGTCTCGAATGATAGGATCCGGAGCCGGACCCACTATATGTTGGCTGTCAGATATTAATTAAATTCTAAAAAGAAAGACCTGCTAAGTGTCATTATTGCGTCAATCCGCGGGGGTATCTGAATATTGAATATAGATTTGCATGTTGTACCGCATCATAAAATAGCCCTAGCTAATGGTCTGGATACGTAAGCTACGTAGTTTACTATGTATTCTACACGGTACACAGTACGTACATCCCAAGAATCTCCACAAAATAGAAAGGAAAACCCCATCTGCCACTGGCAAAAGACCAGTGATGCCCGGCATTGCAGAGTACCGTCTCTTAGTCTTGGCCCTCCAAGCGCCAGATGAGATCATACCCACCCCTGCACGCCTCCAATCGGAGAATTTGGAAGCCCACACTTTCTGCCGAGCCGTTGAAATCATGTCGATCGCTACTATTCAACTCTCCCGAAAGATGTGGATTGGCCGATCGCGTAGTCGTTGCATGATCGGATGGACGTACACAGTACACAGTATTGATTCTGATGACGTGAGGTGGGTTTCAATCCCGTGTGGTGGTCTAGAACCATGGGTAGGGTTTGACTGGTTCGAGAGGTACTGGTTCTGCTATACTACACAGTAACTCTCTACATAGATATTTTATTTCCGGGATTTGGTTGAGAATGGGTGCCGTTGAACTATTATGTGAATTACTATCTGAGTTACTGTGAAGATACTATGGTATAGTGCTGTGGGTCTAGATAGTCGATATGGAGTCATATCGGAACTAATCTAGTATACTTTAGGATGGCCTAAGACTTTCAAGGTTATTCTTTTGGCCTTCTTATTTTGATCTCTTTCATTTTTCTCCACCACACTGACTGACGTAAGTTGTGGCAAGGTTCAGGCCACAAAAGAATCACAGTTTAGTAGGGCTACGGAGTTACTATACAACGCTAGCGAGCTCTTTTGCTTTTCTTTCCCTCCCTTTTCCCCTACAATTCGTGATATAATCTTGAGTAGACTGTATATACAACTATTCAAGTCTAGTAACATGTAATACAACCTTTTTAGAAATACAATTAAGACGTGTGTATACATATCCTCTCCATACCTAGTGATTAACCGTAGTACCTTAATCATTGATAATACAAACAAAACCTTATATCAAGGAAATTTCCCAGCACACCGACCCTCCAGTACCGCAGAGCCATAAGCTCAATAAACATGACGTACATGGATCTCTAATACCGGTGGAACATGACGTATGTGGATCTATGATATCTTGTATTCGGAGGTTTTGTTCTCGACGATGAAGGTATTTAACAGCAGAAGCGTTCAGTATCTGGGTTGTAGTATCCGCCATTTATTCATATATGTATGATTATCACATTCGAGACAAATTCACGAGCTTTAACGAATTACTATACGACATACAAAATACTACATCTACTAATTTAATTATCCCATTGCACTTCCCAAAATAGGACAGCAACTCACATCGCCCTTCTCTCCGCTAAGAACTCCCTTCAGTCTACGACCGTCATTATACCCTACTAGGCCTACCCCAGAATCAAACATGTCCTCTCCCACAGTCCAGAGAACCACTGGTACTCCCCGAAAGCTGAGAACCGCATCCGACTCTCCTGCTGAACATATCCCCGAGCAAAGCCCCTCGAAGCGAACACCTCAGAAACTCCAGGTCCGAAGCCGCAAGCCGATCGAAGAAGACGTCCCCGAAGAACCGGCTACTCCGTCCCCGAAACCACGGAAGACAGGTCAGAGCGAGCAGCGTGATGCGCCTGACGAGACACAGTCACAAGCGTCCGGGTCAGCCGGTGGACTGGGTGGACTGGCTGGTGGACTGAAGGATACTGCTGGGGCGTTGACGAAGAGGGGTCAGCAAACTGTGACCAATATGACGGGGGTTGATTTGTCTCTCTTGAAGGGGCTGGAGATTAGTGAGTGGGGTCAGGTGTTGGGTGATGATGGGAACCCTGTTGGTCGGATTGTGGAGGGCGAGCCTCAGGATCTTGTTGGGTATGCTGTTGGGGATAATGGGGAGATTCTCGACGATGATGGTGATTTGATTGGCCGTGTTGAGGCTCTTCCGGAGGCAATTCAGGAGAATACGGACCAGGCGAAGAAGGCTGTTGGTGGTCTTGCTGAGTTGAATGGTATTCCGGTGTCTGAGGCGGGTTTCATCAAGGATGAGGCTGGAGAGACGATTGGGAAGGTTGTGGAAGGGGATGCTCAGGATCTTGTTGGTTATGCGCCTAACGAGAAAGGGGAGATCCGTGACGATGAAGGCGACCTTGTCGGTCGTGTTGAGCCTGTGTCCAAGGCCGCGAGCGCTGTTGGCAGTGCTACCGGATCCCAGAAGTCGGATTCCCAAGGCACTAAGAGTGGAAAGAGTGTCAGCCAGGAAACAACAGGAGAGGAGGACAAGGCTGTGTCCGACACGAAGGATATCGAAGATACGGCTGAAGAGAAGGCCGACGCCGAAGAGAAGGTTGAAGACGCCGAAGAACAGCTGCCTCCCCTGTCTACGCTTGAAGGCTTAAAATGCAACAAGCTCGGCAAGATCATCAACCCATCAACTGGAAAGCCAATCGGTGAGTTGGTTGAGGGTGATCCGAAGAAGCTCACTCGTCTCGGAGCTACGCTTGACGACCAGGGTCAGTTCTGGGACAATCGCGGGAATGTGATTGGCCGGGCTCAGACACTTCCTCAGCAGGAATACAGTGAGGAACCTCCCTTTGCCGGCTTAGATGGCCTCCATGTGGTCGAAGACGGATGGGTCGAGGACAACAAGGGCAAGCGTGTGGGCAGGATCGTCGAGGGTGAACCTAAGAAGGTCCTTGGTCGCCCTGTTGATGAGGATGGAGAGGTCACTGACCAACATGGAAATGTCATCGCAAAGGCCGAATACTACGAACAGCCGGATGAGCCGGAGCCAGAGGAGCCTGAGGAGGTTGACCTATCGAAACTGGACGGATTGACCTGCAACAAACTGGGATATGTCATGGGACCTAACGGAGTCCCAATTGCACGCGTCGTTGAAGGAAACCCCAAGGAACTGGCCGGTAAAGAAATTGATGATGGCCAGATCTGGGACGGTCGCAAACCCATTGGACGCGTTGAGCTCATCCCTGAGAACGAGCGCGAGAAGAAGCCCGAAGGCCCGTTCGCTGGCCTGGAGAACCTAGTTGTGAACAAGGAAGGGTTCGTCCAGGACACGGATGGTAACATTGTCGGCAAGGTGACTGAAGGTGAACTGAAGAACTTGCGCGGGCGCACTGTGGACGAGGATGGAGACATTATCGACAAGTTTGGAAATGTGAAGGGACATGCCGAACCATATGAGCCCCCAAAAGAGGAAGTTATTGAAGAAGACTTGTCAATCCTAGAAGGTAAAACCGTCAATAAGGCCGGCAATGTCGTGGATGCACAAGGAAACGTCTTTGGCCGAATCACCTCGGGTGACAAGCGACTTGCTGGACGGAAGGTTGACGGCAAAGGCCAGATCTGGGGTGACGATGGTAAGGTCATTGGTAAAGCCGATCGTGTGCCTGGCGCAGAGCAAGAGAAGCCCGAGGGCCCCTTCTTCGGCTTTGACGACGCGGAAGTTGGGAAGGACGGCGTAGTCACTTCTGGTGGCAAGATTATTGGCCGTGTCATTGAAGGTGACGCCAAGCGTCTACAGGGGCGCAAGGTCGATGAAGATGGGGATATCTTGGATAAGAATGGAAATACCATCGGCCGAGCAGAGCGCTGGGAGCCGGAGGAGAAGCAACGAAGTGTCAACCCTATGTCGGGCCGCAAGGTTACTCGCGAGGGTGAAGTTCGTGATGTCGACGGTAACCTCATCGGAAAGCTGACCTCTGGCAACTTGGCTACTCTCGTTGGCAAAGAGATCGATGATAATGGCTTCGTCGTTGACAACGATGGTAACAAGCTCGGCGAGTGTACTCTGATCGAGAATTTGCCGGAGGAAGAGGAAGAGGTCGTCGAGGAGGAGCCAGGCCCCTCGCCAGAAGAGCTTGAGGAGCAGAAGAAGGCTGAAGAAGATAAACAGCTAGCCAAGAAAATGAGCGCTATCATCGGACAAACCTTGGATCGTGTTCGACCGATCTGCAAGATGATTACAGAGGTATGTTCAATAATGATTCAGGTGTTGGATAAGACACTAACACATGCACTAGCACATTGAGAGGGCCGAGCGTACCCCGAAAGAAGAATTGGACGAGGAAAGACTGGTAAAGGATGTCAAACCACTTCTTGAAGAGGGAGGCGGAATCCTCCAAGAATGCAACGGCGCCATCCGAGCTCTTGATCCAGATGGTCGCATTGCAGCTACAGCGAAGGCTCGCGCTGCTTCACACGAAGCGTCTCCCGAGGAGTATGCTCTCGCTGATCAAATCAAGGAAATGACAGATACCGTTGTGAGTTGCATCGAGAACGGTAAGAAGAAGATCGCCGACATGCCTCATGCGAAGAGACAGCTCAACCCCCTCTGGGCCCTTCTCAGCGAGCCTTTGTTCCAGATCATTGCCGCCGTAGGTCTCCTTCTGACTGGCGTGCTTGGACTTGTTGGTCGTCTACTTGAAGGTCTCGGTCTGGGGCCTCTCGTGCATCGCTTGCTCGGTGGCTTGGGTCTTGACAAGCTGCTTGATAGTCTGGGCTTAAGCTCTATCACTGACGCTCTTGGAATAACTGGCAAGAAGAAATAGGGTTTTTGTCAAGGTTGCAAAGTTGTAAACTATATTGCGTTTGTTTGTTTGTGGCGATATTCTAATGTGTATATCATTTCAATAATCGACAGAATGAATAGCCTAATGAATCCCAGTTGAGCATCACTCATCCAATATCCAGCCCCAGCTATTGGCAATCATGAATTTATTCTTCCCCAACCTCCACCCCCTGGACTATTTATTTGCATAATTTCCCCAGCATCCAAGGCCAGAGCAGCTTTGCCACCTATGGAGAGCTTTTCGAGGATGGTCTTGTCTTCGTTCCATTTGAACACGTAGTTTCTGCCTACATCGCCGGGTTGTCCTCCGTTCATACCGTAGGGATGATAGACTCGGCGATCACTTAAAATGCTGAATTTCAAGGGTACCCGAGCTTCAATTTCGCGGACTGCTCCATTACCACCACGATACTTTCCTGAGCCACCGGATTCATATCGAATAGCATGTTTCCGAATAATAACAGGCGTCCTCCTCTCCACGACCTCCGGGTCTGTAATCTTGGTGTTTGTAGAATGTGCTTGAATGGCATGCTCGCCATCCCAACTGGGGCCGGCGCCACATCCACCTCCAACGGTTTCGCCGTAGTTCCACCCTGGTTCGATACTACCAGTATGGGGGTTCTTCCCACCCATACCCCAGCCAAAGCTGTTAGCACAGCCAGAGAATGCTGCGACACAGTTGAATGCGCGCAAGATTGTATCTATCACTCTTTGACTGGCGAGTGTGCTACCGCAGATGGCCACGTTGGCATTCGGCCGCAGGATGGAGCCCTTTGGGATTTTGATGGTGATGGGGGCAAGACAGCCGTCATTCAGAGGAATGTCTTCGTCAATCAAACACCGAATCGTGTAGATGATTGCAGAATGCGTGATGGAAATAGGGCAGTTGTAATTTCCCCACATCTGCGGTCCAGTTCCCTCCCAATCGAATGTGGCGCCCCCGGTGTCGTCGATCGTGATCGAGACTTTGAGCATTGTTCCGTCGTCGAAATAATCTGTCGCCGTCAATGGCATTTCTCGTGTTCGTGCAATCCCTTTCAAATACTCCCTCACGGCCACCTCTGCATTGGCCTGAATCGCGTGCATGTATCTGTGGACAATGGGCAACGTGAACTCCCGACAAAGCTTCTGCAACAGAATTATTCCCCGCTGGTTAGAAGAGATTTGTGCTTTTATGTCAGAGATGTTGTCTTGCAAACGACGCGTTGGACTGCAACCGGGGAAATTGCCTGCGTCCATGAATGCTTGCCGCACGTCGTCCTCTAAGAAGGTTCCACTGTCGACGATCTTCATGGATCGGACGTTGATGCCTTCTTCCCATAGCTCCTTCGACTCAGGCATCATTGAGGTGATCCCGCGGCCTCCGATATCAGTATGATGTCCGCGAGCCGCAACGTAGAAGGCTAGGGCTTGACTGTCACCGTCCCCTATGAAAACAGGAGTAATCACAGTAAGGTCCGGGAGATGCGTTCCTCCCGCTTCAGGATGATTACTCAAAAGTACATCCCCGGGCTTCAACTTCCCATCCCAAAGGCGGTGCTGGTATTGTATGGCGTACTGCATGCTTCCTAGGTGAATTGGGATATGTGGGGCGTTAGCAACTAGCCTTCCTTCTCGAGAAAAGATGGCACAGGAGAAGTCGAGCCGCTCCTTGATACTGGTTGAAATGGAGGTTCGTTGTAGAGTGTTGCCCATTTGCTCCGCGATAGACATGAAACGGTGGGAGAAAATAGAAAGCTGGATCGGATTGATATTTTCATCCCCTCCCAAAGATACATCAGCTATGTGGTTTCTCGACCTTTCTAGGATCACATGGGTGTCCAGGATGTGAGCATCAAAGAGTGGTGCTACAAATATAGTCTGCGTGGCATCGATGATAAGCGCAGGGCCGTGCATTTTTCTGGGACGTGAAAGAGTATTGAGGTGGTATATTGGGACATTTTGCCATCTGTCATCGATGTAGACGCGCTGTATAATAGATGAGCGTATGTATTGATCACTCTCCTTGAGTTGCTGCAGCTGTATATAAGGCGAGATTGTCATGTCCGAGGTGTGATTGCGGCCGACTCCCCGTACCTTGATGGAGTCCACTGCTATATCGCGACTCAAGACGAAAGCGAATTCACGTAGATGTGTCTGCACAAAGCTCTTTCCGTAGTCACTATCGTCTGGCTTCAGTATTGTCATATTTGTATCTGTGCCGATGTATCTCATGCTTAGGGACTCTTCATATTCAATACTGCCTGCCTCAGCACCCTGAACTATTAGCTCCTTTTGTACCTTAACCTTCAGGATCTGGATCTGGGATTCAAGACGGGAAAGGATTTCGAGCGAGAAAGTACCCGTGAATGGCGCTGATGTTTCAAACTGTAGCTCGGCTTGTGAGATGCCTACTGCTGATAGGATAGAAGAGTGTTTATGGATTATTATCCTCTCGATCCCCAGCTTGTCCGCAATTGCACACGCGTGTTGTCCGCCGGCACCGCCAAAGCTAGCAAGAGCATGAGCGCTTGGAGCAAATCCTCGAACTTCAGTGGCATTGCGCATAGGCCGGCTCATGGTCTCGTTCGCCACATCAAGAAATCCCAGAGCGACTTCTTCTGGAGTGAGATTCTGTGAAGTCTGCTCATTAACTTCACGGGTAATTACTTCGAATTTCTTCCTGGTGATATCATAGTCCAATGGCATGTTTGCTTCAGGGCCAAATATCGCTGGAAACGAAGACGGGACCAATCGTCCCAGGAATAGATTGGCATCAGTCACAGTCAATGGGCCGCCTTTGCGATAACAAGCTGGCCCTGGGTGTGCTCCTGCACTTTCAGGGCCTACTACAAAGAGACCATGACGAGCAAAGAGCATTGAACCACCACCCGCGGCCACTGTGGCTATATTGAGCATAGGGTTAATGATATTTCTCCCTGCCACCACTGTCTCGGTAAGGTAGTCAAATTTGCCGTCGTAGCGACAAACATCAGTACTCGTTCCGCCCATGTCGAATCCAAGCACAGGAGTCTGTTCGTCATAGTCGAAGCACGTTCGGGCAATACCAACCACTCCTCCTGCAGGTCCACTTAACAGCGCCTCATTGCCTCGAAACTTCACTGCTTGTCGCAAGCCGCCGTCAGAGCTCATGAACTCAACCTTTTTAGGCAGTGTGCTGAACCCTGATTCAAATGCGGCGACGTAGTCTTTGACGATTGGAAACAGGTAGGCTTCGGAGCATACCGAGCTACTGCGTTGCTCAAATTTGATGACGGGACTTGTCTCATGCGATGTGGTGACATAGTTAAAGCCCATTTCTCTGGCCAGTGCAGCTACCTGGTCTTCGTGATTTGGATAGATGTAAGAATGCATAAAAGCGACAGCCACAGATGTATACCCTTCAGCTTTAAGCCTTTCGAGGGCTTGCTGAACCTCTTGAAGGTCTATTGGTTTCAAAATACGTACAATCTCGCCGCTTGCCGTACGAACAAGGTTAGAGTCTGTGATCTCCCTCGACTTGTCCAGCGGGAAGGGGTTAAGGTCATAGTCCTCAACGGTGACTCGCTCATCGATCTCAACAACCTTAGAGTGCAATGCTTCGGCCTTCCGCACCTTGAGAGCAAACAGGTTTGGGCGTGACTGATCACCTATCACGCAAATATCGCCGAATCCCTTGGTGGTGATGAAAGCGAATTTCCTGCCCTTTCCTTCCAACAGAGCGTTCGTGGCGATTGTCGTACCAACGCGACAGGATACAATTCTTGAACCATCTAGCTTCTCTCCCACAGGGATCTCTTTACCCTCAATAACTTCCAAGGCTCTGCGGATGGCCTCTGTCGGCGCATCTCGGTAGTTCTGCGGGTCCTCGGAGAGTAATTTGAACACAAGTTCTTCCCTTCCTGGAACTTGAACTAGGACATCGCAGAATGTCCCTCCACGGTCTGGGCTGTAATTAGTAGTTGAAAAGATGAGGACGATATATATCGAAATACCTACCAATTGAGACGTTAATGTCAGGTGGTGGTTGCATATTCGCTGTGATTTCTAAAAGCCAAGCACCCAGTGAATATATATTTCTCACAGATGAGGCTTCTCATGATCACAATCTGTATATAATAATGCTCGCTTAGAAACTCCTCACAAACAAAACTAGAACACCGGCTACAATCCGCATTTCTTGATACGCAACGAGCGTGAAGTCGGGGGTGTTTTACCTGAATAGGATATTCTCATCGGAGATGCGCCGGTAAAACAGCGATAGCGGGATGATTGACATGCAAGTTAGTTATCTTACTGGCCCAGAAGACTCCACTTAGGCTGTGGAGTGTCCGAGCACACACTTTTAGCCCGGATTGACGCGGTTCCCCTAGCAAATGTTGCAATCACAAACCCCGCAGGTCGTTGAATAATCGAGTTGAACTGAGCTACTCAGGAGAATGGCGGATATGGAGCCGATCCCAACGACTACATTCGCTATCCCCAGTGGTTAATTACCGAGAGGTGCAGATTATCCACCAGCATGAAATACCATACCCAACGTTATCGACTAAGCCAGTCCAGTCCCGAACGCGATGGGTTTGAGAGGCAGGCCGAGCAGCGGTGGCCATATGCGTATCCTCCTCCAGCCTGCAACCGCTGCCGCCAGTACAAGAAGAAATGTAGCAAAACTCTACCTTCCTGCAGGACTTGTGTGGACGCAGGACGGAAATGCTCGTATTTCACGTCTGATAGGATGGCTGCCTCGTCACCAGAGGTTCTTCACGCGCGGATACAATGGCTCACGCAGTACATTGAAGACAACATACCTGGAGCAAACGTGGGCCAGAATATGCCACTGAAAGAGAAGGATGCGTCACAAGCTGTCGACGAGCGTGCAGGGAAAATTGGCTCCCCAGTAAACCCAGTACAGGCCCAACCTAATGGTCAAGCTCAGCGTACAAGCTCGTCTCTCGACAATGAGCACAACAATGCAGAACCGAAGAAGGGGACTTCTGTGATGCTTTGGAAGGAGTCAGACAGCGAAAGACCACGATCGCTGGCATGCCTTAATGCCTACTTTCACCACGTTCATCGGGCATACCCGTTCGTCGATAAAGCGCGGATTATGCAAGTGCAGAGTGCGAATGTGAACGTCGTGCTGATAGAGAATGATGCCGACTCAATGGTGAGTTCAGTTCTATAGAATTGCCATCGCCCAGAGCATGCAGCAAGTAAGTGGCAGGGCTTAACTAATGCGACTGTCCAGATACTCTACCTTATCCACGCCATTGGGCGGACGACTCTGGAGCGATCAGGAAAAATTAGTCCGCTCACTGGGAAAGAGCTTAAACTACCATATACAATTATTCTTCAATATTGCATGGAGAATGAAAGCATGGATTCAGTTCAAATTCTTCTATTACTGGCGTTGTATTCCCTGTTTGATCCTCACGCTACGTCTCCATGGACAACTGTTGGAATCCTGACCCGGCAAGCCATGGCACAGGGTCTGACTCTACAGCGCACGTCAAACGTAGATCAAGCGTCGCCATCAGACGAGCCATCGAATCGGTTATTTTGGAGTATTTACGTACTGGATCGCATGGTCGCGTCCTCTGTCGGACAGCCTCCGGGGCTGTTTGTGCCGGACGTTCACATCCCATTGCCCGCTGTGACAGTGACTGAATTTGCTTCAGCACAAAGAGCAGAGGTTTCCAGTATGTTGCTGGTAACACGGCATGTAATCCAGCTGCGTCGCCTAGAGAGCAAAATCACGGACGCGATCTTTCTACGTCCTCGAGCAGATGTCCGTTCCTTGACTCCGTCCGATCGCGCCGCTATCATCACTGAGCTTCATTATGCTGTGGATAACTGGTACAGTGACGGCTGTCTAATTTCCCGCCCAGAGGCAAGTAATGTGAGGATCCATGACACCATGGCCTGGCTTAACGCACGTTATTATCAACTACTGATGTTGATATATTATCCGACACCATTCAATCAACCACCACGTCCAGGCTCTCATGAGCACCTCCTCAACGTTGTCCAGAAATATATTCATTATAGCCACGTGTTGTTGGAATTAGGGCAACTACCGCTTAACTACATAACGTTGACCCGATTCGTCCCGGCATGTCTCGTCCTTCTTTACTGTTTTGGTCATACGACTGCCATGGTGTTTCCAGCCAAGCAAGAGATACAAAGCTGTATAGCAATCCTTCATAGCTTCTCCAGCGGCTGGGAACATGCCTTATTCTTGGCACAAATTATGACAGACTTTTCTTCTGTGGTCTCTATGTACGAAAGCCAATCTGCCAGCTCTCTTGTGACATTACCAACAACACCCGTTTTGCGACATGCCGCACAGCCATCATTTTACCCACGAGTGGTCTCGCTTAGAGCTGAGTTAATTCAAGTTGGTGGACGCATCATGGGGAAGGCAAACTGCTATCAATACATAGAAGGCTGGGATGCGGAGGCAATCAGCTCGAGCTCTCCAGCGGATACTTCGTCTTCAACAGATGCTGCCGTGACGAGGGACATTGCAGCTTTGTCCTCACCTTTCGTTGGGGAAATTGGATGGGACTTCCTATAACTCAACTATTGACATTCTCTTCTAAAATGCGGCGGGCTTGTTCGCACTGGGCTTCTGCAGGCTCAAGGGCTCAGAAAGTGTGGCTATGTCACGAAAGCTCTGCTGGCTGTATCAAATGCTTTCTAATGTGCCCAATGACCTCGGCATTTTTCTCAATATGAACTGAATGATTTGCATTCTGAATAATCTCCAAGCGAGAATCTGGTATGAGGGACGCAATCACCCGCGACTGTGCAGGTGGGCAGATCCAATCCCGCTCGCCGACAATGATGAGAGTTTTCGCCGTCACAGTTGAGAGGCTATCTCTATAGTCAAAAAGCTTCTCCGGCTCTGCGTATAGGTCATCTGTTTCTGAGTCAGCATAAAGCTCGACAAATAGGATGTTCTACGTACTATGTGACTTGGCGTAGAACACAGTGTCTATATTGCGACGCAAGGCAATATCCGCATCGAAAGACTCGCTATAAAGTGGAGCCGCTGCATACATGATGAGTTGAAACTCAAGATCACTGTCGAACTGGCCAAAGATCTTGTCTCGCAACATCCCCGTGGAGAGACCAGGTGCGCGATGAATGCGAGCTTCCAATACTTGAATCGCTTCTGCTTCGTCTAAGAGTATTCAATTAATGCTCCAGCTCACTGAGGTAGTACAACCATGGTCCTCTCCAGTTGAATATCACTTACGATGATGCGATGGCGCTGTGCCTCGCAGTATGAGGTGTGAAACATGCGAAGGATAAGTAATGGCGTATTGTTGTGCAAAAAATCCTCCAAAGCTTCCCCCACATATGATGCAAGGCTTCTCGCCACCAACGAAGTACCGTCGCAACCCTTCGATGTCCTCTACTAATTGACGGAAGCTGTAAGGCTCAGTCCGAGAGCTCCTCCCATGGCCGCGCAAATCGAATGATAGTAGTCGATAGTCTGAAGATAGTGGCAAGAATGCTTGAAAGTCCGACTTGTGATCGCCTGCTCAACCAAAAAGTAGATAGCAAGGTCACATTAGCACTATAATCACAAATCTAGAGATGGTGACAGTAGCCTACCAAAGCCCCGACCGCCATGAAGTGTCACTATTAAGGGCGCATTGGCAGGCCCGACCAACCTGTAGGCTAGTTGTGCACCGTTGATGGTGACGGACTCAACTATTATGAGGCAAAGCGGAAGTTATACTAGGAGCGAATGGCAGAGTCTTGCTTGCGAATCCCTCCATCACCTGGTCTGATAAATAGCCGTGTCCTAAGGATAGCGATAGCTAAGGTTCCACTAAGAAGGGCTAGCACTAGAGCCTAGTTTCTCTGCGCTTCATTCACCATCGGCCCCACGCCGGTAATTTCCTATTCGGATCAAGCACGTAACCGATTCGATTGTCAGTGGGCGAATCTTGCGTGATCTCTCCGTCGAATGTTGTAAGGATTATCTGTACCTTAGTGGCCGCTTGCTCCATATGGGAGACCAGACCATTCGTGACTAACCTGGATAGTGACGGTCGCATACACAGTATTTTAGTGTGGGCGTTTATAGCTTCCCTACTAAAGTCTGTCCAAGTACTTGAGACTCACTGCGTAGCTAAAATGGATATTAATGTCGCCGTGCTTCGTCACTGGGCCGCGGCTGTTCTATTCTTCCTCTCCCTTAACGCCATAGATTATCCCCTGTTTACAGTCCACAATGAGACAGCCAAACGCGGCACGGCCAGGAAATGATAATCCCACCATCTTGGGTACTGGCTTCGTTGACCACAAGGAACCCCTAACTACTATCTCGCGAACTCAAGACAAACCTCCAACTACTAGTGACAAGTCAATATCGTCTTCAAACAAACCCCGTTGGTTTCACTGGCACGAGCCAGGCACCTCAAGGGCGGACAAAAAGCTCATCTTCAAGCTGGATTGGTTCCTATTAAGCTTCAGCTGCCTTTACTTCTTTATTAAGCAGCTAGATGGCAACAATATCTCTAACGCCTACGTCTCCGACATGAAGGAAGAGCTAGGCTTTGGTCCGGGAAACGAGCTCAGCTGGATGAATACTTACTTTAACATCGGCCAGATTGTCGGCGGCCCTTTGTCGAATCTTGCATTAACGGTTATTCGGCCCCGGTTCTGGCTTCCTGGTTGTTTGGTGGCGTGGTCTCTTTTCGTGCTTTTTCTTTTCAAATGTAATACTGCCTCCGAGTTCTACGGGCTGAGATTCTGCATTGGATTCTTCGAATCAGCCGCATGGCCTGGCGTACAGTATGTCTTGGGCTGCTGGTATCGCAAATCAGAAATGGCACGCCGTAGCAGCCTTTTCGTCATGTCTGGCGTTCTTGGCCAGATGTTTTCGGGCTATCTACAGGCGGCCCTGTTCAGCGGAATGGAGGGCAAGGGAGGCATGTCATCGTGGCGATGGCTCTTCATTTTCGATTTCCTCCTCGCCGTGCCCGTAGCCATTTACGGTATCATTTTCTACCCAGACACACCCGAGAACACAACCGCATTCTACCTCTCCGAAAGTGAGAGAGAACGGGCACGTGCAAGAATCCAAGAAGAAGGGCGTACTCCCGTCGGTAAAATGGACGGCACAGTATTCAAGCGAATTCTGACCTCTTGGTAACTATACACCTTCTCCCTAGGATACGCCTTCTGGACCCTCACCTGCGGGTCATATGTCATGCAATACTTCAGCATCTGGTTGAAGTCACTCAACATTTACTCAGTACCACAAATCAACAACATCCCCACCGCACTAGGCGCCGTCAATTTCTTCTTCATGTTGACATCGGGCTTCGTCGCAGACAACATCGGCCGCCGTGGTCCAGTCTGCTTCGCCGTAGGGTGCCTGTTAACTTTCTGCTTTGCTGTTTTCACGGCATGGCCAGCATCTCGCCATCTCAAGATGGCTGCCTTTATACTTTCTGGTTGCTATGGATGCTATACGCCTCTACTGGCGGGATGGGTTAATAGCTCATGCGGTGGTGATCAGCAACTTCGGGCTTTTACCTTGGCTTTCATGGTTAGTTTGGGTCAGGCGGTAGTTATTCCGTTTCAACAATTACAGTTCCCTAGTGGAGAGGCGCCGTCATTTACAAGGACACATGGTTGGGTGAGTGGGCTTTGCTTTGTTATTATATTAACGCTCTGGACTGGGTTTGGTATTGAATTTGTAGAATGGCTGGTTGGCCGGAAGGGAAAGGGGAAAAGGGTTATTGCGGACGAGCCCGATGTTGATTTCTAATATACACCTGACTTGGAATTATGATGTATGACATGTATTCGTGTCTCTTAATTTATTACACTTATGGTAGTTTACAGCTTGGAAAGGTTGATGCTATGCTTCATTCCATTCATGTAAGATTTACTACCATATCTGCACCTCGTGTTAACATGCGCTAAACATACAAGGTGTGGGACCCGGCGAGGCAGTAGAATTTAGAGATCTGACTATACATCTCGTGCACTAGGTATTACAGGGTCAGGAACCTTAGCCGTGACGTATCTGCACCAAATAATAACACTATGGCGGATCACTGGGCGCACAACTACCTGGGAAGGTGGTATTGAGTGCCAGTTCTAGACTCATACCCACTTATACATCATTATCCAATGCTTCAAGCCACATTATTGGCTCTTTTGAAGCATAACCACTTTTGTCTCTACCCGACTTGGACAGGTACACTTTCTAACCCCTAAACAGGCACCAAGAATCAAGTTTTCGGACTGAATGTACATCTCTTCCGTGCGGTTGGGTGTAACTGTGTTCCGTGGGGTGATCAATCTCAGCCAGCCCTCATACCGGACCTACGAGTTTGGCAATTTCCGTCCCTTGATGAGCTCTTGAATAGCACCGTTTCTCGTTACCCATACCACAAGACATACCGAGAAGCTGAAGACGAAACCTTCGTAATTTTACATTCCTCCAGAACAACTGGTGGGCATATACAGACTTCTCTACAGGCTATCCTAGTTAATACTAACCAACCGGATGCAATCTTCCACGGCCATCAGATAATCCATTACTCCTCTAAACCGGACGTTGATTCCGTACTGGATGCACTATCAACACTATGTCTATGAGCAGCTCTTATCCCTCCGTCTCTCCTCCAAGATATGAGCACCAGTGCACATGCACTTAAGACACTCGAGAAGACTGAATATATCTTATTTGCTGGCGGGCCATTGTCCACGGAGGCTGGTGATATTATTAGTAAATATTGCCAGCTTATCCCAAACATCGGATCGACGGAGTTAGAACATGTACCACCTACCATATCGAAGACATCACCCCAGAATTGGAAATATTATCAATGGCCCTACTACCCCGATATCCATTTGGAGGCACATGACGAGGGATTATTTGAGATGGCCGTTTACCGTTCAGCAAATAGTCGTCTGCTTCATGGGGTGTTTCATGTTCTTCCTGAACTGCAGAAATGGAGAACGAGGGACCTGTTTTCGAAACATGCTACGAAGGATGGGCTGTGGGGGTTTGAAAGCCGGACAGATGATATTATTGTCCTTTCGAATGGAGAAAAGGTCAATCCTCTTGAAATGGAGGGGGTAATCGAATGTCATGATCTCGTGCATAAGGCTATGATTGCTGATCAGGAAATGACTGAATGTGTGCTTTTTGTGGAACCGGACTGAGATAGAGTGGATGGCCTGGAAGAGGATGGTAATTTCGTTGACATGATCTGGGATAATGTCGAGTCCGCGAACAAGCTGGAACCGAGTTATGGTTATATTCAGAGGGATAGAATTGGGATCGGCAGCCGGGTGAGACCGTTCCTGCTGAATGATAAAGGGATACTGAGACGTGCATTAGTCTGCAAGGACTATGTAGCTGAGATATCGGCGTTGGGGAGTGATGACAATGTGGGGCCGGGGGACTCTTCAAGCGATGTCCTTCAGGGAGATGATATGGAGACCTTTATACGACATGTGGTGTGTTCTGTTTCGTCGCACCTCGAGCTTAAGGGAGACATAGAATTCTTCGCTGCGGGATTGGACTCTCTCCAGGTTATTCAAATGGCTCGGGGCATAGCCCGGGGTATCAGTGTTGGTTCGAAAAAGAGTCAGGGGATACATATTGGTCTTCAGATAATTTACGGATATTGCACTATCAAAAGCCTGAGCTCATATATCTCAGATGTAATGGAAGGGAATGGCAGTGAGTCCGAGGACAAAGTTGACGACGTTCAACCGGCGTTGAACCATCTCATAAACAAATACACTACTTCACTTCCAACGGTGGAGCATAAAACATACACGTGACCCCACGGTCCAATATCATACTCACAGGATCTACAGGCTCGCTTGGGAGTTACCTTCTGGACGTACTGTTGTCAGAACCTTCGATCAAGAAGGTATACTGCCTGAACAGATCTTTCAATGCCTTCGAGAGACAGAGGTCTTCATTCCACGACAGACAAACTTAACGGGAAAGCTTTATTATCTCCCAAAGCAGAATTTCTGACGGCAGACCTCGGGGATAAAAGTCTAGGTTTATCCCAAAACAAAAACAACGAAATGCTAAATACAACGGACGCCATCGTGCACAATGCCTGGAAGGTGGACTTCAACTTATCCGTTTACTCTTTTGAGAAGGATCACATTCGTGGCACACAGACCCTACTAGACCTAAGCATGTCCAGCCGAAAAAGAGCGCATATGTACTTTGTGTCCTCAATAGCCACCACATCCGGGTGGGATGCATCGAAGGGAAACATCCCTGAGGATATTCTACCGAATAAAGTCGAGCCTCCAACGCAAGGGTATGGTCAATCGAAGTATGTCGCTGAAAATATCTGTTTATCTGCATCCTATCGTTCAGATGTCCCGGTAACTATCTTGTGAATCGGGCAGGTCGCGGGACCTACGACAAAGTCTGGGAGATGCTGGAATCCGGATGAGTGGTTTCCATCTCTAGTCTTTACTTCAAAGTCAATGGGTATTGTCCCTGAGTCTCTGACCATGCCGGTGGAATGGATACCTGTGGTAAGTCACCCATATCTTGGAACTCCATTTGCTAATTGCTGCAGAACTCGCTCGCTCAGATAGTTCTGGAGATCATCCAATGTGGTAACAAGTGTAAGCACGGTATTCCTGCAAACGTTATGAATGTAGTCAATCCGAGAAGAACAATTTGGGCTAAATTTTCACCAACAATTCGGAGGCGCACCGGAGCGAATCCCGTAAGTCTGCGGAGGTGGGTTGAGTCACTTTGTGAAACGGATGCTGTCAATGTTGAGAACAGGCCAGCCTACAAGCTTCTCAGCTTCTATGAGCGACTAGCCCGTAGAGATGGTCATGATATCGTTCCACGGTTTGAAACGGACAAGGCCGGTGAAGTGAGTCCCACATTTAGATCGCTTGGTCCCATTGATTCTAGTTCAGTGCAGACATGGCTTGACCAGTGGGAACTATGATGAAGTTTTGTATCAAAAGAAAATTAAGATTAAAACAACGAAGGTGTGAAGGAAAAGAGAAAACAAAGGAAATGTCATATAAAAGGAAGGTCCAATAACAACCGAAAAGAATCCACCCAAAGTCTTATACCGTCTTCCACATCATTACACCCTATTTATACTCCATACCCGGCGTCATCTGATACCCCAACTCAGCTCTCGTCCGCAGCTCAGCCTCCTTCTCCTCCTGGACCAGAGCGCAACAAGAACAGCAGAACGTGACACAGCAATCTCCACAACAGCTACCCTTAATACCGAAGCGTTCACGCATCTCACCACGTCTGATGGTTTGGATGATCCAATGGGAGTAAATGAAGGCGAGACCAGTGAAAATCGTGCACTTTGCCGTTTGTCAGCAGGTGTTTGTTCTCTGGTCAAAGTATAGGGCTGACTTACGTCTGCGTTGCAGTAGCTAAAGCTGGTAAGGGTGGCATCGTGGTTCCTAGCTTGGGTTTTGCCGAATGTCAGACATGGGAGGCACCAGCTCATCAGGCCTATATTTAAAGAATCCATGTGTTAGTTGTGCGATGCCGTGTTTTGGGAGAGGGTTGGTGGTGTCTGCCTTACATAGTGAGCCGGGGTCACAACAGTCGAAGAGAGAATAGTTCCAATCCTGGTTCTGGGTGATGTCTCGCGATTGACCTGGGTTGGCTTGCGAGTATGTCGGGGGTCCATGAGGCCAGGGACGGTAGATTTTGTCTGTTGCTTGGGACATTGTGAAATCGCGTAGATGGATTAGGTGGCAGATATGAGCGAGTGTAATAAGTTCGATAAAATGTTTATGCTTTGTTGGCAGGGAGTGCGGTAGTCGAAGGTGATGTTCTTCACGAAGGCAGGAAGGAGTGTAGCAGGTCAGGAAAATAGAAAGAGAACTCTGGAGAGACCCGTTTCGGGCCAGGTACCACGGAGGTTAAATATTTCCAGAAACCTTGAAATCTCTATTAATCCACGTCCCTCCTTTTTCAGATTCTAAGCTTTCATTTTACCTCATGGAAAGTCCATAGGGCTATGCTACCCACATACCCAAAAGGGAAGTCCGCGTTCGTATTCCAGAAATGTGGGTCTTGGGCCAATAGCAGGGCAGCAAGTGAACAACGTTGACCCTCATGTGGATCCCTTCCAGGGAACCCTAATTTTTATAGTACGTAGCATATTATATATAGGAAAGCGTGGCGCGCCATAAGGATCTGCAGTAGGATACTCGAAAAGGATTCTGCGTGGGTACGATTAAGGTGAATTGTGGCGAGGTTAAATTACTTTTGTGTGTACTTCCATTGGTCTTGTCTTACCTTGGACGATGTGAATTTTCCGGGATTCGACGGATTTCTTCCTTCTCTAGCACCCAATAACAATTTGCTGCAGAGTTTAAGCTAGAATAGGAAGTTCTCCGCTCGTATTGGTAGAATTTATGAAGCATGGCGTTTAGAGACTAAACATGGAACAAACGAGGACTGTCGCGATATCCGTATATAAATATTACACCGGAAATATCTACTTTTCAAAGATTTATCGGTGCCTGTTTACACGTATATATGACACTTGAGGCAGCGCTTAATCACGAATACTATGACGACAAATAACGTCCAACGCTCGCAAGGGGCGTGCCTTCCTCTTTCCAGCCCGAAGATCCAAAAACACCAAAGAAGACTGAAAATGAAAAGAATCATCACATAAGGAAGAAAAAAGATCAAAAAACCTAGCCAGCCTTGCTGATGATCCCCAGCCGATACCGTGGGATCATTAGCAGAGTCTAGGGAAAATCCCCGGGCCCAGGGATTTTATTACTACGATCAAACCCGCGACGCCTTATCCCCGGCCGCTGGAAAAGGACGTCGAGGGGCGGGTTCGAACGGAGACCGCTGTGTTGCAGTAGCCATGCTGGCGTGGCCATGCCAAGGCCTCAGTCTTGACCGCTGCACCATCCGGGTCTCTATTGTCATAGGCGTTGTTCCCTAAAAACATGAGGAATGGCCAGGTGCCCGATTAGGAAGGTGTGACGTCTGCAGGTCACTGGGTCAGGAGGGGCCGAGTCTCACTGTCGAGGAAGGACCAGGGTGGCATTGGTGCATCAGTACAATGACTCGTTAATTGGTGGTATATGCACCCAGGATATCTCTCGCATTCTGTGGAAGATGGTCCTTGTAAAGGTGGATGCTTTCCACAATTGGTATTGAGCGATAGGCAATCCTGTGCCTGTGGCCATGGCCATGACCCGGACGTAATACCTGGACAGGACACATTGCGAGTAATCTCAAAAGGGCATATTCCATATACGGAGAGTGTTGTGGCTAGCATATATTTGACAGACACAATCTTTTCACAGAGCCAAGCTGCGTTCTAGGCTTTGCCGGTGACGCACTGCATGGGCCACTGGACGTAGTGTTGGTGATAGACGTCGAGGTTACGATAAATCCCAATGAGAATGTGTTTAGGCCAATCTTGAAGGAACCAATTCCCGGTAAGCTCATCCAACAAGAGGACGAAATAGGAAAATAGCACTAATGCCGGCTGGTGTCGCTGCCTAAGTCCAACCATGAAAACGTCTGGCAGTCTGTAGAGCCAGCCGAAGATGCATGGCCATAAAAGCGCAGTCGTTATAGGCGAAGACGGGCTATAGATAACATCGTAACACTGGCAAAGTCGTTCGAACACCATATTATAAACAGAAGAAAGCGTATCGTTTCCGCCGAGTTCGGAATCTATAAGATGTCGCAGCTGACCCATCCAGTAGCCATATTCACAAGTGATAGTTGAACTTCTGGCGGTACCTGTTGACTCTGCGTCCGGTTCTGACTCGGAACCCGATTCCCCCTCATCACCTCTTAAAACTATATCTGGTGAAAACAACTTGCTGCTTATTTCCAGTACTGTCCGGACACCCATGAATAAGGATAGAAAACCCCCTTGGCCATCATCACTGAAAGCCATATACTCACCTGCCCGCGGCCCTATGGCGAATGAGCAGATGAAGATGTACACAGCGGCGGTGTAAACTGCATGGCAGTTTTCTTTATTTAGCCGTGGCACTGCAGCTGCCACTTCTCGGATGGCAAGGTTATAGTGCCGTTCAGCTACCACATGGTAGTCCTTCCCTTGGATGGCAGACTGTTGAAGCTGAACGATTTCTGGACGCCGTGCCAACTGAAAGCCCGAACAAGCAAGCAGGAGGCGCAGGACGTACGGAAAAGTGAAACCAAGACGAGAAAGTTGAGATAGCTGCACTCTCGCTGCACTCTGACATTCGGAACCGCCAGAGTCTGTTGGATTTAAGAAGTTATGGAACAGCTCCATATCGATTATAGTAAACTCAAATGGTCGACATGCCAACGTCGGAAGAATTCGGTCAGATGAGGAGCATTGCAGTAGCTGTATTGATAGAGACTTGCGAGTTCTATGTGCACGCTTTGGTGGCTTGAAGTTGGATTGATATGATGAAATAAATGTTTGATGGCGCTTGCTTGGCACCTTCCTGGGCGCCGTCGCCGGTGGCTGCGCGTTCGCGTTCTCTGCTGGTGTTGGTAGATTGGTACTCGATTCCTCGAGCTGATAATCACACTCCACTGAGTGACGCAGACAACCACCGCAGGATGGCCGAACCTCATCGCACTGAGTACAGTTGTCAATCGACGGGTACTATAATCGAGAATAATCACGGAGTGCACCTACTTTGATCCTGCGACGTTTACAGTTGCCACATCCAAGACGTGATTTCCGATGTGATTTACGAGAGCCATTGGCCATGCCGTAGAGGGTCATATTATAGGTGGCTTCTCTTTAAATAGAGGAACGTTCATCGCGAGATAGGGTTGGAAGTGAGAATAGCAGTCGTGCCTGAGAATCGTCGCCAATACTTCGGAGAAACTTTTGTCGCTTCATTCAGGGGCTCAGTCAGCATTTTCCCTCTCCGTGATTGGTCTTGGCTGGCTCAAGCTCCATCCACAACCATTACGACAACCACGGAACCGTGAAAGGAGGGAGAAGATAGATAGCTTTTTACATGTCCTCTGTCTGCGGAATTGAAACTGCTAATTATAGAAGCACTCCGAGCTAGACATGTGTAGGGAAGAAGGCAACCCTGGGAACACTGGTCCTTCTAGCATTTGCTGCCATAGTATTGCATCCCAACAGTCATCCACCCCGTCGCCCATACCCTCTAAAGCAATTTGACCAAATCTGAACTCGGTCGCCACTTGGCCTGGGTCAGGCTGATTTGTAGGGAAGGGGAAGTGCCTTCCTGATTCGTTTGAATCTGAGTCCGCAGAAGCCGAAGGGCAGTGGGTAATCTCGTTAACAACTGTAGAGTGCTGCATCATCAAGCTCGGATGGTTTCGCAGCCTCTGTTTCGGCCCTGGTAAGTCTTGATGCTTCTCCAGCCAGGATATCATACTGCCTATGACCCTCTTGCTATTTGCCCAAACATCATTACCACGTGAGACTTCCCCATGCTTTTCGATTGCCGCTCGCCCGATTCCATGGATTCTCCGTCCAAACCCAGTTGTTTTTTCCCACTCAAGGTCGGACAACAAAAGGACCTTCGAAAGGACTAACAGTGCATACCAGAGATATGTATAAAATGGTAGAGGGAGGTGGACCACGATTTCTGGTAAGGACTTAAGGAAGGACGTAATGACGCTCTCTGCTGATGAAATAAGATTACCAAGCTGGTTCATTTCGTCGAGGAGGAACCTGTCATTCCTGTGGTAGACTATTTGTCCAAGAACAAGAACGGGTTTGATTTTCACTTCAAATATATATGCGTCTTTTGATGACCTAGAATTGGTAACTGGCAACAAGATGTCTCAGGGACGAATGGATTATGCAGAGGTAACTCACACGTGCCACTTCCGTGTTGTCGAGCTTCGTATTCGATCTCTTGAAATAAACAAAATTTGTGATCGAGCCTCTGGATGCCCGCCTCTAATATCCGTTCTCCATGTAAGGGTGAATCTCTATGCCTGTGCACATTGCCGTTGAATACCTCTGCACTCTTTTGAGCTAGCACCCTCACGTCTATATAGGTTTTCAGAAGTGTATCTGATGGGAATTCAGGACTCTTCATCAAACTATCACAGCATTGATTAATCCAATCGGTGTGTTTCATGAACAACTGCTGTCGGAAAAGCGACGACCTTATTGCAATGTCAGCGGGTTGAAGTAAGCAATAAGTAGATTCCTTACACAGAGCACAAATAAAATGTCCCCAGGAGAGCCCTCTTTCCGGTGGCTGAATCACTCGCTAGTCGCTGATGTGCACTGTTGGGCCTTCCTAAGCTGGCTGCAATGTTCCGCATAGTGAAGTTGGGCTGCCGATCGAGCCCAAGATCAGCAACCATTGTGACAGTTATTTGAAGGAACATGTACATGTGTGGCAGCATCGACTCCCAATGATAATGGTACCATGCTGTGTAGACAAGAAGACCCAAGAGTAGATCTATGTTCCGTTCGTTGTTCATAATGATACGTGTACTGACGGTTCGCTTGACTTCATGGTCCAGATCCTTTTGTAAGGCCGGTCTGTCTTCCGAACTGACAGTCATGATAGCCACCAATAAGAAAGGATATTCCTGGCGAAGACTGATTGCATTCATTGAGTCGGTAATTATGACAAACGGAAACTGCGGCATTTTGACCGTGCGAAACTTGTCCAGGAGTCGGTTACACTGAGCTAAGGTGAGGACACCGTGAGTCAACAAGTCGCCACGCTCGCCCAAGCGAGGGTACGGAGAGATGGACTTTGTGTATTTAATTGACGCATTATATTCATGTAGAGTATCTGGCGCTACCTCATCTCCGGACATGCCGTGTCCGCACACTCCCCCGTCCTGTGGCTTCAGTCAGACAACACTGCATGTCCACACATAATAAAAGTCAACTTCCCCTTTGTGTTAGCTGATTGCGAAGCTCATTGATCTGGTCTTGAAGCTCGTCAATCCGGCTTTTTCTACCTGGATTATTCGGCGGAGTGCTCGGGAAATCACAAGGACGGCCCAATCGAGAGCAACGTTGACACTCTTTGTCATTGCCTTGTATAGAACATTTGACTTTCAATTCAATACATCGGAAGCATGCATGACGTCTTGACGATTGTCGTCGATTCATATTAAACGATGATATAAATTCTCGTGAAAGGAGAAGAGCGACCGCAGAAGTCGTTGAAGGTCGGAGAGTCGGAATCGGAATCGGAACCGGAGTAGGGGTTGAACACGTGCCAGATCAGTTGTATATCAACATTTGCCTTTCTCAGTAGAGTTTGGGTTCATGTAGCATTTCTATCATTATAATAGAAAGGTACTCTGTATCTTATCGTGAATCACCGGCTTACATTAGAGTATGTTAGCTGATAGTATGCTTGGCCGCTATAAGGTTCGGCCTAAGCTCTGTTCTGAAATATATATTCACCCCCATAATACCCTCTGCCACTCTTCTTTCAACCGCTGAGATAAATTGTTGCTCTACTCAAATAAAAGATCTATCAAACTACTGAAATCCATTCTATTTCGTATCTTTTGTATACCCATGATGCTACGAGGGACCCAGGAAATCTTAGCAATTGGTATTAACCCATTGAGATCTAATTCCTACGGTGGAGCGATCGAAAACCAAGCAGTTAAGGGGGTCCCTCCTCAACAGAAGATTGAAAGCAACGACAGCTCCTACTCCGAAGTATACTCCCCAAGAGCTATGGCCAGCCCTGGAAAAATGAACCCTGAATTCATTCAACCCCTTATCAGGTAGTATCCATTACCCTACGGAGTACTTGAATAGGCAGGCATTACTGTCTTTAATATATTTAGAACACCGGCTAAAACGGATTTAGGTCTCCACAATTGACAACTCAGCCAACCACATATGAAGAAACCCAAACCAAAGAGTTGGGAGAAGAGGTAAAAGCTTGGCCAAGAGCAAAGGAAAAAGCGAATGCCGATCGCAATCATATCGTTAATGAGTGGTCACACTGCCGTCGCTCTTTGGTCAGTGATGCCTCATTACCCCACCAGACCATTCGAACACCAGTTCAAGATGAAAATTAGACAATGTGGCCCTGAAAACGGCATTTTTGAGTGATTATCGCTTTGACGTGTAGTCGCTCGCCAGTTTTTGCCTTTTTCCTTTTTGTTCTCTCTCTCTCTCTTTTTTTTAACGGATTGGACCAGTAAAGATATCCAAATGATTCTGTTACACAGTGCCTTACTATCTTCCTTCGATCAAAATGTGCATAGATTAGACCTGTGCTAGGATGACACAACATAAGCGAAAGATCCGGAAAGAATAAAGTCATTGATGCATGAAATTCACGAGAGAAAGGGGTTGAATCGCATGTTGAATTTGCCCAATACAGTTCTTCTATAGTATGATAGCAGCTTGTACATGATCCATGATAGGTCCTGTCGAAACCTTAGATATATATCAAGCGTACGGTTCGGTTGGGCTAAGCTATGCAGCCGAGACAAATGGAGAGGGACACAGGTTTATATCAAAAATTCCGGTCATCCTGGTGCATTTTTAGCGAGTGATTTAGACTTGCGATAGGTTCCGACGTTAAGATGATGCGCCAAGATGTATGTACTCTGGAGTGCATGCGCCGACTAGTCAAGGTCCCGGAAAATGCCGGAAAATATTACGCTTAGACCTCTCCGAATCAAAATATACTGAAGTCCCCCGTGTACATCTGAGCGTTCTGTAAAACGTCTGATTGAAGCATTTTAGGTAGTGAGCCGAATTTGTGCCGAGAGAGGATGCGAGACAAAGAAATCGAAGAAATACGGATGTTGGTCTAGGCTTCTGGGACAGGCTATCCCGACCTCTTGGAGCTTTCCAATAAAGAACGCTCTTAGAATCTGAGACTCTAGACCTATCCATGCTACCATTGGTGTCTATCGCTGGCTCGGCATACTCCGTAATATGGACTTCCGGGAGTAGCGCGGGACTAGGCCCTAAGCGAGTCCAGTACCCACACCTAGCTGAAAGCCGTGGTGGCCAAGCGAATAGCTTTCGGAGATTGGCTGTGTGGCTGTGGAGTATCACATTAGTGCTGCGACCTGTTCCTATCCTCCTATGGCATAGTTGGTGGTCTACTCCCGACAGAGGTAAGTGCTACTACAAGCTATCCACCCAAGTGCCGTTCCTGGCTCCGGAGGTGGGCCTCCGAATGTCACTGAATTCTGACACTGAGGGAACAAAGGATTAATGAACAGGCCCACCCGATTTCTATATAAGGATCGACTTCCTCCCCCTCTCGAGGGACCTTCTTACATGCAAGCTACTTACTCACACTGCCCTTGCGTTGAAATCTGAAAAGCATAACCTTAAAAGGTATCTCGAACCGTCTTTGTTTGACGCAGATCGTTCCATGTGACTAATGACCCCCCAGCCCTTCAAACCCACTTGATCTATCGGCAAATATGCGTCTCGCCTATCTCATCCTCTCTGTCTTTGTCGCCACCGTGGCCGCGGTGCCCAACCAATGCACACCCAACGGTCTGCCATGCGATTCGCAAACTCCTTGCTGCTCGAAGGTCTGCGTCATTCAGGGTGACCTCGGCAGCCCCAACGAGAATGGTACCTGCCAGTGAGCGTTGGAAAATCCAGTGGACTTGGCCTTGTTACAGCTGCATACAATCGAGGCTTGAGGATGGAAGGACCAAAGGGATGATGGAGTTGCACACTGCTGTTGATTTATCAAAGAGATACCACCATCACGAAGATATGTTGAAACCAGTCAATTAACTGATTGCCGAATACGACTCGTAATTTTCCTTTTCGCCTTTCTTGAAAAGATCTAGCTTCGATGTCATTCGACACCATCGTATCGATTTGGCATTCGAGTATACCAGTGGAGATCTCCTTTCCTGCATAGTCACGAGGAATGCGCAGATACTTACTTGATCGAGCGTCCATCCACTACACTATAGGGAACAGTTGTGATAAGATCGACAAACTCATGGAGGATCCGCAGGTCCGCACAGTCGATCTTTGTCTCGCGATCGTAACGGCCCACGACCAGTAGATCGTTTACTCTTTGAGGTAAATGATAGGCGACGTCAGATTCTGGGTCCCCGACTGGGGAGGTATTCGTGAATCAAGCTGAATAGTTAATGGTTTGTATCAGGAGAGACAGTTGATGTACAATGGCAAATCCGTTCATGGAAGCCCCCCTGATATCCTGACCCAAAAAAGGAAATTCTCCTTTGTCCCCGTGAGCGACCCCTGACTATACCCGATTGGGAAAATGCCAATCCTTTCAGGCAGTCAGGCAGCCGAGCCCTCTTTTGTAGAGGCACATCCTGTCTACACGAACCAGGCTGAATGATCAAAAAAAATTGCACAGTTTAGCCGACCTTCGTTATAATCTTGAGCCTGTTCAGCAGTCAGCTAAACCTATCGAAAGGACTCTAGAACTTACTACGGCATCAACAAAATACCCTCAACCCCTTCCGTGACCCACATTTCTGATCTTGGCGAAAGATTACTAGTCTCTGGAAATATTTAGGCAGAATCAAAGTCAATCCAGAGTACGGAGTATCCTTATCTTGTTCTTCTAAAGATGTCATCATATTTCGGGGCAACAGTTCGTCATGGAGAACATATGCCTCGTGAATCTCGTCTTGAATCTGGCGGATCTTAGCCAGGTGCTGTTCTGAAAAGTTGGATAAGCTTATCGTTTGCAGACTTTGAATATATTCGATAAAAATAACATATGGCGGCAGTCTCTCGCCGAGAAAGATATAGGGATTTGATCAGATAGACGGCTGAATGTCTTGAATCGTCCCATAGAAGGATGGAATAACGCCCGTCTCCCACGGACCCTTTGATTGCATTCGATGGTATGTGGTGGACTCAGAAACAAAGAGGTTGAGTTCGCGGTCAGGGTTATTAAATGCAGACGGGCCTCGGTTATGATACTTTAACTAAAGCAAAAGCCCAGTAAACCAATAAAACTAGGATACATATCCTCTCCCTGAAACGGACTTTGGCAACCAACCACCGAGTTCTCACTCTCGTGGAACTTCTCAAGGAATTCAACATCTGATGGCTTCAACTGGATCTCATGAATGTCAGGACTATATGAAGTTGGTAACTAAGCGGAAGGCGAAGGTTGAACCAGATTTGTGTGTGTCTCTGGACGTAGACAGAGGCATTCGAATCTTTTTAGGTTACCCTTCTTGCCTGAGGCATAAAGCGGCAGCCATTGCCAATTTAATGTGTCATTACACCGTGTCTTAGGTTGGAATATACCCATTTCTAATTATTTTACTATTGATCGGGATTGAAATAACCTATACATTGGGAGTAAAGCCTGGACTAATTCCTACGAGCCGATGAAAAAGGATCAGTACCAGATCTCTGCTAGGTGGTGTTGGTTGTCATGCCCACTGTACTTTCAACCAAGGAGAAGATATCCCACTATACCTATATATGAAGGAATAGCACAATGTGTTCCCTACTTCTGATCTTATGCATAGGCATGCGCATATTAGGTAAAATCAAGTAGACCTAAGACAACTGTGCTATTCAGGAAGGGCCATTCACCTTCACGTTTCCCTATATCATAGTAGGTCAATCGGTTAATTAGTGGATTTATTAACTAATTTCCACTGAATGGAAGTCCATGGACTTCAGCATCATACACAAGTATTCACATGCATCTTCTTTATTCGATCTGTGTCAAGATATCCTGACCGACTAAGATTGACCACCATACCCAGGTAAACAAGCCAGCAACTCATCTCTCTCTGCATATATCGACACCGCATTAGCATCACTAATCCAATAGGCATATATAAGACAAGCTCACCAGCTTTATCGTTAAACATAACCGAAATATCGTCATGCTCAAGCGGATAATCAAGCTCATCTAGACACACGAACCCCGGCATGTGCGGTTTAATTTCCGGTAGAGCAAACTTGGCATCCTTAATGACAATCCCCCACAGATCACTTTTGTCGATCGGCTGAAAAGCATCTGTGCATCTGACTTCGAAGTTCATGCAGTTACCATGCGGCGACTGGTAGAAGAATGCAATCAATTGGAACTTCCCTTTTTGTTGCACAAGCTGTACCCGCGTAAAGTTAGCTTCCCAACGGTTGCGGATGGAAAATAACTTTCGCGGGCGGTTGATGATGAACCTCTTTGCTACGCTTTTTTATTGTTGTATGTTAGTAGGGCTCTTTCGGGCTGATGGGGGCAGAGCGTACCGGTCAAAGCGCACTTTGTAGCCTGTTATTGCCTGTTGGAAACTGTGTAGGTCTAGATGATGGGCGTTTTCTGTGAGTCCCTTGTGCGGAGAGGCTTTTACACCACCTGGACATACCTTCTATAGAGTTGAATTCTATTCGGCGTAAAGTGAATTTGGTCTGTATGGCATTTATCACTTTGGTCAACTCGTCCCTTAACTTGTCGCTGTTGGTGTCTTGTCTAACGCAAACTGTCAGGTCACTTTGCGGAGGTCGCAGGATATTCAACACTTTGTCGTCGAGAACGCAAAGACCAATCCTAAGATGAGAGGGTGCTACAGCGAAATTAGCAGGGCAAATCAGCCAGGACCTGGGATTGGGAAAACAAACGTAGATTGATTCGGTCTGTAATAGACCCCCAGGTAGTCTCTATAATCACTCTCAACGTCTCTGACCAAACAGTATTGCCGTACGGGCTTCGGCCAGCTCCGTCCTTCTCCTCGATCACACATGCCATGCTTTCTCCGACCTCGAGATGTCGGATATTTTGCATGTCAGAATCTCGATCGGGAGGCTCTGATAGGGCAAAGGAGCGTATAGCAAACTTCTCCGACATAGTTTCATGGTCTCGAGGAATAGCGCCCAACAGCAGCGCATGCAATAGGCCGCGGGCGTGGTGATCGTGGAAGGTAAGTGAGATAGAGAGTCTATGGGATCCCTCTCGGACCTGGAGCAGCAGGCCTGGAAATCCATTATCGTCTTCATAAATGCCATACAGCAGCGGGGTGCTGTTAAGGAAGTAGTGAGAAGCCCTGCTGATCATCTTAGCTTGCGGCGGGGTAGCGACGAAGAGACGAAATCCACAATGCACCCTGCGCTCTGTTTTTCCTTCTTTGACCATTTCAAACTTCTCAAATAATCGGACTTTGCATTGTTCCACTGGCCCCGAGGGGAAGTTGCTGGGTCTATCGTGACTTATGTAGTGACAGAACCCTACGGTATCCTCGAATACGAGGGTGTCGAGCTCACCTGCAACGAGGAGAGTCTCGGTGTGCATGATCTCCTGCGCAATCTCCCATACCATCTTGAAGCTCTGTTCAGTGAGCTGCACCTGAGCGATGTGTTGCGGTCTGATTATGATATGTAGTACTGAACGAGCTGCATCCCAGTAGACATCATGCCATGAGACCCCCCTTTTCCGACTCGAATGGACTTCGATATAAACAGCTTCTGTTTGGCTGGCAAAAGCAGCCACTATCTCCCAGCTTGATTGAAGACGAATAAACGAGAGCACGCACTCGAAGGAGTGTGATGGAATATCGTCTCCCTCATTGACCAATGTCAGACTGACAAATTCGCTTCCGTAAGAAAACAATGTCTCGGTATCGCCGAAAGCTAAAGGGGGGGTGTTATCAGCCGACTGGGGCCATCGATCTGGACAAAGTATCTCGCGTTCCTTCGGACTGCAGGACGGGTACATTATCCACAAGCTTCTATCAACATCGATCCCAGTTATTTGGTCACGTTTTGTCTCCAGTAAGAAGGAGATAGTTTGGCCAAGTCCCTGAAGGTATTGCTGGACACACCTGTATTGCTCCAGAAGTGCAATGTTAAAGTCTTTATCATCTAGAAATTCGCCACGGCCTAACCTAGGTATGATGGATTGACAAATCCACCAGGCCTTTGCGAGATTGACGGCTGCCTGAATAGGCTTTGGCGATGCGACCGCATCTCTGTTAGCCACAGGCACTGAGCCCTTATGGAAGCTCACGATCTCCAATTGTTCCTTTCCCTTAAATGCCCACCATATCGCGGCCCTGACCCAGTCTTCTGCTGGTATGTCTTCAAATGGCTTCAAAGTGTTAACGAAAGGGCCAAATATGTCATCTAAGTGCTTCTTCAGGGTCGAAGTGTCTCCCGCATCACTGCCTTGTAAGTCACTTGAAGGAGGGAAATGATCCGTGAGGCGTTGCATCATCAAGCTGGCGCTCGTGTTCAGACAGGAGATATCAGTACTCCGGTCGGAAGGAGGTTTCGGGAGGGTATAAGGGGTCATATAGGGTTTGTCCAGTGAGTCAAGGAACGGTGTGGCTTTAGGGAGCTCCCTGGGCTTCGGACTAGGATGATGGACTGCACCAGTTACGGATGGTTAGCCTTTCTGAGACAAAAGAATATGAGAACCTCAGTCCACAGGATACGCACGCTGGATGTGAGATCCACCACCTTGCAGTGTCGCGGGTTGTATAGTTAAAGGATGAGCATCATGCCGGTCGGGGGCTTCAGCATCTTCGCCGCTTTTGGCGGCAAGAAAGTCTCTGATTTCTTCTGCCTTGCTCTCTTCGATGTCTTCGCTGCGTACCGCATCATAAGTCTGCTTCAACCACCTCATATTTTTTTGAATTTGCCACCTTGTGGTAAGCCTGCTTCGAAAGGGTGAATGAATTTGAGGTCGAACGGCGGCTTTATATCCAAGCCAGTGTTTACGGAAGGCTATCTGCAGAGCCGCTGGATGTTAGGTAACCCCACCCCGTGTCTCATTATGAAGCGACTTCACAGACTTAACTGTAATGGTACGGCTCAGAAGACCCCACGATACCTTGAACCGAAGTCCTCAAATCAGGAATTGGGTAGGCCAATTGAAAGAGCGTTTTCAGACCGCTCCAAGAGAGCGGCGAGCTGAATACGCACATTGAATGGGCCTATTTTAGCTTAGGGTCTCGGTTGCTAGAAGCTGGGGCACTCGGGAAGGCCACTGATGGCTGTGGGATAATCATTCCTAGTTGCTCCTTTCTCTCTAACCTACCCTTTGCACTCGCGCATTGATGGAAAATTCCAATCGAATGACTTGATATGATTGCACGCGCAACGAAATAGCTCTACGGAGGTGAGAATGGCCTTAGACTGTAGGAGCCCACGGTATGTACTATACTCATATTCAGCATATCGGGTCCTTATATTGGTGTATAATTTATCACTTGTTGATTTCTCTGGGATGACTAACCTTCAGCAATTGGAAGCAAGCCGGAATTACCGATGAAACTAACACTAGTATTGGTGTTTGATTAGGAGTCTATTCCCACATGATTGGGATCCATATAAGACACCGGTGTTGGATGAAATACGGAATATATTCTCCCGTCGGAAACGATAGCATATTGGTTATGTTTCAGCTTTGCTTCGGTTATTTTTGCGTCTATGATTGGTCTACAACCTATATGACTGACAGCCTATACACAAGTATTGCTAGCCCATATCAACCATGTTCACATGGTAAAGTACATGCAGCGCCATGCTGCAATAAGTTATTTGAACTTTGCAATATGGGACTTGAAAATCTTCTATGTTTTAGATGCGCCAAGGTATGGGCCCCAAGCTGCCCTGTGAAACATAACCAAGTAGAAGTCCAAGGGGACCGTTAATTTCTAGATAGATACCAACATTTGCTTGACAAGCGGGGAATACTCCCCTTTAGGAGAGGATACTTGCGATGCCCATAGCCTTAACCATATATGAGTGTTCTATGTGGGTTGATGCTAGTGTGACACTCAAGCTATATCTTTTTGACGTTGGATGCGCTTTAGTATGAACTGCAGGAATACTTTTACAACCATGAGATGTTATACTCCTACGCTATTTTATCTCTCTGGAACCATATCAAAATGTAGGGATATATTGAGGTTTATTAAGCGAAATGGCTTAGTATCGGAATCACTCATGTATGTAAGTTCGACTGAAAGATACATGCCATGCTTTCGCCGCGGTTGCTTCTAGCCACAACTCTATGGGGCCATCCGAACTGCAGTCTTCTAGGCGCTCTCTGAAACGCCAGGTCTCACTAGGGGGTTAGTTCAACCAAGGAATCCTTTTGTCTCTCAGCCGTGTGGCAACTTGCACATAACTATGACCCTGCTAGCGGCTATACATGGACCTTGGTACTGTGATTGGCGGTACCCATTTGGATTAAACTTGTGCAGAAACCCAACAAGCACACAAAGTGCTTCGTTAGTCCCGCCTAGACGTGGGGTCATAAGCTGTAAGTTAATGGCCTATTGTAGCTCATTTACCCAAGCAGTTACATATAATCCTGTTAATATAATACTACAAGTCGTTAAGCCACTCTGCCAAAGTTCGAACCTATACTATAGTGGCGTAAAGTCAGACTTTCCCATTCCCAGGCTTAACACACAGTTATATAGATCGTGAGGGTGCTTAAGCCAACCCGCCCGTCCTTATCGGTCATGGTTCACCAAGCGAGATGACCTCCACCTAAGGCTCGGGGGGTTTCCCGACTCAGCCCTAGAAAGTAAGACAGTCGCTCTCGCTAATACCGCAGAATGAGACATGCTAAGAGACTCCCTGTAGCGGTTCGATTTTGCATTGGTCACTTAAAGTATCCTATAAATATCTCAGTGTTGACCCACACCCACCTATCACTGGACGAGTAGGCTTAAGCGTTGTTGTGATGGACCCACTCTTCAGCAAATATAAGGGTCCAGAACATTGATGCTCCACAACACAAGCCTGTGGGCCGGCTAGATCCTGGGGTTATATGACACGACCCTATGTCTGGTGGTTTTTAAGAGACACGCGAAGTGGAACGACCGGCTTTTATTGGCGGAGATCTATCCTAATGTATAGCAAAGGGATAACTTCGGGTTTCGTTCTTTTCTACAAGAGTGAAAGACTAATATTGAGTTTCTCTTGGTTATTAGACTGTAGGTTACCTTTGGGCAATGCTTGATCAACCATTTCATCTTTGCTATATGACTAGCTATGGTAGGTGAGCAATCATATCGGCAATATGTTTGAAAACAAATATCTCAACGCATGTAGAACCATAAGTTTCCCGTCTTCCATACCGATACAACGTGGTGATGTGACATTTTAAACTCTTGTCCTAGGAATGTTCCAAGCCACGGCGCACTATATGAATGTCCATTACGCATCACTTCCGTTCTTCTCAGAGGCCCCAGACAACGCCTACGGCTTGAAGAATTCTACAAGATTTAGCATTGCATCCAGATACGTTCCATTGGGGTTCTCACTATTCGGCTGCACACTCGGCCAGGTATTCCCCAATCTATCAATCTGGTAGTGAGTAACGATGCCAAGATCATGGCCACTCCCATACTGAAACTCCTGCACATTATCATCGCACCACTTTTTAGTCTTGTTGTGGAGCCCGCAACCCAGTCGCTTGGACCGTTCAACAATCGGGGTCAAGGGGCGACCGAGAGAACACTTGATTGGCACCATCGCAGAACGACAGTCCTCTTCAGAGACATCCTGATAATAGGCACCCCGAGACTGGAGCAAAGGTTGCGATTTGGGCGGATGGTTTCGGATTGCAGGCCAGCATGGTCGTCAATTCGCCTCTGTTGAACTTGCCTGCCGCGTATACGCCAGTAGAATCGATGCAGTACTTTTTCCTGGAAGTTGTCGAACATTTCGATGGTGGATGCTATGTCCTCAACCCCTTTGGAATGTGGCTTAACATTATAGTTTAACTAGTAAGGGGTTATCTTAGTGAGAAAGACATACATTCGGCCCCTGCCGATAGATGGCAGTAGTATTTAGGTTCCAACTTTCATTGCTGAATTGCGACAACTTCTCTTGGCCTTCGGCTATTTGGCATCGTCTGTGGAATGAAAATATTAATAGGGCTAGATTGTTCATATCAAAATTGCAAGGAATGTGGATCCGCTAGGGTTTTGGTTCGGGGGGTAAGGGTTGTCCGCAACCTGATGAGCCGCAGTAGTACTGAAAAATTCGGATAGGTGCGAGGATATCGATTATCAACCAGGCAAGCATCTTCCAAATAACGGGACATTGAGAGTAACGGAGAACCGCCCTTTGTTTTCTGAGACCTTCACTGCCTTTTGTCATCCAGTAGCCAGGGCGTATTGTTTTTGGCAAGGGGTACTCCCTTGTTCGATGAACACTACTAAATCACATAATATACGAAGATATACAGGTCGACCATGTCTTAGGCCTATTAGTCGATTTTAGGTCGATCTATTATTGCCGAGATAAGCTACATAATAGATCCATCTGCATGCGGAGAAACAATCCCTTAACCTTCTGAATAAAATTTGCTATCAATGATAAACAAAGGAGTAGCTAACGCGCTTATGAGGGTGTTCATCATGAGGATCCCAAGTTGCCGATCCTGCGAGTCAGGATTGATATCCATCATATTTTATGAGCCTAGTAAGGGTTAAATACCCGTATCTATCGCTCCCTGGAGGCTGGGATCAAGTATAGGCAATCCCTTCACCGTCCAAGGATGCAAAATCAGTTATGTGGTGTGCTTCCTTGGGACCTAAACAAAGCTAACAATTTCCTACAGAGCACGCACAGCTCCGGGAGGAGTTGCGGGTCGGGAGATAAAGAAGCTTTGGGAATAAAAGCTTGCTGTAAGAGACATAAATACAGGCCGGCAGTCCTTTGGTACCTCCAAATACATTGGTATACGGGGCGGAAGCCTCCAGGTACCCGTTACATCTGATGTACCCTCTTCCATCAAGTCCCATACCAGCAGCTCGAGCATTCAATCCCTCTGTGTTCGGAACCCAGCCAGCCGCGAACAGAACATGTGTAATGCCTTCAATAATCTGATCTTCTTCAATCCTTCTACCACTCCTTTATCCTCGCTCGGGAGGAGCTGCCCTCATTTTTACACAATTGGAACAATAGCTCCCAGCCTCTAAATCAGCTGCATAAATTCCACCCCAACATACCCACCGCCTACAACAACCAAGTACCCCGGGACCTCCCCAAGGTCTAGCGCAGACATCGAATTCAACACCCGCAATGGATGGGTACAGACACATTGCGAGTTACGGTGGTACAAATTGGGAGTTTAAGTTAGATAAAGGACTTATAGAGGATCGAGCGGAGGAACATATTGCAAGGTTACACTGGTCCTGGCTACAGGGCATATATAGAGGAAATCCATTCTTGGGTATTTGCAACTGGGAAAGGTCAGAATATACATATATCGTTACCCCGTGTCTGGGTTCCGGGATGGAGTGACTGGACTGGGGTCTGACTTCCCGTCGATGTAATGATATCCGCTGCAACCGATAGGTAGTTCTGGTAGGGTTTGGTCAAACCCGAAGATTTTTAACTCTCAGTGCCATGGTCATCCAGATAATTTGTTTTATAGCACATAGTTTGGTGCATAGTTTAATCCGTAGGTTGTTTGGTTAAAGCTATCATGATTGCGTCAATCACGAACTATACTGGACGGCTTTGGGACTTTGACGTTAATCTTTTTTTTTTTTCTCTTTTTTCTTTTTTTCCATATGTTTTCATAAATTATGGCACAACGGTTAAGCTAGGTTTTTATAGTTTACTAATACATTATGTGCATGAGAGAAGCCCCATCTGGAAAGGCATCGTAGGATGTTAAGACCTGTATATCAGCAAAACAGATGTGGCTCACGTACCTTACACATAAATACATTGTACGTGCAATTAGTATCGCTGGGCTTCAATCGCTAAGGTTCAAACCACAGTAATACAACGTCATAGAGCTCGGGATAATAATGTAACCTACCACCTTGTTATTACAAAACAACACTGCTAGGACAATCCGCTCCGTGTGTTGACTTTTTGAACCGTTTTGAGCTGTGGTAGTCCCATGGAAACTGAAATGGATCTGATATCCCCACGCGTAAATGTTTACTAAGTTGCTGTGCCCAATCCCCTAAACCCCCCTTATTTATAGGCTGGCCTGATGCATGTCATGCTACCCAAGCACAGTTCTATACAAGTGGTGGGTAGAACACTATGTGCGAAAATGAGTTAAATTCCTTACGCCCGAGATGACCACCATATGGTAGTAGTTAGTATATATCGTTGACGTCAAATTGTAGGTTCGACGATAATATGACAGGCCAAGTGGAGACTTCCGGACGGATCTGGATGGAACTGATGGTTGCATCCAACCAAGCAGCGGGAGGGACGTGCCGTGGGTGTATCCAGAGCAGCCCGATAGTTTTCTTATCGTTAATAGGAGAACCACAGAGTGGGCACCGCATCCTAACCTCAAGCTGGCCCGCCGATATCCGCCAAGGTATCTGTCATTTACACCAATTATATACTAGTCCCAGTGTGGCATGATAAATAAGTTGGACCGTACTGAATGAGGTCGCATTTGGAAGCGACTCCCCTAAGCATGACAGCTTGACTATCGAACACAACTCTAGCTACATCTTTGTTTTTGGAAAGAGCTCTTTTTCACGTCAGTTGTGTGTCATCATCTTGTAACGGTATCTTGAAGTTGAGGGATTTGTTAAAGTTGAAACGCAGGCCGGTCAGCATTCAACAATATATAAACCCTACGCTATTTCCCTCCTCTCCCTAAAGGTCTATATTCCCGGAGCAATAGTCCAAGAGCAATACTCGCTTACCGTACCTATCACTGCCCGTTGATCACCCTTTATAGACCGAGTTTACTCGCCTACCATGCATCTTGTTAAGAGTCTAGCACTTCTTGTCCTCCCCTCTGCAATGGCCATGTCTGGTCCGATTCTCGTATGAGCTCCCACAATATCTATTGACTAAGATGCTTGTCGAAAACATATATATTGATTTGCGAAACTGATAGGGATTCGGCTTCCGTGACGACGAATGTCACAATCCTGTTGGTCCTATTGAGAGCGGAGAATGCTTTCGCACCGAATACATAGAGTAAGAATCCATGTTATGAGCTGCGAATCCCAGTGAATCTTGCTAATATTAACATCAGGTCATATGCGCTGCATGTGGGTTCTCTATGTTCGTTTTATTAGTAAGACTTACATTGAACGCGTTGATGACAGCACAATGTACTAAACCCCCTATAGTCGCAGCGACAAATGCGATGGCCCACATAGTACGGTCCCTCAGCAACCAGGTTGCTACCCAGCCAATTTACCGGGAAAGCCTTTCTCGATCAAGTGTAGGCCACTCGATGAGTAGTCATTAACATGGGTGAGCTTAGAATCCTACCTCGTCAGTTTAAACAGATCCCTGATGCATATGGTACAGAGACACTTCACTGAATCCCTTGGAAAGATGAAGACAAAAGGATAAGAGGTATAGGAAAACCAAACGAAACTCTCAAACCATTGCTCACACAAGTGGTAACGCGAACCTCATACTGTCACATCTTTGAGGGTGTCCTGTTCATTTTTTCAATACCTAATGTTTATCTATTTAATAAACACCTCGGTCTAGGTTTCCCCTATAGCCTACAGTCTATAGGTTTTCCTATACTGTTATGCGAATGCAGAGGTTATATTTTGTCAGCTGTCGCGGCTTTGCTTCTGATGTAGCGAGATGATTTGGTAGCTAAGCTATTGTCCACGGATTCCATAAAAAGTTTAAGATGAATAGGGATATTATTGATATGTAACCGTAGTAACTACGTAAATATAATAAAACTATCTAAAACTGACACGCATTAACTAAACTCTGAACCGGGGGAGTATACCATTCTGACATAATATATTTGGTCACTGCATTGTAGGTAAAGTATGAATTTCGGAAGTATGTATATTTGCTCAAGAGCAAAAGGAGTCAGCAGGATAAAGCAGTAATTGTGTGGCCAAGAAACAAAAGCTATGTTGTGTAGTAAATTCACAATCCTTCACCCCAAGAAAACGGATTAAGGTAATATTTCCCGATATACTTATTCATCATTTCCCAACACCAGTACAAGCCTGTTACTTTACCAGGCGAAATGATGTGGCCACACATTTGGCCGGCCATATTGTTACATAGCGGTGCTACAACCAAGAGAATGTAAGCAGCTATACACCGCGCTGATATGTAGCATAGTTGGACGATTGCCTGTGATTCAATCGGAAGCAGACAGGCCAGTAGATGATGGATAAGGCTGATATGGTACCGGTATTGCATCGAGGGGCGAACGTGGTGGCTCACGAACCGATCCATGAATGTTTCCGCTGCTGATTTACGGAGGGTGGATACTATTATATGGAGTGCCTTGAATTTCCAGTGCATATTATTTCTGGTCCCTAATTTTGCGGCCTCGGTAAGCAGAGTCTGCCCGGCGGTGGCCAGGATTCGATCCATCAGCGAGTAATCTGATATAAACAAACGGCAAGACGACTCATCCGAGTTTGTGGGTCTTGCCCTTGTCTCCGTGGAAAACGCAGCTTGAGGACTATCATACCGTAAGAAGGAAGTATAGAATCGTGGAGTGAGAGGCTGAATTGCCAAAGTTGATTGTGAGCTGGAGGCCGTACAAGTCGGGGAGTAGAAAGTCATGTCATCGAAGTGAATTGACTTGGGCGGGATATATTTGATAGATACAGGGAAAGAGGTGTGGGATGCTAGCTCAGACAGATACTGTCGGAAAGGAAGTTCGAGAACCCTGGTAGGATGCTAGATATGGAGAGCAGTACATGGGAGCACGATACTTACCTCTTAATATCTGTTTCCTTTCGAGGAATACTCTCGGGTCTAACTTCGGGTCTTTTCAGGTAGGTGAGTCTACCTCGTAATCGAATCCGGAGCGCTTCTTTGACAATTCGGGGTGCAGAAGCAGCACCAACGTGCCTTCAACGTGCAATGAATCTCGCCATAGTCCAGCCTGGGGCTTTCAATGGGTCTACCAGCTTTTCCCAGGAAGATAGACGGGTGGTTACTTTCACTTGGCCATCCGAGCTCAGGTTGGATTGGAGTGATGGTCCAACCATGGGGTCTATTGACTTTGATACCATTAATCCGCCAACCTTTTCAAAAGGCGAACCAAAGATATCCTTCTCCAGGTACCTTTGTATTATTTCGACCTTGGTAATGATGGTGAAAAATGAAGGGACCCTGCGGGATGGTGACCCTTGGTTGACGCTGTCACAGTCATTGACCCATTATCAGCATTGTCAACAGATTGGTCATCTCCGGTTACCCGAAAAAAGAATTTTCTTTTCTCAAAAAATGAATTGTTGATCTCCATGATCATGACTGCTGCGGCTCCACTTTGTATATAATTAACTAATGAATTGAAATGACAAGCAACACCAACAATATCAAGTACTTGGATAGCATTTGAAGTTACCTCGAGTCTTTCCTAATTCAGCTCTAAGTATACAATGCTATCATGTATTGCCTATTGTGGGATATCACAGCTGATGAAGCTGTAGTTGTTAACACGCGTATTCTCATGCTTAGTTCACATATATGAAGATGTACACTGACTGTGGCTCCAATCATAATGCCCCTGGCTTCCTCTATCTCAACCATTCTTACGAAGATTGCAACTACTCATAATGACTATTCCAGATACTCCGCCCCACTGTGTGAGCGTTGTCATCGTTGGGGCTGGCTTCTCGGGCTTGGTGGTAGCATGTCACCTGAAACAGCAGCTGAACTGCGACGACTTTATTATTTATGATAGGGCGGCCAGACTTGGAGGCACTTGGTTTGCAAACACATGTGTGTATTGATGCCATCACTCCCACACTCATCCATCCTGACAATGATCAATCCAGACCCCGGATGTGGAGTGGACATTCCAGCCCCGTTCTATAGTCTATCCTTCGCCCCTAATCCAGACTTTTCTCAATTCTTTCCGAAGCAACAGGAAGTCCTACAATATCTTGAGTCGGTCGCTTCGCACTTTAATATCTCAGAACATGTAGTGGGAAATACCGAATGGGTCTGCGCTTCGTTTCAGGACTCCACGAAGACCTGGCTTGTCAAGCTTCGAGATGTGAAAAGCGGCCAGGAGTACATAAAACGAAGCAAGGTATTGGTCTCGGCAGTTGGAGGTCTAACAGACCCAAACCCGTTCCATGTCGACGGTATCGAGCGTTTTCAGGGCAGCATGATTCACACGACTAGATGGGATCACAGCGTGTCCCTTACAAACAAAGACGTGGTTGTGATAGGTAATGGCTGTAAGGCTTTGATTTGTAGCCCTTACTTTTCTCCTTGACTCACACCAAGTTCAGCATCAGCTACTCAGCTAATACCAGCTATTGCAACCAAAGTCTATTCTGTCACGCAGTTTATTCGGGTGTGTGCGAATCTGCCTTTCCATTAGGCATCCTACTGACATTGAATAGACTCCGCAGCATTATTTCCCCGGAAGCGATTTAACTATCCCATCTTCCTGGAGGACGATCTCTCGCCATTTTCCTAGCCTGCTTCGTTTCGTGAGGCTCTTAATATTCCTATACCTGTAGACCTCTTTACCGCAATTTAATCTCACGAAGACAGGTGAGCGACTGAGGGAAGAAGCTCGCGAAAGAAGTTGTCGATATATCAAGCAATGTGTACCCAGTGAGTTTAGCGGAAATACATCGTGCTTCCCTCTCATCCGCTTCCTACCCCTTCGAAGTCTTATTTATTATAGAGGAATACTGGGATCTATCGATGCCTACCGCAGAAATCGGATGTAAGCTAGGTCTTTATTTTATTGTATCACCAAGTTTGCTAAGTGACAAAAGCAATCCAGAGACGCGTTTTTGACCACGATGGCTACATTTCAAGTTTGAACCGGGAAAATGTGCACTTGACCAGCGACCCGATTATTGATCTCAAAGAGCGTTCTGTGCTCACTCGGTCAGGAAGAAAATATCCTGCAGACGTCATTGTACACCATCTCCCCGCTCTACAGATGTACGTTTCTCTGAGACATCGTACTAACATCGTGACCACTTGGTATTGGCAAACGGCTTTTCTTTGACACAGTTCGACGCTGAGCTCCGAGGATGCCATGGCCGCAGTAGGAAGGACCACTGGAAGGAATTCGGCTATATTGAAGCATACAACTCCATTGCTATGTCGGGCTTTCCCAATTTCTTTTACATGTTGGGGCCTAATTCTGCACGCAGCCATACTTCGCTTCTTTATTCACTGGAGAGGTAGATAGAATTTTATCTCGATGCTGTTCCTCGACTGACCATGTAATAGCTACGCAAAGCTAATCATAAGGGTCGTAAACCCGGTAATATCTGGCCATGCATTGACAGTGGGACCTGAGGTGTCAAGTAAGAGAGCATACAACGACAAGCTGCATACAGCCCTCGAAAAGACGGTTCTTACTAATGCCTGCAGAAGTGTAAGTTACCTTCTCTGGCTTTAAACTGGGGATTCTAACCTGCAGATCTCGAGTGGTATATTGATGAGAGAACCGGACGAAACTGGGTCATATATCCGTGGAGCTCGTTCTACATGTGGTATACGACACATATAGCTGGCCTAGATGACTGGATATATGAGGTGAGCATGCCGATCCTCTAATTATGTGATAATGAAGTCTAATATTATGATTACAAGGTTCCGGATGGCTCCCTCAAAAGCGGAGGGACAGATTTAGTAATACGCACCACGGCACCAACTATTCTTACGCTACTCGTTTTCTGTTCACTTATCCTCATTGTCAGTTGAGTTGAGCAGTGGTGACAAGTGGACAAATTACTTGTCCAACCATACTCCATTGGAGCCTCTACTGTCCATGGTGCAGAAGACTAACTGAAGGACTGATTGAATCTAACTGAATGTATGATCAAAAATCGTTTATTGAAGAATAGGTCTAGGCAGGGATGGCAATGTCATAAAATGGGGATCTGATCTGGCCCGGCGGCAATGCTCGGGGCGAAATTGATGGATAATCTACCCACCGGATATCATCGGGTGAACAGACACCACTCCCCGCAGCCCTAGTCACAAACCTGCCCGAGTCCAATATAGGTGGCCAACGCTTATTACGAGATCCATTGCAGACGATGATCTCATAGAGGCAAAACCTGTAAGTAGTCGGTTTAGGCCTTAACCTTCGGCTTCCGAACCATACAATACAGCTACAAAATTAGCATAACCCACAAGCAACACAGAAACCAACTTACCTTGCAAGCATCATTCCCATCCACACAATCAATCTCCGTAACCAAGTTAAAACCCAGTTTCTCGTAAATTATGATATTTGGAACTCCCTTCGAGCTCTCTAAATAACATGGCATGCCATCCCGATCTGCCTGCTGCGTGACAACCTCCACCAGCTTCCGGCCCAGCCCCATCCCGCGCATTTCCGAGCTCACAGCCAAGACATTACAAAAGTAATACCCGCGCGGGTCGGTCCAGACTACGTCGTGGGTTTTCCGCTGCATCTCCTTCCACATGTGGTACCGGTGGAGGTTGAGACCGCCTCTCCCGCCGAAGCGGACGTTGAAGAGGAATTGGCGAAAGGAGAGGAGCCAGTCCTGGGCCCAGACGGACCAGGAGACGGGCTTGGAGGCCGGTTGAGGAGAGAACCACCAGCTGACGCCGACGACCGAGCGAGGGTGCTTATCGCTGATAGGGACCTTGGCGACGTACATCGGGGTGTTGCAGTTCAAGCCATATTCGAAGTGGGCGGCGAGGGAGGCGGCGTTCCGGTGGATATTGTACTATTTCATGATCATGCATTTAGGGTCTATACAAGCTTTCCTTCTTTCTTTCTTTCTTTTTTTTTCTCTCTCTCTCTATCGATAGGCTTTGGGGGAGATATATATAGATTGGTAATTCGAAACTTACTTCTGAAGAATCGAATAGCCAGTGGAAATACGGATCGTCGGCAAACGCCGTTTGCACGCATTCTACGGCCTCAGGAATGTCCTGTTTGGTCATGGGGACGATCTGGAGCGCCATATTGGATGTTTTGGATTCGGTTCTAGCAGTTCTGATTCAATTCCTACTGTGTCTGCGAATGGGCTGGGATAACGCGATGGTATAAGAGTGCGAATGGCGGCGAAGGGGGAACAAGGACAGCGCCATCTAAGGTCGACGAGCCACACAGGATAGAAAGGTCGGACTGTACGACGATAGGGGGACGGATACGAGGCGGAGAGAGGAGATGCAATACAGATGAGCAGCTTGTGGCGGACTTGAGACCTTGGATTTTTCTATCCCTTTGCTCCGGTGCATGACCAGGAATTCTTATAAGAGCACACCTATCACACAGCCTTTAGCCCTTCCTGGCAGTTCGACGCGGATGCTTCGATTGTACATACAAATCCCACCCTGACCAATCAACGCCCCTAGTAATGATCATCCTGCCAAGCCGCTAGGCGATATTAGGCAGGTTCTGCCGTTATCTGCCATCAGCTGATCACTTATCATGCACCTTTTGGCTGCCTCAGGCTGATTGGGGATGTGATGGATGACCGGTGTCGACGCAACTGAACGTCGAACATGATTAGTTTTGCATCACGGCTGGACTCTGAGGGTCTCGCATCATCAGCACGAATGTTATCTGGCCTGTACCACCGTATTGCGCATAATCGATCACAAGTCTGTCCACTTCGTGCCACCCGTACTTGCGATAGAGCGGGTATCCCTCGAGAGTGGCCTCAAGATAGATTCGCGCATTCCGGGCATCAGCGCGTTGAGTCCCCCACTGTAGTAGTTTGCTGCCGATCCCTTTTCCTTGGTATTCGGGTGAAATGGCTAGAATATCCAAAACTAATGTTTCGGGGGAGGATTAGTCAAACTATTACAGACAAGCTTCACGTAATGTGGGGAATGTCCCCCAAGCAGCCAAGAAAGGGAATTGAAACACAAGGCGACAAATTGTAGGAACCCACGTACTCATATCATCTTTGTTGACGTTAGCTGCCCTTTTCTCTTTCATCAGCTTGAAGCTCAGTTCCCAGATATCTTCTCTCATCTCTTTCGGTCTCAAACTTTTCGCATTCTCCACCATCACCCTGCCCTCCTCGGATAACTCGACTTTATTTTCCTCCCAGGGGACTGTCCACCGGGCATACCCCACTACCCGATCGACACTGGTATCCACTGCAGAGAAGACATGAATATCAGGGGACGCCATTTTCTCAAGACAGCGAGCCTGCTTCATCGGGGTACAGACCTCGGGGTCGATTCCCGGCAGAGCATTTAGCCACATTTGTTGATTTCTAAAACTGGCTATATTAATACCGCCAAGGGCGGCCGCCTCAGACTCGGTGGCGTAGTGGACGTCAATATTGTTCGTCATATTGTACCGCGTCATATTGTACCGACTCAGCTGTGCTGTAACTCCAGGAATTTGCTTGGAGAGAGAGACCGCTGCAGGTTTATGCTAGGGGCTCAAGGGTCGTTGATAAGGCCGGCGCCAAGGGCCCGGGCACCCGTTTAAGTAATAAATGAACCTCGGCCGTGAGTCACTCCCCATAATTTAGCCGGTTCGCTAGTACAGGACAGAGAAATCACTCACTGTCTAAGCGTTACATCGTGTTGTTGTTAGATTATGGCTGTCAGCCTGTTTACCATCACGTGTGTTGTAGACCCTAAAGAACGTGCCACATCAAGTGAGAACCAAAGTCGCTTGTGAATTTCCAATATTTTCGTTCCATCGCGGTCATAGTCTATATACAGCAATCAATAGTATTTTAGATATTAGGCCCACTTGCCCAACACGCCCATCAGGACCATACCGGCTATCAAAGCCACTCCTCCCACCAACACTCTAACCAAGGGCGCATCCAGCAACTCGCCTCCTTCCATCACCCAGTCTCTCGCCCACATATCCACAACACCCACCCACACCAGAATACCAGCCGACAAAGCGTCCAGTGTTCCCAGTGCGATCAGGGTGCTCCTCTCGTTACCATTGAATGAGTGCAGCACTCCCATTCCGATCGCCATTCCGATCGGAGTAATCAGCGCAAAAGTACCCGCCATCACGGCTTTACTAGGGAAGATGCGACCCGGAAGCAACGCGATGCGTGCCCCGAGAGCCAGACCTTCGAAGAATTGGTGAAACACAATAACCACCAACAAGGTTTTATAAAAGGAGTCGCCCGCGACAACCAGCGTCAGACCGATCAGGATACTGTGGAAGATCACACCTGCTTCCATGACCATGACCGACAGCTTCGTGTTAGGACTGGTACCGTCAGTGCCGTGGCTGTGGCTTAGCTGGGCGAGCTGCATCGTCCGTTGTGCTGTGTTTTCTTTTGGAGTTGTGGACACATTGGTCGGTGGGGTGTCCTCGCAGCATTCCGGAGCCGATTTACTTGCACGGGCGGCGATGAAACGATGGCCGATGTATTCGGTCAGGAAGGAAAGGAAGATACCAGCCATCACGACGGCAGATGTGGTGGCTTCGTACTCGAGCTCGCCGAGACACTCGTTCGTGAACATAAGGTTGGCGTGGGTGTATAGCTAGACACGATTAGCAGTGTTCAGAAAATCCGAAAATTTGCTAGCCTCTCACATGAACGAATGCGGTGGACAGGATCACCCCAGTACCAAATTGCTTGATAACAGTCGATGCCATGGTATTGATCGTGGGAAAGGGAAGTTTGAGCAGTAACATCGGAAGGAAGACACCAAGGGCACTGGTAACAAGGATCACGAATAATGTTCCAATGCGCAGTGGCATATCATAGTCACGACTCCGGACACCGCAGGAGGCCTCGCTCGAGCCTTCCGACTCGCCTGCGCCGACGCAGTGTCTGTCTCTGTTAGCTTTCGTTGTTCTGTGTATGTTTTGTCGTCTTCATGGAAAAGCATACTCAACACCGGCATGGAAATGACAGTTTTGTTCGCCGCTGGAGGAACTGGTGGACTCGCTACTATCGTCTTGTGCGTCTCCGGTTTCTCCCTCTTCCAGAATCTGCACATCGTTTCCGTCTGCGTCCATGCAGTACCTAGAGTATGTGAGACAAAATCAAAGTCTGTCTCGAGAGTCATACTCACTGTGAGCTACCACGGGAGTGGCAACCGGTATACTGTGCTGGCAACTCCCCAGTTGGGGTCCCGGTCAATGATACCTGCACTTCGTTTCCTTCGCCATTAATGCAGTAAACGTCGCTACCATGGTTATGACAGCCCGTCACTGCGGATGACTGTGCCGATGAAGTCGTAGTAGCAGACACGGACGTAGCCGTCGCCTGTGCATGTGTAGTGATAGGGGTCTCTTCACCATCGGCTCCATAGCAGTATTCCACGCTGCCATGGGTGTGACATCCCGAATAGGACTGCGCATGCACCACGCTGGCTGCAAGAGACGCCACAAACAACCCCCGAAGCATATTGACCATGTTTCTCGGTGTCACAATTGCAGGTTCAACTGAAGAGAGGATGATGAGCCGAGAAATCAGTTCTTGATCATTTACTATTTATCTCTCCGTTCTCACAAGGTGTCGCCCCCATGCGATGACTCGCTTAGCAGGCAGTAATTTCGATTACTTGGAAAACTTCACCAAAGTCGGATTTCTCCGACATAACGGCGCGCTACTAGTATTGCTTTATGACAGAGATTTCCTCCTCCGCCGAGAAGCCTCGCGGGCTAACCCCCAAGGTAGCTGTGCCAAGCACGACTGTCTCCTCCGCCAAGAAGGTTCCAATCATTATACCCGCCTTTATATTGAATCATATTGGACAAGACGAGACAGAACCACCAAGAATGAATACGGCTTGTTTCCCCCAAGGTCCTCTACCAAGACCTTGGCATCGGCCGTCCTTTCCATGCCCACGATGTCTTGGCATCGTGGTTCATGCTGATATCCAACCATGACATGTTGTATGTGCATGGTTTAGTAAACACGCGGGATGTTGCATTCTGTGCGTTGTCAGGCGATGCTTGACAGATTCCTTCTCTCATGCCTTACGATCGTCTTTCATCAGGAGATGTGTTGCCGTAATTCCAGACATGGTTCCATGATCACAAGAGGAAGGCCTAACGACCTACAATGGCCATTCAGAGCGATATCAAGCTCAGCCGCAAGGTACCTCTTGGCACAAGATATCGAAATGGAGATACTCCCGAGAGATCGCTCTCAGCTATACCGAAATCTCTGAATACGATCCGTCAAAGCACTTGGCAACCGCCACGACAAGAACAGACAAGCAGTCCGTATCCAGAAACCGCAGTATAAAAGCCCAACTATAATCCTGGTCATGTAGATTCATAGACTCAGCAGACTCCCAAGTATCTATCCAAATCCTAGCCACAATGGTAGCCCTCGTCCCCTTTCTCCTCCTATCCACCGTTGCGGCCATTCCCGCCCCCATCTCGCTGGCCACCCGCGACCAAGCAACCCCCCACGCCCCATCCCCCTGGGACGCCGGCGCAACAACCCAATACCCAATCCACCAGAGCTGCAATGCGACTCAACGTCGACAGATCGAGGCCGGTCTCAACGAAACTATCGCCCTAGTCGACCACGCAAAAGCTCACATTCTCCGCTGGGGAAATGAAAGCACCATCTACCGCAAATACTTCGGTAACAGACCCTCCTTCGAAGCCATTGGTGCCTACGACATCGTCAGCAATGGCGACAAAGCCAGTGTGCTATTCCGATGCGATAACCCAGACGGGAACTGTGATAATGAAGGTTCGTATTCCCTCCCCCCTTTTCCTCCCTTAGCAATATCAAGCCAACCTACGAAACCACATCCACTATACTAACGCCAAAGCTAAATAAAGGCTGGGCCGGTCACTGGCGTGGTGAAAACGCGACCGCCGAAACCGTCATCTGCGACCTAAGCTACTCGTCCCGCCGCTCGCTGACCTCCATGTGTGCCCTCGGATACACAGTTTCCGGGTCCGAGACGAATACCTTCTGGGCTGCGGATCTGCTGCACAGACTCTTCCATATGCCTCCTATTGGACAGAACTGGGTTGAGCATTTTGCCGATGGGTATGGTGAGGTTATTGAGCTTGCTGCTGGAAACAAGAGCACCTCGACTCGGGATTCCGAGACGTTGCAGTATTTCGCTCTTGAGGCTTACGCGTATGATATTGCTGCGCCGGGTGTTGGGTGTGCGGGTGAGTATGATGAGAGTCAAGAAGAAGCTGAGGATGGAACGGATGATTTGCCTGAGGTGAGTTTTAGTCTTGTCTTTGTTTTTGGGGGTGTTGGCTGATGTGATGTAGAACTGCCATACTCATGAGGGTGGGGAGGTGCACTGTACCTAGGTACGGTGGTTGTGGACTCGGGTTGTATGCTCGTGTAGTATTGAGTGTTATGGACATAAAAAGGGTTCGTATGGACCAGATGGTATTGGTATAGGGTAATTGTACTAGGAAGGATGTTAATATCTGCCGCGATGTATATTCACTAAGTCATTCTTCACGAGTTATGAGTGCGGGAAATTTTCTGATAGAATATGATCTTTCTGACGCAAATCAAATGAAGCTCTGATGCACCTATTCTATATACATATATAAACGTGAAACATGTTGTTCTGTATACACCGTTAGATCCCTTTTTCCTCCATCAAATGATTCATGAGTAGCTTCCCCAATTGTCGGCTCGGCCAACGTGTAGTCCTCATTGATCCTCTCCTGTCCTGTATCCTACATATTTCCAGCCCCCGTTCCGATATCTCTAGTATCGTCGGATGCACCGCAAGCTGAACCATTCTCCAGTGAATAATAACTCTGTTTGTGAGACCTCGCTTCAATACACACTACAGGTTTCGCTTCGAACCGGTGTCTTGGCTCGTGGAGTATTCGTCTTAGAGTAGCAGGGGGGAAGTCCTTGGATCATGTCACGGTAAAGCAGTTTTAGCAAGTGAACATATATGATATTGTCAATCTCTAGCAAGTAATGTGATAGCCGCAGTTATCTTCTTCTAATTCCCCAACTCAATTCTTGGGCGCACACATCACCAAATGCATGAAGTCTAGAGCAGCCAGTACTTTGTTCACATATTTCTGCCCTCTTCTCGTGCCCTTCACAGCGGCATGAAATTCTAATATTCTTCATACGATAGGGTTATTTAATTAATAGTCCTGCGGTCCAACCCCACTATGTAATCGTGCATTCCCGGAATTCCATCAATATACGCACCGAATCTTCCCGATAGCTCAAGGAACCTTTTTGTGTTATAGTGCTTATCTGTCACTACTTCTTGTTTACTAAATATATATACCGAGATTAAGTGCCCTGCCTTGATCAGTAAGCATAGAGTTAATAGAAAAAAATAAATTATCTTCGAATATAGCCGCAAATAAAAACAGCGAATGTTATGCAGGATTGTGTACAGGCCATAGTTCAAGGTCAAATATTGAAACTCGGTATACCGCATACCTACTTACCTTCGCGATGGGTGACAAAAGGCAACGCCACATAATTTGGCCGATTGTCGCCTATAGCCGTACCTTTTATAGAACAATTGCAATTGTCAATGGACTCTAATTGTTCTCCCGTTTCTCGGGACCGGAAATCGATCACCCTAGAAGGATTTCTCGTGATCTATGGACATCCCGTTGTCACGACTCACTACAGGGGTGTTCGTTGCGCCGATGCATTCATACCAATTTGTTACACAGTCATTGTACCCAATGGGGGAAGTCGGAGGAGCAGGCGACAACGAGAAAGGAATCATTAGGTACTGTGGATCATACATCTTTGTCGACACTTCCGAATTCCTGGCCGTGCTGGTCCACTTACCCTTGCTGTTCCCCTTTTGACTCGTCCTCTTGACTGCCCAATAATTCAGTCTCGAATCGGTTGGCACTAATGTGCATATCCCGGATGCTCGTATCCCACTCAGACGATGATGTAAGTGGAGTCTATCGATCTGAGTCCTCGAGATTATAATTACAACTGCATCTAGACTATTTAGGATATAGCCAAGTGTTCCTGTCATCTCCCTGTCCAATTGCTCTGGTAGTATTAATGAGGGCTATGCAGCTTGACAGACTTCCATCTGATATCCCACCAGTCGATAATTGAATATCTCGAAGTTCTCCGGCCTCGGCCTCCGTCTTGGGAATGATACTACAAAAGTGGGTAAATAAGGCCAAGCTGAAAGATATAAAAGGGTATGAAGTTCTTCCCAAGGGTGAGAGCAGAATAAAAAGCCATCCTCATTCTCATTCTCATCCACATTGCCTCTATCTTCGAGACAGTCGATCTAATTAATAATTAAACCTTAGTATCTCCATTCATCGCTTTACAAAATGAAGTTTCTTGCCAGTGTCCTCACGCTCACGACTATTGCTGGAGTATCCGCCGTGCCTGCATCCAACAGTGCCACCACAAACACTGTCATCAGTGGCGAGTTCACCTACAGCGGTAAAGGAGTCGTACGTCCACACTTCCCCCAAGGAATATAAGCCCCAAATCTAAGTTGACTTGATATTATCAGGACTTCGCGGTTCAATGCAGTGGTGGCCTTACCCCACCTCATGCAGATTGTCAGCCTGGGAAATGCCAATGCAATGGGAACTATGGTTGCTGGTCTTGCAATGGTGGACGCATGCAGTGCCAGCCTGGACCGGGCTCTGGGAGTTGCTGGGCCTAATTTGGCTAGTAGATCTAACGTGATATGCATATTTTCACGGGTTATTACATATGTCTGTGGCCGAGAAGTATGTAGATGAGGGCAGGGTAGTGAACGTTGTTCACGATAAGTCCATACGATGAGTTCCTGAATTTGTCGACTGCGTTAGGAACGGGTGGTGCCTGGGTTAAGACTAACGAGGCGAGAGGGGGGGATATAAAAAGAGTACTATAACTGTATTGGCAATGTAGATTGTGGATTTCAAAGGCAAGTTTAAAAAAAAAAAAAAAAAAAAAAGTGGTCTGTGGGTGCTGCCTCGTTGTACCCACCCAGGTAATAAATTCGTTCTCACTGGATTTACATTTTCATAGAGATTTTCTATGCATGGGAGACCTTCATCTCTCCTGGAGTAAGGTTGAACCAAAGTAAATTGACGGTATAGGTCCATTTGGTGTCTCTCTACCACTCATGCTTTGACAAGGTCATACAACCAGTCAAGTTCACCACTAGCGCGGTGCCAGGACCTTCTATTATGGTAAGCTTATACACTATGCCAATTTGCCAAGGAAATACACACGGTGATTCGTCACTCTTGCTATGGTAGATCGGACTAGGTGCGTCCAAGCTGCAATGTGGGGAAACCTCCAAATGCCACCCCCATTCCACTACGTATTTTAGATATAATTAGTGGGGGTAGTTTGTCTCTGTCCTGTGGACCTACACTGTTATATCATGAGCGTACCTAACCATAGCAGACTGATCTAGGGGTAGAAACTGACGTCAGCCGATACGAGGACGTTCCATGGAGCATCACAAACCACACCGTGCCATTGCAGGGGAACACTATGTAAATTCCAGATCAATTGGTCCAGTTATTGGTCTCTGGAATAGCCATTGTCGTATTCGTGCACCCTCATCTGTGTTGATACCTGAAATTCGAATGCCGGGCTTCTACACACCTGATGCCCGCGCTAGACTGTTTTCGGCAGGCATCCCACCTTTACCCAAGCATGAATCATCAGCTTATTTTCTCTTCTTCTTCCTCTTCTTCTTCTTCTTCTTCCCCCGCTTTCACTTTCTCAATAATCTCAATTCTTTCATATCTTCAAAGCCAACTTGAACAATGGCATCTTCGACATTCCCCCCTCCCCCCGTCAGTTCCATTGACTGGAACAATGTCGGATTTAAAGTCCGTGACGGTATGTGCTACCCCTCCATCTATGTCCCGCGAAGAAAAGTAAACTCCCCCAACTAACTCCAAAACTCCCATAGTGAACGGCCATGTAGAATGCCACTTCTCCCACAGCCAAGGCGGCAAATGGAGCGCTCCCAAATTCGTCAACTCGCCCTACCTGCCCATCCACGGCATGGCCCCAGGCCTCAACTACGGCCAACAAGCCTACGAAGGTCTCAAGGCCTTCCGCCGCCCTGACGGCTCCATCAGCGTCTTCCGCCCTGATCGCAACGCCGTGCGCATGCGTCGCTCCGCCGAATTTATTTCCGTCCCACCTATTCCCGAGGACCTTTTCGTGGAGAGCGTGAAGCTCGCCGTCGCGGCCAATGCGGAATTCGTGCCACCCCATGAAACCGGCGCGGCGATGTACGTCCGTCCATTGGTCTTCGGCTCTTCGGCACAGCTAGGTCTCTCCCCTCCCGACGAGTATACATTTGTGGTCTTTGTGATGCCGACCGGTGTGTATCACGGCGTTCATGCCGTCGATGCCCTGATCCTGGAGGACTTTGATCGCTCTGCGCCGGAGGGCACGGGATCCGCCAAGGTGGGTGGAAACTACGCACCGGTGCTGCGGCACAGTGGACGGGCACACAGTGAGGGATTCGGGATCACACTCCATCTGGACAGTCGTACGCGGTCCGAGATTGATGAGTTCTCGACGTCCGCCTTTATCGGCGTGAGGAAGGATGCCTCGGGCGCGGTGACGCTAGTGCAGCCGGATAGTAAGAACGTAATTGACTCGGTGACAGCGGCATCGGTGTTGGAGATTGGAGAGCGCGTGTTCGGATTCAAATCGGAGAGACGCCGCGTTCCCTATGAGGAGCTGAAGGAGTTCAAGGAGGTCATTGCTTGCGGCACGGCGGCTGCGCTCGTGCCAATCCGAAGCATTACCATGCGGTCGCGGGGCGATCGCCTTACATATGAGGCTGGGGATGACGGGCAGAGCGGTGGAGAGGTATGCGTTAAGCTCCTGCAGACGCTGAAGGGGATCCAGGCTGGCAAGATCGAAGACAAGTTTGGATGGAACTTCTCCGTGGAGAGGCCACCGGAGGGCTGGGCCACTGCTAGCGGCGAGAGGGAATCTGATGGTGCCAATGTGCCATGATTGACTGGCAAGCGAATGATTTCAGCCGAGCGAGTAGTTTAAACCGATCGAAACATGAGGTAATTTTTCACAATCCGTTACAAAATGTATTGTTTGCTCCGGAAGCATTAATTGGACCTATCACAAAGGTTTCCAACTGAGGGGCGCCAGGAGGGGGGAGGAGGGAGGAGGGAGGGGGACCCATGGAGGCACATAAATCTACAGATCTCCGTAGAAAATCACAGATTATACCCACCAAATCTCGGAGAATAGTAATGGATTCTGCTACAATAAGAGATGCAAAGAAGTCCATGAAAAATGTTCAAAAAGAAGCAGCAAAAACCACTAAGAACGTGCTCAAAAACCGCGTCCAACCGTCCAACCGCCCAACCCCAGCCGCCCACAAGGCCTCCCCCGGGCCCCCAAGGGCCGAACCGCTTTCCCCCCCGACAGGGCGGTGTCCGCCAACCCAAACACTAAAAAATTGGGAGATCAAAATCTCTCCCGTAAATCCCGATTTTCCTTTCCTACAAACAACCTTCACCATTTTCTCTCTCCGGGGAGGAAGGCCCCACCCTGCGAAGTGAAGAAAAAAAAAAAAAAAAGATCTCCAATAACACAATTTCCACGGGTCAACGATCAGAAAAACACAAACAATCCTATACTTCTACCTCAGAACACTCAATCGCCTGTCACCCGGGGGAGCGTTCGATCAGTGCTACCAACTTTTTCACCTGCATCGAGCTTGCGCGCGCGCGACAACCTGATCATTCACTCATACCAATCTCAACATCACCAATCCCCTCAAACCAAACCAAACCAATACAGAGAGAAGAGAGAAATAAAGAGAGAGGGAGAGAGAGAGAGAGAGAGAGAGAGAGAGAGAGAGAGACAGAATCAAAATGGTCTTCATCCGGCTAATCATAAAAGTCTACCCACGGGAACAACTCTCGCGCCCATTCCCAACCCCAAACAGGAAATCATTCAACACCACCACCGAATCCGAAACGAAGCCCGCGTCCTTCCTCCTCGCGCTCCCTAACCCGGAAGAAATCACGCTCGGCCAGCTGGCCGGCCTGATCCGGTCGAAATGGACCAAACTCCGTCCCAATGCCGAGCCCCTCGATATCAAGAAATTGCTGGATGATAGTCGCGACACGGTCGATTTGGATGTGGATATGACGGTTGCCGATGTGTGGGTGAATCAGGCGCGTGCGAAACGCGATGAGGATGATCAGGTCGGGACGGTGAGGGTTGTGCAGAGGCCTGCGGCGTACGCGCCTGTTCGGTTTCCTTCTGTGGATCAGGATTGGGGAGTTGGTAGGGAGGAGAAGTTTACGGGGAAGTTTGAGACGATTCAGGAGGCCGGGGAGAGTGAGACTGATAGTGGGAGTGGCAGTGAGGAAGAGGAAGAGAGTGAGAGTGAGAAGAAGAATTTGATCGAATCGCGGGCTATGGAAGTGGATGGCCAGGACGATGAAGAAAGTGAAACTGATGAGAGTGAAGAGGAGGAGAGTGGAAGCGAGGAAGACGAGAATGAGAAAGTCAATGGACGCGCGAATGAGGAAGAGGAGTCCGGGGAGGAAGGTGAGAGCGAAGAAGAATCGGCCCCCGACAACGACGTCCGCATGGAGGATAGCTTGCCCGAAACGCGAGTGCTCAAGAGAAAGATGAGCCCCGAGGAGCTCGAGCCCAAAAAGCAACCCCGTTTGGCACAATCGAGCCAGGCGACTGAAGCGGACGCCGAGAACGTTAATGGAGCCCCGGTTACCAGTCCCTTGGGGACGCGCAAGCGCAACGCTGATAGAGCGCCGTCGTTCTCTGGAGTTGGTCGACGTTTGAGCTTTACAGAGAGGCCGGCCCTGTCACATGGCCTTGGTCTGGGTATTACGAAGAGCCCTCCTCGCAAGAAACCATTCCTGATGGCTGATCTTTCTAAAGATTCTACACAATCCGAGTCTGTTCCGAATGACGCAAGATTGTCACCTACATCTGTTCCCCCGAGTAGCGCACCACCTGCTATCCGTCGCAGCTCGGGCAATCAGCACCCCTCAACCCCGGCCAAGTTACAAACCCCGGCAGATAAGGTCAGACTACTCCAATCCGCTCTCCGGAAGGACTCCCCCGCCGAACGGTCCCCCGAACGCCGATCCGTGTCCTTCGCCGAAGGAGAAGACCATGCCATTCCTACCTCCGTCCCTGTCACGAGGGCCACTGCCCGGGTTACCAATGAGAAGCAGAAGAATGGGACCAACTCCGGCTCCAAGCCGGCTCCCCCAGAGCCAGAAGAACCGTCGGATGAAGAAGAGGGCCAGTCGGAAGACAAGGAAATGGAGTTCAGCAAGGAGCTGAACATGGAGATAAACGAGTACGAAAGGGAACTCCAAACGAACGACCTGGATGAGAAGTCCGAATACACTCGCAAAGTGAAATTGGCAGCAAAGAAATGGCAGATTATGAAGAACAACATGAACAAGGGCCGGAGAAGAGAGCAAGAGAGGTACAAGAACGCAGTTAACGAACTCAAGGACCTACACCCCCAGATTGTCGAGCTCAAGGAGTTCAACAAACCACCCTCCCAACGCCCCAAGTCCCAGATACCGAATGGCACTCCAGCTACAAGAAAGCTCTCCCGAGATCCTACCAGTTCGCAGAATCGAAGATCCCAGGATCCCTGGGACGTTGAAATCTTAACTCCGAATGCGAACTCCAAAAAGCTTATTCCGAAAAACCACCCGTCCTCACAGACCAGTCGCAAGTCTTCAGAACGCGAAGAAGCCCAACCCCAAGATCAAAAGAAACGACAATGGAGCGTCGAAATCCCAACAACTAAGACTAGCAGTAGCTTAGAAAAACAGCCAGAGCCTAGGAAACTATCCCAGGAGAGACCTCCATCTCCCCCCACAGAATCCGAATCCGAATCAGAATCAGAAAAGTCCGGATCCGAAGAAGAAAACACGTCGGAGCACAAGAAACCATCCTCACAGGAGAAGCCACCATCCCCACCCGCAGAGTCCGAGTCGGAAGAGGAATCCGGCTCCGAGGAAGAGGAAGATAACACCGCACCAAGCCAGCCTAACTCCCCGGCCAAACCGTCTCCCCAAGTTAAGGTATCTGTACCTGAGCCCGTCCCGGAGCCCGGCTCGGACTCAGAACAACAATCCGGCTCCGAGGAAGAGGATGAGGATGAGAAAGACGAATCTACAGACGAAGAAAGCGAGAATGAAGACGACAACAACAAACGCGAAGAAAAGGAAGGAGAAATAGTCCAAGAACCAGAAACACAAGAAGACGATATAGTCCCAGAAACAGAAGAGCGAGAGCAAGAAACCACAACCCAGGCCCAACCCAATCCACCACCAACAGAAACACCCTCCAACAAACCCGACCCAGCCGCCGAAGAAACTGACTCCAACACGGACGAAGAAGAAGAATCAGATGACGAATCCGAAAAAGAAAACCACCACCCTCTCCCCAAATCAACCCCAACAACTAAAGCCAACGTCCCTCGTCGCACAAGTCTCAATCCCCCTTCATCACAACCGAACCCGCCCTCCAGCCAGCAGCAACCAACCTCCTCCCAATCAACTCCCACAGGCTCCCGACCAACCCGCAATACCCTCAAAACCCTCCTCTTCCAACAGCGCGCAGAGCAGGCACAGGCGCGTTTGAAGAAAGAGGAGGAGGCGGCGAAACGGAATAACCAACCGCGTAAGGATATCTTCTCAGGGCCGGATAGTGAGTCCGAGGATGAGGACGAGAGCGACAGTGACAGCGAGAGTGATAGTGAGAGTGAGAGTGAGAGCGATAGTGGCGCGGATGCGGGGGATATCTTGTCAAGTGGGACGATAGGGAAGTTAAGGACCGCTTTGCCGCGGAAGTGAGCGTTTCTTTTTCCTTGCTTTTTATTCTTTGTGTTGTTCTAGTAGTTTGTTTGTCATTGTATACTTTGTTTTCTTTCTTGGATGCAGGTCGTTGTTCGTTGGGTATTGTATCTAATTGAATCTGAGCATATTTTAGTACCTGATAGTTAGGTATGAATCAAAGGAATATGCTATAAGGTTTATTATTGTAGCATAACCATGAGTACTTCAAATGTTCCATACAAGACTAAGAGAGATACACAATCAATATGACCCAAAAGTATATTGTAGGATGTCTAAACATTATAAAGAAATATGATAATAACACAACAAGCGAATCTATAAGATCAGGTAAATATGCCATAGATGAGTAGATGCAATTATAATCAAAACAATCTTTTACTCTGGCACGGTAAAGTACCGCTTGAAGCGGTCGATGCGCGTCAATTTAAGATCCACGATCACGGAGTGACAGCTCATGAGTAAGCTCGGGAACCTGACGGTCCAGAAACTCAAGTATCCCTCGGGCAGACCGCCAATGTGGGCCTTCAGATGCTCGGGCATATCATTGTAGTGATGACACTTGTTACGTAATGCCCTAAGGAGGTCGAGCATCTTTGAACCGGTGTACTTCCGCTGCTTGCCCAGGTTATCTTTGAAGGAAGTGGGGAGCTGACGTAAGAAGTCCATTTCAGGACCCATAACGCGCGAAGCGATGGATTCCAGACACAGGAGAGCTTCTGACGGTGGGTCACGTGGTTCAAACTCGAAATGGTCAGATACATCACAGAGGAAAGTGAGACGATCAGATGGATTCCAGAAGAATGGATGAGTCAGGACGGAGCTGGCGTCAGGTCTAGAAAGTATTAGTATGTCGATATTAGATAGTATGAGAGGCAAATCTTACCGTTTCCGTGGATCAAGTGACAGCATCGACTGGATAAGATCGCGGGCTTCGAAAGCGTAGTCACCCAGGCGCTCGAGTTCATCGAGGTTGTAGTTGCCTTTAACAATGTTCGCCTCGCGCATGAACTTGCCGTTTTTGTCAAATGGGTGGCTGCCCCTGGTCAGGACATAGTAGAAGACACAACCCAGAGAAAAGATGTCGATAGCACGGGTGGCTCGTCGGTTGGTCTGGGGGTCGACAACGGCAGGCTCCGAGGACTCGGTGTGCTGGGATTCGGTACCTTGGATTACCGAGCTCTTGTCATCGTCAACCAGGAGTTCAGGGGCACGCCAGCCAGATGTTCCCGCGGCATGTGCCGTGGTGGCTCGGAAAGAGCTTTGGTTATCTTCTAATTTCTTGCATAAGCCAAAATCGGAGATGAGAAGACGCAAGGACCGTGCTCCGGAACGTCCTCTGGGCATGGCCACTAGGATGTTCTGTGGTTTCAAGTCACGGTGAACAATCTTCAAGGAATGCAGGTACCGAACACCGCAGATGATCTGACGCAGAATATCCGGCATGTTCACATCCAGTCCACCCTGAACTAATTGTGGGTAGTCTGAAGGGCGCTCCACCACATCTTGCAGAGAAGCTGGGCATAACTCGAGTGCGATGTAAAGGAAGCCGGTCGCCTGTTCTCGGCAAAAGTAACGAATAACATTGGCATGGTCGTCACTCTCTTGTAACAAGCCAACCTCATGAGACGCGATGTCGTAAAATTCAACGAGCATACGCTTCACCGCGACATCACGTCCATCAAATGAACCTCGGTAGACGACAGTTCCATGGCTTCCATGTCCCAGGACGACATCAGTGAATACCCTCAAGCGGCCGATCTGGAGAACACCATCCATCTCCATAATCTCATTGGACACCGTACGGGCCATCTGCACATCAGGCTCTAAACGAGATTTGGGCTGGAGATTGTTCACGTCGCTGACAACCCGATCAGTTTGCGAATCGCCTTCAGAGTCCGGCTTTTTACCCCGCTTGTGCGCCTTGCCTCCACGACGGCCACGGCGAGCTTTCTTTTTGGGCTTCTCCGTGCCATCTAAAACTACCTCATCCACGTCCTCGTCGCCATCCGGGCCCCGGGAGGGCTCTCGAATGCGTACACGGGGCGTACTGTCTGGCCCGAGAGCATTGCGGTCTTTCTTTGGTTTGGGGGTTGCATCGCCGCCTTGTTGTTGGTCTTCCGGAACACTAACATCGACAGTTACATTGGGCACCGGTCGAGCAGGACTACCATCTCGTTTAAGCTGCGCGTCAACGACTGGGGTTGACGGGGTGGACAGAGGTGGTTGGTACGAAGAGATGATGTTCTTCAGATCCAACTTTTGCTTGGCCAATTCCTGAATATTATGGGAGTTGAGATAGATGAAGGCCCCAAAGAACAGCAATATCAATGTCACAAAGATGTCAACGGCGTTATCCCAACCCTTTCGGATGATCGTACTATGCCGTAACGCCGGAGGAAGAGCTAGTTCTGAGTGACTCCGGGCCAATTCCTGGGGAGTATCATTGGAAAGCTCCGGTCTCGACGATCCAGATAGGCTGGGAATATGACGAACAAAACGAGGGCCATTGAGCGAGTGCACACCAGCCAACGCGTCTCGTTGCTGACTGGGTGTCAGGCTCATGAGCGCTTGTCCATAACGGAAGTAATCCTTCTCGTAGCATTGTGCCATCTTGGCCCGTCCAGTAACCAACGGGTATGTCTCCTCCGACATGGCATACCAACCGCCCGCTTCAGTGCTATCAATATATACACGGGTATCTCGATCGTCCAAGGAGCCGTAATCGGGATCAGGAGGCTGCAGAGGCTGCGAGAGAAGCACCAAAGGTGTCGGTGCGTCAGGCGAGTCGAGATTGGTTGGGCGGACAACATCAAAAACCCGAGCAACTGGTGTGGAAAATCGTTGGGTGTAACGCGGTCGTTCCATCCGAGAATGGTCGAACCCCAGCACTACTCCATCGTGCATGCTGTATATGTGACTCTCATCCATCGTTCGGTAGTACTGATCTTGGAGGTCTAAGTCACGATTGTTGCCCGCCCATTCTGAGTATTTTAATGTACAGATCGGATCCCCTGTTTCGGTATTCTGAATAGCTACAGCATACTCGATCCGGCCGAGAACCAGTGTGCCGGATGGGGATTCGCAGTCATCCGAGTCCATGTCCAGTCCGTCAACTTTCCGGCACTCCTGACCCGAGGGGATTGGGCCTCTAGAACTGAACACGCGCAAAATCGTACCGGTACGAGCGTCAATGGTATAGAGGGTGGTTTCCTTTCGAGCGGTATATGTAACGGCGGGGTCCGTTCCCGAATACGGTGTCTTATCCACCAGGTCTTTCACCGTCAACCCCAACTTCTGTAATCCGGCGTCAGGTCCGGGACTGTATATAAAAAGGCTCCCGTCTTGACTCGGCTCGACGATCCAAATAAAGTCATCTTCCGGTTGGGTCCGATCGAAACTGGATCGATTTGCTCGATGATAGATGCTTTCGACCATGGGACTACTCGGCACTTCGAGGGCCCAACGGGCCGTGCCAGTCTTGCGGTCTCGAGCGTGAATGGAGCCGTCGACGGTCGCCAGTAGGACAAAGTCCTCAACCTCCCAATCCTGCAGAGATCGCGCGTTAAGCGGCGTAGACAGGCCAGCAGACGGGCTGCTGACCTGGGCAGGAGGGGCTCGAACGGCGCGGCCGGGGCCCGCCAGAGCCATAGTTGCTAGGGCGCTCGCATCGGTGGATTTCACGTTCAATGGAGTATGCAAATCTTTTCCAACAGCATGGCCGGTCGACCCTAAGGGGACCGACAAGGTGGAAGGCAGGTCATAATGTTCCGGCTGCTGCTGCGGAGCAACAAGAACAGGGAGCAGAAGGAGAGCGACGCTGGCGGGGAGAGTCGATCGGGCGCCAGGCAGCCGCCACCGCATCCTGAAGGACTACAATGTGGGAACGATAGGCGTTGTAAATGTATCGACGTCGACGAGATGGTAGCCAACAGCTCATCAGTCTGTACTTGAATGATGGGTGGAAAGAAGGCTGGATGGAAGTGAAAGGAACCTAGGGACGAGTGGAGGAACCAGCCTCAAATGGGTGGAAAGGCACACGACCTAAAGGGGTTTAGCGTTTAGCACCACCCAGTTCCAGTTTTTCGAGAATGATGGCAGCGGGTGGAGATGACGGGGGAGGGGGGATCGATCATTTGCTTACGGGTAAGCACGTCGGAAATTTTCAATCGAAATGACAAAAATGATTGAAGATAGAAAGGAAAATTAAAATTCAGCACTGGGGGGGAAAACAGAAAAGAAAAAGGGGCAGGAGGACGGAGTACAGCAGGCGAATGTGTGTGTGCGCCTTCGATATTATTAGCATTTCGGTTTTGACTGAATCAAATTAATTTATTGATGGAAGGCAGAAGAATTGACTGGCGGTGGCCTCAGGCGCTCCTGGGCGGCGCAAGGGCGAACCCCCCATTGGGCTTAGCGTGAGACGATTGTGACGCACCACTCCTGTCCATCACGCCATCTAGAACCATTCACATTTTACCATACCGTACTGTGTATGTACAACTGGACCACAGTACAACCAACTCTCTTTATTGTCCGACCTGGATTTAGTACTATTAAATCTGCCTTCCTTTGTCTGACAGTCTGACTTCCCGTGTTCTGTCAACCTTGATCCATGGATAGTTAAGGACTAGTAGGACGACAGGGTACATACTTGCGGATGTCGGAACTTCAGCATTCCCTTGATATCCCTCTCGGAGCCCCGGATTGATTTCCCCGCCAAGGGGCATTTGACCAGTGCAACATGTCTCAATCATACTTACTAGTGGTTGTTTCACTTTCCGAAACCCCTCCTTCTGGTGGACAATAGGATCATCAATAATATCATTAGTGCCTTGGAAAGGGCTTTCATGAATCGGACTTACCTAAGATTAGGGCACCTTTTGATACGTAGCACGTGATTTGACCGACGTAGTAGCCTGAAGCCCTGTACATACTACATACACAATGAACAGCTTGAAAGCAGTCATGGTGGTCTTTTTTTGTGCTCATGGACCTTAGAGAGTCTAATGATGGTACCAATACCATATAGATCTAGTCTTAGCCAGCAGTTATCCTCCGGGTTGGGTAGATGGGAGATATATATATATATTAAGTGCATGCACTTGTATATAGTAGTAGAAAATTATACTAGTAGTTCCTATACTTAACACGTAAACAAGTGGTCTCATTAGATTTAGAAATTTTACTCTTCTACGGAGTATGAATAGAAGTTGTATATATATTTTCCAGGTCCATACCCATTTTCTATACACAGGTACAACAAGTAAGTATATCTTACTACTATGTAGGTGACTGACGCGCATTACAAAGGCGGTTAGTCAGATTGAATAATATGCAAACAACCCAAACAGAAGCGTTGGCGGTGATTCCAGTAAGTTGTACAAACAACAACTGCAGAGTCCATTCAGAACCCGAGGATGCCGCCGCAGTCAACAGTACGTATAACGCAACGAATTATGCTGCTTTAGATATGTGCTCAGTTATCATCGCAGGATAGTCTCGTTCCAGAGGGCTGGTCCGATTACGTCGATGACCTTGAAAACGATGACTTATACTGCAGTTGCGTTCCGGGAAATAATAAACTCTCCGATGCGATACATTGGGTCAAAAACCCCAGACCAGTGAGGTGTACCATACCAGGACAAAGATTGTATATTGCACAATCCGGCTCTAGCTTCTACCTCGGGAAACAGCGGGAAGACGAATGATACAAGATTGAAGGCTTAAAAACGAGAAAAGCCCCTGATTAGAGCTATTAAGCAGACTGGTGTTGATGGGCTTTCTCTTGTGCAGCTCGAATCCAAGAGTCTGTCAACTTGTGGCGGCGCGGAACCCTCGACTCCGCTGCCTTTCACTGATCCTAAACCTAACCACTAGGAAGTCAATCGGAGAAGTGCTAGTCTGCTCTCATATGAAGTACATGCCCAATAATCATGCAGGACATCGATGACCTCATTGAAGTGTGGAATTAGCCAGCCGGGCTGTCTTTGTGGCATCTTTCTTGTCGTATTCCACAGCAGTACTTTCACTCAATTCACCGAAGATGTTGAGCGAATCGGAAATTTAGTAGAACTGTTGAGGCAAACGGTCTAGGCCAACTCTTCACGAAATCCGCTGACGATGATGAGGGAGAGCAGCGAATCAATGCCCATATCGGCAGTGACGACGTCATCGGTGAGATCCGCAACGGCTATTCCGGCTTCTTCGGATATGATCTGAAGAGCTGTAAGGAAGTCACCCTCACTGGGTCTAACTGCAGGCTCGCTGTAAATAATTGGCGCTGGTAAATAGTTCGCCTCCTCAACGGCAATGTCTCTCTTCTTCAAGGAATATCAAGGCTTTTTAAACTCGTTGGTTGTGGAGTAGTCCATGAAAATGGACTCCAAAGCTAGGTCTAGGTCCAACTCCCCGGGAAATCTTGCAGTGGTTGTCAAGGATAGTAAAGAGTCAATGCCTATGTCACTAAACAAGGTATTTCCTGGGAGATCGGAGACAGGAATACAGCTTTCGTCGGACATTATATGGGTAGCTTGCGGATTCTAGAAAATCTTGCGGGCTCAACGGGTACAGATACGCCGACGGTGCCAGGTTTGGATTGTTTACAGGCCGATATGGTCGAAGGAGTAGTCGGCGACCTCTTCTAGTGTTAACCACTTTCAACAAGCAAGAAAACTTCGAGAACTCGACAGGGTCTCTACCCAGGAAAGTTCCTCAAATATCTGGCATGATCCCCAACGATGGCTGATGAATACATCGAAGCTGAGATCGCTCTCTTTGTCACAATCCATAGCGAAGATATGCTTAGTACGGAGTAAAGCTGGTTCTGTCCCTCGATACTGTAACTTCCGTAATGCCGTCGGGTGGAGTTTCTGCGTCGCTCCGGTGTTATACGGTGTATACAATTTCATCATGCACCAGAAAAGAAATTTAGATGAAATATAACTTTGCCCATGGAGGAACACGATAAATCAAGTAAACGTTTCTGCGTCGACCTCATGGGTTGAAGGTAATGCAACGGGTTCTCTCCTGGGAGTAAGAAATAGTCCCCGTGTTATGAGACATCCAAAATGACTAGGTCTTGACCTCATTTGCCAGACTGCACTGGCCACCACCATTATTACATTTCTCATGGTAATTTTGAAGTGCTCAAGGGAAGCCCAGGACCCTCTCCCATCCGATCCAAAACACCGCATCGATGCGTAAAAGGGCAAATCGAATGATATCGAGACTCTTTGCGTGTAAACGAAATACCATCCTCGCCCGATCAAGAGTCTGCCTGAGCCGCCTGTATTCTTCCCCGGAATCCGTGCCTTCAGAACCACATAGCTGGTGAGCGGTGACCGTCAGCAGGAACAGAAGATTCATTATACAAGCAAAGGATGTTTTCAACCCTGTTCTTGTCAGTAGTCTGGTCTTCGGAACGTATCTTCATGTCACACATACAAGGTGCCCAAAATGCCTGGTAGTGTGCTGGTTGTAGGTTCGATATAAGGCTCAAGGCCATATCTGCCTCGGCTGATGCTGTCTGGCGTATCTGCGATCGTGCGGCGTGCCACTCTTCATTTGGCTCTAGTTCGGAGGAAAGGTGATCCATATTGCTGAAGGGGCGGAGTAGTGCACGGAGGATTAAGATCTTTACAGCTTGATAGGCGATGTGGAGAGATGCTGAATCATCTGATGTTTGTTTACACCCGGGCGCCGGTGCCATGGCTAAGGATAAAGGTAGACCAGTATGCCATTCCGTGAGGTTTTGCATAAGAGGACGAGCGCTAGAGATTGTCAAACGAAAGTCCTTGCAGAGGGTGGACAATGAACGTATAGAGCTAAATATAGGTTAGTTCGCGTAGCTTCTAGAGGTGGGGATGCTAGCGATCCCTGAGGATTATCTCAAGGTCATCACTTACTAAAGACTCTCCAGAACATTGTCCAATATTGTGGTGAGCTTTGAGAACTCGATAGTATATGCATGCGCATCACTGGTAGGGTCCCCAGATTCAATATCGCTCGAATCCAGTTCAGTAATGAGCCAATTATTTCTTGAGACGTGACTTGGTCGGCCAAAGCTAAAGGCAAGCCACTTGTCTAGGGCGAATACCACCCATGATAGGCGACGACGGGTATGGACCTCGTTTGATGGTAAGTTCCACATGGCAGGATCCAGATGCAGACCGAGTGTTTGTGCCATTGACACAGTCATGCCCAGAAGCGTCCACTTCATTGAGCTGTCAAGCAGCAAAGGATTCAAAGGCGGGTGCAATAGGAGGATGAGTGCTGCTTGCAAAGACTGTATTGTAGGTTGGGATAAGGCATTACTGAGTTCGCTCCAGGCGATTCCAAGTAAGACTTGCGGTGACGGAGGACTATACACAAACTCGATACATAAGTAGTCATCGAACGTCGTAAATGGCTGAGTGATCAAATATATCGCCGCTAGAAGATGTGCTGGCGCGGCCCGTGGCTCTGGCAGTCTATCCTCAGGGAAGATAGGAAATTGCCGGTTAACGAAACGCGAAAACCTGATTATATGTCAGTTGTGATGAAATGCTGGTCCGAACTCAACCAACTCACAATTGTATCAGTCGTTCCCCAATCTCTGGAGCCACGATCTGTGATAGTTCGGGCAACGCGTCCTTGGCAAACGGTGTTTCCAAGCTACTTGGGGCCTTTGACTCGTTGCTCAACTCGGGTTTTGATAACAAAAATTGCACTGGTATCTCTGTGTTTTGTACTGACCGTATAGCAAGCTTGGAGAATGGAAACTCTGCTCTTGCGTCGAAACGATAATGTCGTAGAACATAGGGATCCATATCACCAGTCAAACCACATAGCTGGGAAGACAATGATGGATGGTTATCGAGAGACGGGGGACCCGGAGCAGGATTCGGCTCTATAAGAGACAATCCTTGACCCTCATAAATACTGAGCATTAGCTCGTCCATGATTCCATGATCTCCGCTACCTAGGACAGAGGCATGCGAATCTTCAAGTCCTTGCACAACGCTCAAGTCATATAACTGCTCGACAACCCTTGGAGCATCACCGTGCATAGCGCCTTCCGTCATATGCATGGCTATTGAATCCATTGGTTGCACCGAGCTTGCAAATTCGGATGACTCATTCGTTCGCCCATCATTAGAAGCATTTCCATCATTGAAAGCGCTCGGTGATGGACCGGGAGTAGCCCGTAGCGGGCGCCTCTTCTTACGGACTATACGATCGGTGAATTCGCAATGTTGTCCATGAACCCTGCATAGGCGGCAAGGGGGAGCTGTGTCGATCTGACACGCCGATTTCCGTGAGCGACAAAGGTCGCATGCGCGTTGAGCTTTGCTCATGTACCTACGAGGCCCAGTCCCTGAATATGGGTATCTTCTGGGAGGTGTGCCATTGTCCATGTATCTAAACTGGTGGCATTAGGGTTTGTGATTGAGAGAGAGAAGAAAGATTATTAATCTGGAATCAGCAGTGATGGTGTCTTGAAACTATACCAAGTATGGATGAATGTATTGTCACGTGTTAGTATTATTTCACTTATCCTAATTAGGAAAGTGGCTGGCTAGTCCACCATCTCCTTGATTCTGTTTTATTAACTTCTTTGCTGCTCTCTGGACTCATTTATTATAACTTGACCTGGTGAATGGCTACTCTCCCTGTCATTTGGCACAGTGTTATTCATATATTTTGTACATCAGACTTGAAATTTCCAAAAGCGAAGATCTACATATTCGCATGTTATCCATTATATGCTATCATAATTTACTCCGAATTTGAATATGGCTGAGGATGTCAGGAACCAAGTCAACTGCATCCTTGGCCATCCCCATCCCGGCCTGAAACCCGGTCCCTCCTGCGCCATAATTATGTACCACAGTGTTACCCTCCGGTGTGGTCTCGAGTTCCACTCGGGCACCACCTTGTCGCGATGGCCGCAATCCCACTGCAACGCGAATGATCTCTGTTTCTCCATTTTTGAGGATCGGCAGGAGATCTGCTGTACGACTCAGAATCGACTCAGTCTCTACCGGTCGGGCCTGGCTAGTATGGTCGCCTGGTTGTAGGTAGCCACCTAATATCACCGTGCCATCTGAGTGGGGTCGTGGGATAATATAGGTTTCATAGTCTTTGCCATGTCGCATAACATTGGTTCTCACTGATGGCGCCTTGACAAGAATGATCTGACCGCGTGTTGGATAGCATTTTGTGTCATTAACTCCCGTTAATTTGACTGCTGCGTTGCCGATGCAGTTGAAGACAATTTGCGTTCCGTGCAGGAAGACGTCCTGTAAGCTTGCTACCTTCCGGCGAACAAATTTTACACCACCATACTGCGGTTTAGATAGGAGGTATTTCAAATGTTGGCAATGTGCAGGCGCGTTGACTGTAACTGTGGTGAAACTTATACCAAAAGCAACTCCCTTAGGGAGATCGGATGGAGGTATTATGACAAGCTATCGGTTAAGTCCACATGGTTAGCACATCTGCCTAGTGACCATGTTTGTGTGCTACAATGGAGACTTATGTAGTAGGCAACCTTACATCGCGAAGATACTTGGTCATGCTGTTGATCTTATCCTGCGATGGGGCTTGATCCCAGTACTCTGTTGACTCGGTTTTGGACAGATACTTCGCTTCTTCTGCCCCGTCATCAATCAGGCCCATCATGCTCGAGTAACCGGATTGATCCCAGCGCAGCGCATTGGCATCATTTCCCGATATGCCTGAGAAATTCGCTCCGGCCCTAAAACGCAGACGGAGCGTTAGTATACGTTCTATCGAATTTAATTGAAACCATGTCTGCGCACCAAGGAGAGGTATAATCAATAGATTCATCTCCCGGAAGATGTTCCGCCATGATTGTGACATGCTGTCCATAGCCACGTTTCGATAACTCCAACGCCACGTTCAAGCCGATTATTCCCGCGCTGGATGATAAATGTCAGAGATCGTGTACGTGAATTGAGGGCTCCTATATGTTCTTACCCGAGCACCACAATATCGTTATGCGTCATATTGAATGATCCTTAGTGCTTGACGGCGTCTAACACACTATCCTAGCCTATATAAACCACTGTCAAGATAGATGGTGTCATACCAAGGAAATATCCGGCCTTCCGATTGGCGGCATTCCTGTGGAGCCTTGAGTGGCGAATAAATGGTCCTATCAGCTTGATAAGGTGAAGGTGAGATAGCCGATAATTGAGCATTGGAACAAAAAGGAAAGAAAATTATGACTAAGTGACTAAGTGACGCGACTCGAACAAGGACAACAATATTGAGGATAGGCTAAGGACTGAGGAACGTTCCGCTATGTATCCTTCCCCGTCACCACCATACATTTACCACCCCCGACTTGGGTCTCTTCGTCTTCCTGCTGACCCGGAGTGGTCTCCACCGAATCTAACACTGGAACCGGCTGCTTCAATGTCCTTCCGAAGAGTACATAGAAGAGGATTCCCGCCACGAAGCCTACAATTGCTAAGGATCCATACATCCAAACTAAATAAGGATCTTGTGAAACCGGGGCGAGTCCGATACAAATGGCCGCTGCTACGCCAATAGTCAACCAGAAAAGAGAAGAAACCAGGGAACGCAGACTATTGAGATGGCTAGTCAGTTCGTGTGACCACCAGATATTACCAGGTAATCTTACCTTTCGGGCGCATTGGTATATGCGATCTCTAAGCCAGTCACCACAACGAAGGCCTCTGAAAAGGCGACAAGAACGTACGCAGGTGTCTGAACCCAAACGTGAATGGTTTGTGCAGGGGAGATGTAGATGTAGTGCTGGAGCACACTGGCGTACACCATCGACATGGAAGCCATGAAGAACCCGACAGTAATCTTCAACTCTGGTCGGAAATCGATCTTGAAGTGACGTAACGTCGGGTAGACCACGACTGATATCTTCTTAGACTGCTGCCATACGAGTAGACACGGTTGCACTTACGATCGAGAAACGGAATGAAGATAATCAACGCTATAGGGTCTAGATTTTGCAGCAAATCGTTCGGAGTGCCGTGCAGAGCCATTTGACCAGCCTGGGAGATAAGGTTATTCCAGATCTGGACCCAGCAAATAAAATAAAAAGGGAAGAGGAGGAATAGCTATTTGTCATGGTCAGCAATCGATAGTTATGGCCGATAATGTGGGTCATCTTTACTTTGCAGGCTCTGATGCCCTTCTTAACCCCGTCAACACTCTGATCGGTGTAGTTGGCGCTGGATGCAACAGAGTATTTCTCCATCCGGCCCCGTTGGATCAGAGCACTCGGCTTTGCATTTTCGAAGCCCCTTTCTGATATAGCAACATATACTGTCCTGGCGGTTTCGACAATTGGTGAACCTTGTGGTCGGGTCTTGATATACAATTTGCTGCTACATATAAAGACCACGGCAGCAAGGACAATCACACTGGAATTCGACATTAGCGAAATTCAGAAGAAACCACCAGGTATTGTATTTATATTCACTAACACCAAGGGTATGAGAAAGGCTAGCCAAAAGGACACCTTGGCTTCCACGTTGACAGTAATCAATGGCGATAGAGCGCCAATATTGACGGCCCAATAGAACCTGGCAGCCTCATTAATATCGTGCGACATAGGTGATAGGCACATGGTACACACCACATGAACATTCGCTCCACAGTGAGCTCAGGGTCGACGACGACACGTTCTCCTGACTTCAATGTCTTGACAAAAGCGCTACCTCTCTTATACTGTTCGGCACAGAATGGCGTAACATTTGCTTTGATTCCACCCGTTCCCAGTCCAATGATAACCATCGAGGCAACGAGCCCACCAAAGGCCGATCCGCCATTGATAGCTGCTGGAGTCGCAGTTGCCACAAGGATAGTCAGGCCGATGATATAAATCCCAGAGGCTATAACTATAGCCTTAAATTTGCCGACATACTGATCTATGTGGTGAGGGAGAAGATGAGTCAGTGGACAAGGGAGCTTTCATGCACACAACATAGCCTGCCCTTACCGGCTACTACAGCTCCCAGGATGGTGGAAGCATACGCCCAAAACTTGAAAAAGTTACCTAGAGCAGATGCAATTGCCTGTCCCTTACCAAGAGCACCTGGCAGATCCGCACCAGGTACATATGGGTTTCTGTCGTTATGCGTTTAGCGGTTATTGAAAACCCAAGATAGTAAAGCAACATACTTGATGTAATTCTGCAGCGGTCCGCTAAGGCCAAAGTAGGTGAATCTTTCTCCCAGCTCCACAACGATGATGAGTCCGACAACCCAAGGAATACGGTCAGGCACCCGACGCAAGCCCGGTTCATACGCCTGGTCTGCTTGGAGAGGTTTCGGCGTATCTGAGTGAGCCACCGTTGACTGCATTTGACGATCCAGGACGTCTGGAATTCTTGTGCTTTCCGGCATGACTGGTGTGATGCTGTGTATGAAAATCTATGCCAGAAGGTCGAGGCGTCGTTGAACTAGTCTGTTGCTGCGCCGTTTATAGCCTCCCCACACTCTATCTCTGGTTCCTGATAAGGTGTTTTGCGGGGAAGCGATACGAGGTTGTGGATGCCGATCGCGACGTTCCTATCAAAGTGGGTTTCAATGCCGCCAATTGAAAGCGATGCCGCTGCCGGTCCACTATATCCATCAAGACCTCTTTAGGAGATCCTTCACGAGCGGAGAGTAATTGTGCGTGGTGACGGAAACGAGATTGTCAGAATATATCGCCTCCGGGGAGACCGTCCCTTTGCAACCTTTACCAATCGACCCAAGTTCGCATCCGCATGATGGCTACACTCACGCAAGCAGAACAGATGATTAGAGTCCGTACCTCTACAAGGAGGGAGGGCAATGTGATACCGGAAAAGTACCTGAAAGGTTTAGATGTTGAATGGCAGGAGATGTGGGAAAATCACGGAAAGGACATGGACGCGGCTCACTTGGTGACTATCGAAGAATTTCGGCAATGCCCTCAAAGGTACAGCTTTACCTACCCAACGTGGACAGGTGAGTTCTGTCCATAGTGCTATGTCGAAGGGGTCGTTTAACGTCTCTTGACCACTCCCTACAGGCCCAGAAGTACATCATGTCCGAGATTACCAGATCCCGGTCTCAAATCCCAAAGGATCGATCACCTGTCGCGTATACACACCCCCCGGGATGGGTCCATTCCCAGCACACCTAAATTTCCATGGAGGCGGCTGGGTACTTGGAGGTCTACAATCTGAAGCTGCTTGGTGTCGTAGTATTTGCAATGAGTCATCTATCATTGTCATCGATGTGGATTATCGTCTCGCGCCAGAACATCAGTATCCTATCGCGCTGTATGACTGCTGGGCTGCGGTACGATGGGCACATACCAACGCACAAACGCTCAACGTTGATTCCAACTCCATCTCAATTGGGGGACTGTCCTCGGGTGGACTGATCACCGCTGTTCTTGCCCACTTCGCTCGCGACTGCTCCCCCCCTCTCGAACTGAAACTCCAGCTGATGGTGGTGCCCGCCACAGATATGCGCTACGTACCGCTGCCTATAACTAATGCCGAGCCCCTCACTGCAGAAAGTTGCCCGTACCCCAGTGCCATTTTCTGCTCCGATCTACCCTGGTCACCCCTCGCCCGGGAGTCATGGTTCCTGAATTACTACATTGGCACGGACGAAGAGGTCCGATCGGAAATCCTTTCAGATTGGAGAATGACCCCTGTTCTCTCACCCTCTCTGAAAGGACTAGCCCCGGCACACATCGTCACGGCCGAGTTTGATGTAGAAAGGGATGAAGCTGAGCACTATGGGCAATTACTTCGTGAGGCAGGGAATCAAGTAACCATGAAAAGGTACGCGGGTGTCCCACATGCGTTTGCCCATTACAATCATCCCACTCGGGGCCTGAGCAAGAGCCGAGAGTTCATCAGGGATACGACGAGGCTTCTTTCGGAGGTACACGGTACCAGTCCACGGGACGAGGAGGCGTAGGCTGCGGGAATCATTCATACATCGAAGGGTACACGTTGCGCTCTGTTGCTGGTGACTTTTCTTCAGTCAAGTCCTGGATAAGAAGCGCGGGCCTCAAATCTGCCTGGTTCAGCTGAGGGAAGGGCATGGGCGACTTGCGATGCGATACATACGGTATAGGCGATGGCAAAGCCATGGTCGCGAATTCTATCGCTGTTAAAAATTAACACATAAGTTAGCGCAGAATGTACTGACCATAGAAAGCCTAGTGATGTGTATGATCAATTAGGTCTTAGAAACCATCTAGTAGAATAATATAAGTCGCACTTGTAATTATTGAAGATAATGATCTTCACACCAAATTCACGATCCAACACTTCTCGATTATACCTCACCCCCAGGGCCCACGCTGGGATTGGGGGGCTGACCCTTCAACCCTAAAGGAGTTGAGGAGCTGAATGATATTTTCCACATACCTAGATTAGTTTGCGACCAAAACGCAAAGCGTTGGAAACCATATCCTGACCCTTGATTAAGATATTCACGATAGTTGGTAGTAGATTTTCAGCGGGAGAATGCGGCGCGTTCCTCGATACGTAGTTAAGGTTCTCCCAGAATGCAAGGGCTGCAGTGATCGTTTGCAACGATATCGCATCCCTTACATATCTGAAGCTTTCGATCGAGCCCATGTGGCATAGCGGATCGAACTCAAGCGTTCTTGCCTTACTATTTGGCCAATTTATGAGTCATGTCCGGTTCGCTTAAAGTGCCGGCATGTCGGCAATGTTAGGGTGATCTGCGGACCCCTTACAGAAGAGAATATATTTCAGCCCCGGAAATCCGGCCCCGGGCTGGAAATAACCATAGATGTCGCGGACGGAAGAATACTCCGTGTCATCCCTTGCTCTCTTGGATACGATCTGCTTTTTGTATACGAAGCTCAGGGCATGATTGCGTCGGGGAGAAGACCATTTCTTCGTGCTCTTGTCGCCCTGCCTTGACGGTGGGAGAAGTCAATGCCATTTATGTGCGATGCCTTGAAATCCATGTCTGTAGAGATGGCGGCTCTCAGCTAGATCAACTGTCTGTAAACGCCTGACGGTGGAAGAATATTGTATGATCGAAGAATATGTAGCGGATACTCTTGCATATCAAGACGATCTTTGATTATCAATCAATGTGTCCTACAACTGACAATAACATTGTCTTCAAGTGTATAACGATTTTATCATAGCTACCAGGTATTAGGATCTGGTTACATGGGGTGACACCCCAATCTGTAAAGTGAGAGTTGTATAGACATGCAGTCAACTTTATATATGGATGCACGATCAATATATCATCGCACGTAGTTCATCTACTGTTACAGTTGTATCTGGCTTTAAGCACACATTTAATATAGTAGAATAGAACATTAGATATTGGCTGATTGCTTCCACAGTGTGATTAAGTTGTTTTATGTAGTTTATGTCCTGGCTATATTGAATATATATCTTTTGACACACATACACACACCCACACACACACCCACAGAAATATACATCTATGTATTTCTATAATACGTTTTTTTATGACATGCATTGGTTTTGTTTATATTTTATTATATATATATATATATATTCATCAAGTAAAACGTAAGCTTATTGTATTCGGTCTCATTAGAGAAGCGCCCTTGCACATATATGTATAGGTAAGAACACTACCTTGAAAACACTTTTACCTATGCTACGGCAGCCCGTATCGAATTAGAAAATTGGACACTACTTACATAAAATTCTATATACACAACGCTCTACAAATAATTCTAAGATGAAGGTATGGTGTATGTGTATGGCAATGACTCAGGTTTGGCTGTACTATATTGTACGTATTCATTCAGCAATAACCGAGATCGGAGACATCAGGATAGACCTGCAGTTCAATGGCTTCAATCACCAATAGGCATGCATGTATTTACCCATATCTATACCTAAATTTCGGCTTGCCCCGTCATTTTCTTTTTAATTCTGATTGGGTTACTCGATAGCATGGGTTAGCCCAGGGCACTAAGAAAGAAAAGCCCAAATGCCTGATGATTTACATGACTAGTAAGTAGTAGGTTTATGGCATCTGCTTTATGGCGAATTACGAGACCTCTAGAAGTGGGTTAACAGTTTGATGCTGAGTGATTAAGAGGTAACTCCATTGACGTTATTATGTATTAAAAACGGTTATAGTCCTACCCTTCAGGTAAGGCTGAAGGGATACAGATTCAGGACACAAAGTTATGAGGGGAAAGTAAACGAAAGACACCCAATATAAGTCAAGTTCAAGACCACTTTTGCTCCACCGCGTAGTCCACATTCACATATGAGACAATACCATGATTTGTTGATGTGTAGCTGTGGATACCCATCACATTTACTTGGAGGGAATGGGGAGAACGTCCAGAAGTTCAACGAGGGGTCCTCCTGAAGGACCGTTTGGGCACTCAGCTCCAAGACATTCGCATCTCTGTGTAGTTGTTAGTCTACCGGTATAGGTTTGGATATAATCTCAAACGAAAACTTACGGTTTTGTCTGAGTGAGATTCCTTCACGCATTCCCAGGGAATATAAAATCTATCACCAGTGCATTCCGCTGGCTTCAACGTGCATCCCAGTGGCTCCCCAATTGGGTTCACCGAGGTAACGCTTGCACCAGAGGGCGTAGAGCCATATGCACAGCAGTAGCCAACGCGGTCTGGCTCCTCCTCTCCATGGCTCTGCTGGCCGTCACCCTTGTGGCTATCGCCATTGTGGCCATCGCCATTGTGGCCATCGCCGTTGTGGCCATCACCGCCGTCATGGCCTTGAGGAGCTGCAACGGCAGCGCAAGCGAAAGCAAGGATGGCAGCGACAGTAGTGAAACGCATCTTGAATGAAAGTTGGAGGATTGGATACCCAAGTGATTGAACTGGATAAGCGAATGGATGAAGTAAAGAGTGTTTGAGAGAATGACTTGAGAGGCTTGATGATGAATGATTGAGATGTTGGGAGGAAGGGCTGGCCCTTATATAGCTTTTGAGGAGCTTAGATACGCCCACAAGTCCTGATGTTTGATCCGAAGACAATCGATAGTATATCTAAGCATTCCAGGAACAAGTTTACGATGTCTGAGCGCAGCAGAGTAGTACATTCCCTACAGATCTACAATATCCAGCTATACCAGACACACTTCCTCAAGTCAGATTGAATGGATTGAGTCCTTAAACTCTCCTGATTCATCTTCCAGGCAGGGTTGCATTCTTTGATATCCTCGATACCCCTGCTCAAGATGCATTGTCTTGTTCAAGACTGTTTGAGCTCAAAAACACTTACAATTTTGAAATTAAGTTTTACTGGCTCATTCAATCTACCATCTACACATATACACACATTGTGCTCTGGAGCTAAGGTGTAAATCATTATCTTCTCTAGTTCGTTAGACTCGACTGTGCTTCGACTACCTTCTCTAAGGCAGTATAACAGTTATTTGTTCCTCTGAGTGGGTCTGGGAGTTCGAGAAAGTGTTTACCGTTGTACCTTCGAAAAAACTATTTCAGTAGGCTATCGAATATCGGGGCCCTTACATGTGCAAGTCCCCAAAGACAGTTAGGGAGTGAGGTAGTGGAATGTCTGCAGCATCGTTTTCAAATGTAGTCCAAGATACTTCTAGAGTCCAAACAAGAGCACTCTCTGTGCCTGAGGAAGCTTAAATTGCATTCGTGAGGGATCGTCAGTCCGGGGAAGACAAGGGGGCTCTGTCCTATAGGCTACTTCGTTAAGCTCAGTAAGGCTTCCCGCATGCAATCCCTCCACAGTTAGGTTCTTATAACTTTAGAAACATTTTACTTTGAATTCACAAGGATCATGACCTCGCTTCTGCAAGAATATTTACACATGTATACAACAATTACTGATCTAGATAGCTCTCCAAGGTATCAACGCGTTGGTTAAGGAGATATACATGAGAACAGTTACTGGAAAGGCGTTGCGTCCCTACTCAATAACGACGATTATCAAGTCCCGGAAAGTTGTTCTTTTAGTTAATCATTAGTTATTATATGTTATTGTGATAATATTTATTTGATCATCTGTGTATGGAATGTGAGTGGTTTATACACGATAACGTTCTTGTTAGCCGAGGATTGTGAATTTCCGATAATTTAAGTCTCGTGTGAGATAAGCGATGCATGAAATGCGAGTAGTATGTGCCGGCTAACTTTTCCGTTCGTCAAGGACTGTGATGCTTTGACCCCTTTGTAAATAAAGTGATATATGGAATGAGGTGAGCGGTATGTAATGGATATCTTTTCCGTTAACCAAGGGGTTGTGAGGTTGTGAGACCCCGAGCCCCTTGTACGTAGAATAAGCGATGTAAGAAGTGGTAAAGATACCTGCCCTCATGGTGTCTCTCCTCTTTTCACTCCTATTTACTCACTTAACAATTCTGGTATTCCCTTTCACGTTTGTTTCTTTTCTTCTTTTCAATACTATCCAACTTAACAGGTGCTAACATGGCGATGCTAGAACGGTGTTCTCTTGACTAGTGTACAATTGTGGATGACTTAGACTAAAGTAAGGAATTAAAATAACGGAGATCCATACAGCATGCGCACTAAAAGATTAGATTCAATTGTGGCGGCTTTTCTCCCCCAGAATCAACATGCTTTGGAAATTTAAATGTAGGGCATGCGGAAAACTAACCGATCCATTCGCTTAGTTTTCTGGGGCCGCTGCTGCGTGCCGGTCGATCATCCCCCACCGCCCGGGTTCGGGCAGGGGTTTCAAGAGAGTCAGCCGGACCTTCAGCTCAGCCAAAAAATGGGCTCCTCCCTGAAGGTTGTGTTTGTACATATATCGGTTCGGTCTACGAATCTTACAAGCTGTATGGAGTATATACTCCTTTGTGATCGGACCACCCCTGGCCATAGCAGTTCTAGTAGGTTCCACCGACGATCTTCAAGCGAGCGGCTCTACAGGGATCTGTTCACGTTCTGTCTCGTATACTCAATAGATATAACTACGACAGTCTACGTAAGCATCGCCAATGTAGGCTTGGCCTACTTGGCACTTGTTCGGAGTAGCCCGAAGTCTTGGCTTCGCTAGTCTCATGAACCAGGTCAACTTGATAAGGAGTTGATGTTAGGGTACGTGCTGGATTCGATCCACTTTATCTTCACCAACTTCACCGTGGCGAGGTGGTGGCCACTGTACCACAGTTTCACATAGGTTTTACGTCTTCTATTTTATTCGAAATTTGCCGATAATAGTATCTTTAATTTCCAACTGCTTTAGCCTTAACTAAAGACTACTACAGAAACTGATCATCCCAATTATAGTGCAATGGCCTCCTGCGCCCTGTGGCAGGCATTCATCGTGATGCCTGATCCCTGCCTACGCCAAGGTACCGACAATGCATAAGGCCACCGAAGCAGCTGATCAGGCAACTCTCTTATTCAGGAGAATCGGCTATCTCGAAAGTTTCTTAAGAATGGTCGAAGAAATGCTTTGCCTCCAAGCCTTCCAGTCTTGTTTATTTGTTCTGAAGTATCTTGTTTACGGCGCCAGGTTCTCGTCTTTGCAATATGGCACGTACTCGTGTTCTCATTGATACCGACTTAGGTATGGAGTACATGGAGAACGCTTTCTTCTCGATATGATACATGTGAAGACCTATAACCATGAATATGCAGGCGTCCATGGTGTCCTGGCTATGTTGTTGACTCTCCAGACGCCCGGGAAGATAGAGGTTGCCCTTATCTCTATTATGTACGCCAATAGCTTTCTTCAGAAGTAAGTTTCGCTTGTTCATCTGCGTTATAATCCATATTGTACCATCATTATCATTATCATCATCATCATCATCACCACAATCGAGCCAATCTCTAAGTCGACAGCACCGCTTATAACAACAACTTCGTTTATTTTGTGAAATGCCTCAAAAGCCCTCGGCAGCAGCTTGACTGACCGTAAAAGACAACGCCATGTATTTTGCGGAGCCCAACATCTATGCTGATGCAATTGCTGCTACCCGGATGTATGCGTTAACCTTCCCCAGATCGCAGTGTCTACTCTGTTGGCAACTGCCGCCTTACCCCAAAAGGCTGTCTCGTCAACTTCAGTTCATCTTACAGACGTTCCACTGGATATTGTAAGATGTCATGCTCTTACGGAATAGCTCCTTCACTGCACTGAGCAGGTCACGTCATCCGTTAATCCTAGGAGCCCCATGGAGAGAACATTGACATTTGTGAATATATAGTGGTTTACGCACGGGTCCTCTGACTGGATTGTAGCTAATATCTACCTATTTCTGTTTAATCTGTGGGCCGATATGATATGTCACCACTGGATATGATCCTGCCGTAGAAGATTGTCAAAAGACTGGACTTCAGGGAGGAGACATGTGGAGAATAGACGAGAAGTATGGGTCATGAGTCACTGTTGACCAAAGGAAGCTTGTGAGGGCTTGGTTAGGCCTAATCTATAGACTGTAGAGTCTGGGATGAAAGGTCTGGGCCAACTGAATGTTTAGGTGTCAGGGGGTAATAGCTCCGACGGAATACATGAGGAAGAGGGTTTTTGGGTAGAAGACTTCACCCTGGATGTATTCTTGGGTTGGGACTGTTTTGTTGTGGATACTGTCGTAGGTAGACATTTGTCTGAAGACATATCAATGAATGGGTGTACAGTGACAAGATCCTTGTCTGTAGATTTGTTCGCTAAACATAGGTAGCTAAGTGAAAACTACCTGGCCCCAGCTGAGAAAGCAACATGGAGGAAATTCCCTATCAAGAAATATATCCTAGTGTTAATTAGTAGATTGCGACAATGCCGCCACATATACAACAACAATAATGAGAAAGAAAAGAAAAGAAAAGAATAGGGAGAGGAAAGGAAAGGCAAGGAAATGAAAAGGACAAGGTAAAAATGGACCTATTCCAAGAGATACTTGCACACAAGTCTTGAATATATATATGGAAATGCTTTCACCGAAACCCCCACAGCCCCAAACAAACCAACCTAAGAATAAACCACATCTGTACTCTTAACATCACTCAATCTTGTTAATCCTCTCCACCAAAGTCTGATCATGTTGCGTCCCAAAAAGCAGTGCATTTCCCGCTAGGTCCGGCGGTACCAGTGGCACGGGCATGAGAGCACGCGTGACGGTAGTTCCCCTATCGGATGGTGCTTGCGAGGATGCCCTAGTCGCTATGAAAGAGAGCGGGAATTTGGATTGTTCCGGCCGAAGAGGCTGTTATGAAGTGGGAGACTGTGTTTAGATTCTAGGTTATAGCCTTGGTGATTGAGGATTAGGATAATAAATTGATATAGACTTTCAAACTCAGGCTTAAGGGCTTCTATGACGGCTTTGCTGTTGGTATCGGTCTTGCCGTAGGGGTTACGGTGATTGGTTCGGTTATGGCTAGATGATGCTGTGTCCTTAAGGGATTTTCTTGGCCTTGATAAGGGTTTGTTTGTAAGTTGAAGGGCAGTTAGTCAAATGGCTTTTTCTCTCGAGACAGATTGTCAAGTGGAGAGATTGCCCAGTGTTGGTCAAGTCTCCTAATCCTTTCTTCGATGTCGTTACCTCCTTTGCTAACTGATTCCAGTCTCAATCTCCTTTGTGCTGGCTCGTTGACTGTTTTAATCGAAGCGGTAGTGGTCTATGGTGTTCAGACTCGGTTTATGGTACTTATTCCGTTGAAGTTACACGGGTAAATACAGGTATCTCGTATGGATTGTGGGATTGACATAGACTTCTCTTATCCGTGGAACCTTCTGCGGACACTATCGATACCCTAACCATGGCTAATTCGGATGGGTCCAGTGGATCTCTCGTTACTTACCCAAGATTGCTTACTTGCACGTGGAATCCAGGGTCGTC